TGAAAAACAATAGACTACAAAAGAAAATTCTCTTTGAGCACAGAACTCAGTCATCCAAGGAAAGAACTCTCATTTCTGCCAGCTGATCTTGAGACAGGGAAGTGCTCCAACATTACTAACATCATCCAGGCTTCTGGGAAGCAACTGCACTGGATCAGTTGAAGCAAAATAAGCATTCACCACCATAAGGCAATGACATTTAGTAGAGAAGAACCTCCAATACTTGTTTAGCATTTTCTTTCCTGTGGTCCACAAAAATTAAGAGGCAAACATGCCAACATTCTCATGTTGCACCAGCCAGTGTCACCACAGAGAGCAAGAAGCCCCTTGATGTTGCAACTGGCACAAAAATGCTTTGGATAATTTTGGCTTTCTGAGCAACTGAAGAAGCATGATCTGCACCAGTACTACTGCTACAAACACCAGTGCTACAACCAATCTGATATGCCAGCATCCCTAGGTAGCATGGCTGTTTTACAACAGGAAAGCTGTTCTGCATTCAGTTCCTGGAAGGAAACAGTCCACTGAAAGCAGTGGGCTTTGTAAGGCTTCTAAGGCCAGGCAGGCTGTTTTCCAAGCACCTAAATATTCCATTAGCCTACCTAAAAAGACTCTCAAAATATTCTACAGTGACACACTCTGAAGCGATGTTTATGTGCTATTTTGAATATATTAACAGGCAAAAAAGAAAAATCTTACACAAAAGATCTAATAATGATGTTTAAGAAACCATTGCTTTTTAATTCCATTAAATTAAACAAACGTGTTTAAAGACAGACAACTATCTCCACTGACTTCATGCAAGATGTTACTGAATCCAGAAAGAGAGATCACTGAACAGTGACTCCTAGATAAAAATATCCATGGTAAATTAAGTCTGTTGTAGTTCATTCTCCCTTAAAAATAGGACGATCTTACATGATAAGGAAGAGTAAGTAAGTAAGTAAGGGTCACTTAACCTACAACAAATATCAAGGATTCGCTGAATTTAGGATTTTTGGTTTTGTTTTTTGGTTTTTTTTTTTGTTACACAAAGCCTAATAAGGCAATTCTCGGGAAAAGAAGAAAGTGCATTTCCCAAATCAGACTGTGTAATTTGGCAGTTGCATTTTTTCTTCCCTTAGTGGAAAAAACAATACTCTTACCGTATGAAGTCACTTTGAAGGCATCCCAAATAAAGGACTGAAGGCAGTCAGGACATTAATTTATCCTGAAGAAAGAAAAGACTACTTTATAAAAGAATGTAGACTGTAAAAACCATCCAAGAGGCAGTGGCTAAACCTTTCTTGGAATAGTTTCAACCAAGGAGAGAATGGACACCAACTAAATATTGCATAAGAGGTGATAGAGGCAAGCACCACAAATGGAAAACTAACAAACCACTCAACTGCAGATGCTTTCCAAACCAAGGTTTTAAAGAAAGAAGAATTGTGTAACACTCGTGACTTTGAATCGTCCTTCATAAGGTTCTTTATAAAGTGCAACTAAATGTGAAGACAATCAAGTGATGTAACGGTTCTAGTGTTATCAGCTATTAGCTGACAGGTACAGAGGAGAGAATACAATGAGTGATTATACTGTAGGTTAATCCAAACAATCATGGAGTGCTACAACTCATACTGAAAACAATTCTTACAAGTTGGGTTTAGATTACATAGGAGGCAGAGATCAGGACGGGGAACAAGAAAGCCAAAATAAGAGCTTATCACAGATGGGAAAGCTGTATTGCCACTACTGACTATGAAAGGCACCTAGGAGCAAGAAAGCAAGCACCACGTTGTTTAGCTGCTATTCATAATACCCATATGGCACTGGCTTTATCCAGTTGCTTTTAGAAGTTCTGCAGAACTCCTGTGAGGAAGCGGAAATCCGTGTTGCATGGTTAATTTATATCTTTGGAGAAAGAAAAAAAAAGAAAACCCCCGAGACATAAAGCATTCTATAAAGGACCTTCAAAATGAAAGAACCGTTTGCGATGAAATGCAGAAAACAGCCAAAACTGAACCGCAAACTTCTGTTTCATAAACACTTGCAGGAAATACTAAAATCCTTCTGTAACATACTTATCTTAAAACTAGCAGACAAACATTTTATAACCCATAATAATCCCACTTAGATGTTTTCTGAAACACCACTGCACTGCCTCAGTAATCCATAATCCCAACTATGAAAAATACTTTTCTCAAATGGATCTGCTAAGCCAAAAAACAACAGCCAACCAAACAGCACCTTTTTTTTTTCTTTTCTTTAAAAACAGCTTTCCCATTACCTAGAACTTGTGGAGAAGCAGTTTCTGCTGGGTCCAGGGGAACTTCAGGTAACAGGCTGTTTATGCAGATTTGCTTTATTAGATCATTAGTAGACTATACTGATCCTACTCCTCTAGCCTGCCCACGGAGTGAAGAAGAGCATTTTGTCGTGCTGGAACAGAGGCCAGAAGTGTATGGAATGGGGTGGCACAGGGTGAGCTGACAGAGGCACTCAAGATGACACAAAGCAGCAGTCAGCAGCCACTGCTAGGAATTGAACAGACCCAGTTCAAGCATTCCCACTGCAACTCCAGGTACTGATTTTTACTGAGACAACATACACCCTAATTAATTTAACTGGGGAGAATCATAAAATAGACAAAACCAAAGTAAATTCTCAACTATAATGCAACTAGAGAGCCTTAGTCACAGCAGCTAAGCTAGCACAAGCACATCCAGAACTTGATGGCAGAGACAAAGCTTACACAGACAAAAGATGTTTTCCTGCTGACATGGCAGCCCCATCACTTCAAACAAACTTTGTTCTTTCCTTCAGAAGCAGTTCCTTTCAGCACACTGTTTCCTTGACTGGTACGCACGGCCACAGCTGGGCCTGCTCCACTGACCAGGAGGTGCATTTCTAATCCTAAAACCTTCTCATTTTCTTCCTACAGTTCTAGAATCTATAATCTATGTGACTCTAATATCAACCTATAGAGCTGATTCTTGGAATACAGATGAGACTCAAACATCAGGGTATTTCATGAGATTCTTCTAAAAAGCTTCATAAAAAAGAATGCTCTCTCAGCTCTCTTCATGAGCTAAGGAGTCGTTACACCCAATTATGAACACCAAGGTTAAGTAAAAAAAGAAACTGATGAGCAACAGAGATTGTCCACTTTGATACTAGTTTATTTCCCAAGGCTTCTATGCAATTCACATGCCATATTTCAAGAGATCAGGAGGTAAATTTTACCTGCTGTTGCAGAAGCAAGTTTTTCTTCCTTTCTAAAAAACTGAAACGCAAAAGAAGCAAGCACCTATCTGAAAGGTGAAGCTAAGTAGCAACTTAAACAGTTCAATAACTGAAAAATATCCCAAACTGTTAAAAGATACTGAGGGAAAAACTAAAGAACATGTGTATCTTCTTATATTTTAAAGATACAAATGAATATTCAAGCAATATCTTCTGAACACTACCTTTCCAGTAAAAAGTGACATACAACAGTAACAATCTGAATACATTTTCAGTTTTTGATGCATTAATTTGAGTACAAAGAAGGGGACAGAAGTTCATGCTCCAGGAAACTGTCCTGAGCAGTACTGCTAACAGATGAACCCAAGCCTGCCAAAAACATTTTAAAATTATAAATAGTTCTAGTCTCCCAGCACTAAGTTCTAGAAAGGCTTCTTTGCTTTGTTGCACCACTATATACAACCTGAATGGGTGAAGTGCCTGTGTTTAATTCATGGAAAATAGAGTAAAGAGGAAAAAAACCAGAAATCTGCACCCATCCAGGTCCTTCCACACTGATCTTACCAGTGAAGCTCACAATACCAGCATTTTTTATTTCCCTTCTAAGAATACAGAATTTGCAATTCTTGAAGAAAATGAAAATCAGTTGACACATTTCACTCAAAAGCAACAGGTTTATGGGTGAGAACTCTAATGACAAATTTTAGAAACTATTTCTAATAGTGATTTCAAAGAGGGAAAAAAATTTAAAACCACAAGGAGTTTATATTCTGGGGCTTGAGTGATCAAGTATGTTACTCACATCTGAATAATACTTTCTGGGAAAATAAATGCAGCACAAATAGGAAGTTCAATTACAACTGAAATGTCTTTTCTGTATCTTTTTTTCCCCTTAGAAATAATATATAATGCTTTAGGGAAGCATGCTATTTCCACTTGTTACATTTGAAGAAAAGAATGTACATTAAAAACCCTAACTAGGAATCACTGGTCAACCACACTAAGCTACATTAAAGCTGGTACACATCCTTTCCAGAACAGTGACAACAGTGGAATGTTCAAAATGGCATTTATACCATCAGAAATGATTTACTTAACATTTATTTTTGAAATTCAAGATTACTGTCTGCTCAGGAAACAAAGAAAGCAATCCTTTACAAGTCAGAATTCTGGAAGCCACACCCAGCAATATCATAGCATGAAGAATGATGAGCCAGAAACTGACAAAAATTCATTACTTCAGATGCTGCCACTGGATGCTGATGAGCAAGTCATTTTTCCTGCAATGCTTTAAAAAGACAGCTATCCCATTCACTCTCCTGGAGGGTTAACATAACCATGGAAGTGCTCGAAGAAGGGAACAGACATCAACACTTCTGCTGGTCAATAGAGTACTTTGCTGCTTAATACTCATCTAGCAGTGAGCTGAGTCACTTGCATGGATGGCTGCTGAAGCTCAAGAAGAGGCACTCTTGCCAATCCACCAATACAGCTGTGAACGCCATAGCTTCTTAAATTGTCCAAGTAAAACTGAGCTGAATTTACTAATCACAGCACTTGAACAGATACTTCAATGTTGGCATAGGAAGCATAGGAACAGACAATGAAATAAGATTTTTGCTGCATCATTCTTAAAGTGGCTGATAATTACACACAGAAGTTAATCCATGGGCTTGGGCTATTTATTCTTGATATATTAAAGTTTAAGAAATACATTCTTTCTTTTTGCTGTCTTTAATTAATATGCACACAAACAAAGCAAAGAGCCACCTTACCTGGTGGAGTTTTGCCCCCTGTTCTCTATTTTCATTAAAATTTGTACATCTGACTGAGGAGACATTGTATATATCTTTAATCTGAAAAAAAAACAATATGCAACAGAAATGAAGAAATGATGTGCTTCAGACTCTTCCTCCTATCATCTGTAAAAGATGAGAATGTTTTACGTATCAACAAGTGAAAGCATTTTTTTATTAAAAAAGCTCATTTTCCACATCTTAAATACCTTCTAAAAATTAGGGCTGTAATTATTGGTATGTTTTTCTAACTCCTCCAAACAAAAGGATTACTGTTATCTCCACTGGGCTGAATTATGCTACATTTCTTAGAATTAGAGTTGCTTTATTTGATTTTTATGTTATAAATCTTCATTCCTGGTTTAAATGTGGAGGCTATATTCCTCCACAGGGATCCACAGTAACCTCCAGGGTTACTTGGTTGGTGAAAGTTGGGATGGTTTTCATCACAGCAACTAAAGCTGTAGAGCTGACAGGGACCTCAGTCCTCCATGTTTGAAGTGCAGCAAGGTTAAGCAATCTGTTCAGAACCACTCCTGCCTTTTATTAGCAAAGCATATGGACAAGGCAGAAAGGAATTCAATACGCACCTTTGACAAACTACTGGATCTGACTCCACTGGATCAATGTAGGGCTTCAGGATATCAGTGAGCGTTTTATCCTCTGGCACTCTTCCCCAAAGATAAAAATCAAATACGTAAGACATGGTTCATCATGCACACAGAACTCTATTATCTGAGTCATTTAGAGAAAGCTGGACGTTTGCACGCTACTGTGGTACATCTGAATACTTCATGGGTGAATTATAAATGTGGATCAATACAGCCCAGGTAATTGACAATTCCATATAAATTTCAACACTAAGACTTCATTGGCATCTGCAGGGAGTAAACAGATGAGTATCTCCAGTTCCAAACCCTGCAGCATAACATGCTGTCTGTACAGACCTAAAAGTAGATACTGGCAAATTTCATATCCACCTTTAGACAACGAAAAAAGGAGAGAAACATTTGTCCATAAAAGCTGAATTTTTGGCTTTTACAAAATGCACTTGCAGGCTTTCCTACAAAGTAAACAATGACAAAATTTCACTGTGTGTGCAGGTCAGCTCCAGCACGCAGGCAAAGAGGGAATGGAAATCTTGCAGCACTTCTGCCCCATGAGAGCAGAACACATTAGCTGAGAGGATATTGCCACTGTAAACATACAAGCTTCTTGTTCACTGCCAAGAAGGAGTAGCAATCAAATATTTCTTTTGATTTGACAATCTCTCTAGCCTTCAAAGAAGAAAGTACTGCACAACTTTAAATACATTTTAAATTTGAACGCCCTTTTAGTTAAGACATAAAATAATATTGGAGTTTACCTCATATAGCAGAAACCGTTAAGAATGGATCAAAATATTTCCCATTTGAATTCCAATAGAGTAATTTCCAAAAATCCATTTTTCAAACTCTGTACCTTTTTAAAGCGTATTCAGCATTACAGTGAAGAAATACAAGCTTCAAATGCCAGTAGAACTTCTGCTCCCTGAAAAGAAGAAATGCAGATTCTTAACGCCTCGCTAGTTAGCTGGTAGCTGTTACTTGTCTTTCCAAAGCACAACCTAAACAGAAGATGTGTCAGCAGCAGGGAGGGAAGCTGCCTTTCAGTATAACAGTGAAAACACACGTTGGAAAGAATAAATGTAGTACAAAACTAACAGGAAGCTTCTGTAAGAGACAAAAGTTGATGCTGCATTCTGTTCTCCTGCTCATTTGTTGGCAAACCATCCTGCCTCCAAAGCTAGCATAATTAGTATCTGAGAACAGAAACTGCTCGAGCATGGTTTCAGTGCAGTATGGCATCAGGAAAGGCAGAACTGCCTAGAGGGCAGTGCTCTAGATCAAGAATCTGCTGAAGGCAACAGTGACTTCAGGCAAACCATTTTTCCTTTTATTGCTTCAAATTCTCCCATCCCGTACAATGAGTGTAACAATCTTTTTCTAAGTGAACTCTCATAAGAAAAAGCACAGACTGAAAGATAGGTTTATGGCCCTCTCCTCTGGTTTAGAATTTCACACTTGATACAAACAGTAAAGATTTAGAAAACAGATGCCAGGTATCTATCTGAAGCACAGGAACTTGAAATGGTACTTTTAAATTTTATTTTATTTTTACTACTTAAGACCCATGAATCCTTATATCTAAGATAATCAGCAACAGTTATGCAAAGATTCTGTTACTGCTACAATTAAAAATAAACACACTGTTGCTCGAACATGCTGTTTAATTTGCTTATCAGGCAGATGGAACTATCCAGCAGGATCTAGCTGCCTGCAGAGACAAGCACACGTGCAATCAAGTAAAAAACTAGTAAACAAGTTAGTTGCTAAGCTCAATTAACTATCATATCAACTTTTAGATGCAGGCACTTTATAAAGCACACTTACCAAATACATAATTATTGACTTAAGATACGCCTAGGGGAAAGCTAAACTTCACAGCTGAGCTACAGTTCTCATAGTCCAAGTACAATCAATATAATCAAATATAATCAAAAGATAATACAAGGTATTATCTTTTATCTTCACCTCCCACAAAAAAGATGCAAGAACCCTCCAAGGAGCTAATAATTTATAGATTAGAATAAACTGAACTACAAGTGGCTAAGATCCACAAAGCAACATGTGACTCAGTAGAGCTGTATGCGCCTCGTGATTTTTGCCCTGTATCTGCTCATGCTTGTAAAAACTGAGAATGAAGGATCCCTCTTTAGATGAAGAGGGATTAGGTCTGAAACAGGTAAGAAAATGGTATGACCAGAGCTGGACAGTAAGAGATAAAACATTATTAATTACACTGCATACACAATGCATAGCTGACATCTTGCCTTGTGGATTTTCATGCTATTTTGCATATTGCTATGACACAGTCTTAAATTACTGAACTGAAAAAGAAACAAGTCAAAATCAGTGAGTATACTGGAATTTGAAAGTTTTTTTGCAAGGTGATTGAAACAAAGTTTTCCAGTTTCTCATCTTAACTACTGAAAGAAGCATCAGATGAGGCCTTTATAAACACACTAACAACTAACCTTTCTAGCATTTTTTTCCATTTAATTCACCACTAATATGTTCTATCAGACCATACACATCTACTCCAAGTGACCGACACTTACTGTGATGTGGACTCTCTTTCTGCCAAACCTTTGAATCGAGACCTTCGAAGTAAGATACTGCCAGATACTTCCCCCCAAAAGCAGAAACAGCAAGGTGTGATGATGATGACAGAAGCATGTACGCGGTCTACAGGACTGTTTCTAACACAGACACTTCAGTGAGAAATGTTCCAGAAATACTTCTAGCTATCTGCTACCTGTTAGGAACACTCTGTGTCCACAGAAATTGTGGTCACACACCACATTCTGATTTCACATGTAAGACCAGCTTGCTGTGGGCTCATTGAGGCAGACTCAGTTCATCATGCAGCTGTATGATCAGCTTAAGAGGGATCTTTTCAGACTTTCACCCTCCCTCCCCCTTCCAGGCATAATCTAGTCTTTGGATTAGTGAACAGTAAGAGCTACGAATCAGGAAGACTGAACATTAAATTTAAAAACATCAGGAAGTTCCACTTTTATCAGAAAGTTCCACTTTAGAAAAACAGGAACGTTGATATTTTTCAGCATGCTAAAAGGTAAACCAAGGTGAATTAATCTCTCTTCAAAATACACTTGCCTAAAAGCAAATGACAAGCAGAAAGAGGTAAAAGCTGGGTAAGAAGAAGGCAAGGAAGGAAGAAGCTTAGAACTGGAATAGCCTTACACACTTTGCTGACAAGCGAAGTATAGAAAAGCAGTAATACTTTGCACAAATTTCCATAAGTAGATTGGTAACAATCTCCTGGATGTCCATTATTAAAGGGAAGCATCCTTCAACATCATTGATTCCTGCCCAATACAAAAACTTGATGTCAACTCTAGATGCTATCAAAGCTGCTTCACAACAAGTTCAGATTTAAGTTAGATACCCTGGCTCCAAATCTCACTGACTTCATTTTCCATTATGGCTCACTGGGGTAGTATTTCCTTCAAGTGTAACTGACATGTATTATGTTCATTGTCTAAATGAAAAATGCTTAATTGACTAAGTCATCCTGAGTTGAGTAACAGCTCACACTGCTTGAAGTGCTCAACGCTGCTCGGCTGCCATGGAGCGTCAATCCAAGGTTTGCTTGAATACCAAGGTCCTGACTATAAAGTTATCAAACAGCACAGATCTGGATGAGGCACAGCACATCCTTGATGTCAGTAAAAACAGCATCACTGCCCATCCCCACATTGCTTGGCTTCATATCCAATTCTGGCTAATTCAGAAGCACAGAAACTGATCAGAGAAAAAATGAGAAGCTAAGGAACCTCTCCCCCTGCACTAGATGTAGCTGCAAATGGTACTTAGAACTGCACAGGCTGTTCTGCCATTACTGTTCTACGCTAGAGTAACTGTTTCCCTTTCATTTTTTCCTAAAACTTCCAAATAATTACTTTCTGTAATCAATACAATTTTTCTTCTCTAGTTTTCTTTCAAAGAACAACACAGTAAAGTGATTTTTAAATTCATGACAGCTGAAACAGGTTTTTACTGCTGATACTACAAGACAGCACTGATAAATGTGACTGTTACCTCCAGCTAGATCTTGGCACAGCTATAAAGATTTTCTTCACTGGTTTTACAGTTAATGCAGTACCCTGCTAGACACTTCAAGTACAAGTGGGTGTATGCAGTATAGGTGCTGGCAATTAAAGAACAGATCTAGGATCTGTCTAGGATTCTACAGAAGATATTGGGACCAACATGCCTTAGTGGATTTTTAAAAGTGTTTTTGAACTGATAGAAGAGATAAAAAGGAAATAGTGACCTTATCCTTAAACTATCCTTAAATTTCACAATACTCAGTACTCTCACCATGTGCATTGAGGTTTAATTGAAACATGTGGTACTCAGTATCTACTCCTTTGGATAATGTCACCTTTCACAACTTACTTAAGCAATGAAATTTAGTCCAAGTAAGTGACTAGATTCTCTTATGGAATCCAAACAAACATTAACAGAAGATATCACACAGAAGCATGACGGTTTCCTTCTTCCCCCATCAACTTCGTATTCCTTGCCAAAATTAGGTCTGCTCTACTCTGGACAACAGCACACTAAAAGGGACATCTCCATTTTGTTGGAGCTTCGTTAAATGAATTCCTGGACTTGATGTATAAACAATAAATATTTCTACTGCAACACTTCTACTGAAAGTTCAAGTGTTTCCTAGTTACGGTAAACAACAAGACAGTCAATGAAGAAGATGAAGAACAATTCCACTGCAGCACATGGTCTTCTATCAAAGGCCTCCCAGCAGCAAGAGATGTTGTTACTGACCACATGTGTGGAACAGGCAAACACCACACCAACTTGAGCCGAGAGTCTGGTGTGAATCAGGAGACTCCTAAGAAGCCAAACTCTAATCATCTTTAACAAATAAAACCACTGTCCTCTCCACTTCTATAAATAAACAAAATGACCATCAGATCCACTACGGAAAGAAAACAACTAATAAAAATCTCAGCTACAGAACTCAGTAATTACTTGTTTACACATGGGGATGGTCTGAAAAACTACCAACAGACTGAAACGTACCAAGGTCATGCTTTCTGCTCATTTCAGATCAGCATTTCTTTGCTTGTGAGGTCACTTTGGAAAGCAAGCAGAACTATGCACTAAATGACGGCTGAATTCAAGGTTAACAGCTCTAGCAGAGCAATACGATCCCCCAAACCAGCCCATATAACTCCTTGGTAAATTCTTAACATCAGCAAAACTTGAAAAAATTCATTCTATTTATCTTTACCTAGTTCAAGACTAAAGACTGACATTTTAGGCTTTTCACATGCACCTCAGAGTAGCTTTTACAGCACTGATGATCACTTAACTGCTGCTAATCTCAAGGCCCATACTACACTGTACTCATACTAGTAAGATGTCCTAAGCCATCTGCAAGCCAGATAAGACTTCACAAACTGGACTCAAACTCCATTTGCTGAAGATCCTCTATTATCTGCATTGTTTGAGATTACAAGTTAGTCTAACCCATGTTACCTAGCACTGGCACATATGCTTTCATAACACTGAATTTCGCAAACCAACTACTGGAAGCTAGGAAACGAGAAATGGTTAACACATCTTAACAACCACAGACTTGCCCTGCAGAACTGGCAGGGGCAAGGGATAACACCAGAACACACCTTGCACCTCCTCATTCTGGATGGCTCTCCTCCCTGCCTCAAACAGCCGAGCAGCTTGGCTCAAGTAGAGAATATGTAGGAGACATCTGAACAGGCACACAGCCTCCCACGTACCTATGTGGAGCTGCCTCCAATCTCCATGCTATGTAGCAACCTTTCCCCAAATCCTGGCAGACACAAAGCATAAGTGGGGGCTCAGATCTACTGAACACAGACACCAGACCCTGGCAACCACCAGATGCTAATCTCACAGAGAGCAACTATTAGCACAGCTTTTCCCATTAGACTGTAGTATTCAACAAAGTTATGAGTCATATCTTGAAGTCATATGGCACAGGTGTTAAATGGCTGATGGATGCTTGTTTCAATCACACCTTTGGTTTGATTTCTCAGTCCCCCACATACAGATTAGGCACAACATGCCTACTACAAAAAATAAAATAGTTCTTAACCTACATCACTGAATTCAAACCATTCATGCCCACTGCTACACGAAAAACAGAAGTAGTAGAAAAAACATCATCCTTGCAGTAATCCCAGAGCATATCCTGTACCTCAGGATAGCATTTGCAGACATTTCCTTCCTACCCTATTAAGAGCAGAGGACAATATAGTGCTCCTCTGTCTCAGAACAGAATAGGTGATAGGAGCAAATGACCAGGGGGTGCCAAGAAGCTCAGGTTGTTGTCTGTCCGAGAGGGACACCTGGTGGCTGGTCCCCACTGGGGCACCTCCCCAATCTACAGGTCACTGTTTTAAAGTAACAGAATAGAGGGAAAAATGCCTATGGAAAGCAGAAATTGCCACCAAAACTAAGAATGCAAAAAAAAACCAACAGAATCTGGATTTGGTACATTTGATTACTACAAAAAGCAAATAAGGTGGTGTTTTTTTTTTTTTTTTTTTTTCCCCCTCCTTGTATTTTGAAGTATTTTCACAGTAAAAAGTCTGAGTATCAGAGAAAATCCACAAGAGTGGATAAAGGAAAGAATATCTAAAGCCTTTTCTTAGCTTTTCTCCTACACAAACTCCAGCATATGCCAGGCCTACAAAGGCTGCAACGGAAGTAAATGGATGAGGAATGACTCATCTCTGACTTCAAGGCAGCTTTCTTCAGGGTCAGGAATCTTTCACAATCATTTTCTATCACTTCTCTGTCACAAACCTTTAAATATAAGGTCTCTTCTAACAACAAAGCCCCAAAAAACCTTCACAATGTCATTTAACAAATGAAATATGCAGCAGCACTGATTCATCCTCCTCCTCATGTTGGCAGCTTTCAAAATAAAGCATGAACTGCATAAGTTATTAAACTCAAACAGCCTAAAGGACAATAACTGCAGTAGCAAATACTAAATCTAAACAGTTTTTGTAGAAAAGCTGTGCATCTAATACATTTTGAAAGTGAGAATGTCAGTATGAATTTACATTCACATCATTATGTGTTCAGTAAAAGCAAAATATCATTGCCTGGTAGCCAAATGGAGACTCACTTCTTATTGAAGATAGTTGAATTTTCTCTTCTTTTTGTGAATCCAATGGGCAGTGTCTTCAGATTGATATTATGCCTCCGAGCTCTGTTTCTCAAGTAATTGATCTATCAAAAGTAAAAAAGATCCATATATTTTTTAATCTGAATGATGTTATTTGAATTATAAGAAAATTATACAAAGAACAGCTATGCATGGAATATTTTAAGAATATGCAAGATGCCATCAATACTAGTATTAAATAAGCCCTGAGACTTCTCCAAAACTTGGGGCTGTTCACACCTACACAGTGAAGACCTCAGTCCTGAAACCCAGCCTGGCAGTGCCTCAGTAGGAACTCTAGGGCAGCAAATCCACGCCCAGCAGTCACACTGCTCACGTGGAACTTACGAATTTGTTTGTTGTTGGCCGATGCACAGACGGATCTCGAGCAGCAGCATCAGCCGCTCTTCCCACGTCTTCCAGGAACCGATAATCTGGAGGTGAAAAAAAAACACAACACAGAATAGAAAAAAATAATGTAGTGCTGAACTATTAGAAATGATGGATTTTGAGAAGCACCTGGAATGTTCTTACCGCTCAGAAGGTTCAAGTCAGTAAATTCAGTCACGGAGACAAATGCAGTTTTGTCCCTGACTCCGTTACAGCTCAGGGCAAGCTTGTGCTTCTTCACGCACAACAGGCTGAAACGACAAAAACACACGTTAGTGTCACACTCAACAGAAGAGCAGACAAAATCAGCTCAATTCACATAACAGATACCTGCACGAATACTTCATGCATCGCGGACACCGGTACTTGGCCTCCTCTTCGCCACATGTCTCACATCTGAAAGAAGCAGAAAGCAGCTCTCGGAGCAGGGCCGGGCAGGGGAGCAGCTGCACATGACAGCGGCCTTCAGAGGGAAAGCCCCACTGCTGGTGGCAGCTCAGAGGGAAAGCCCCACTGCTGGTGGCAGCTCAGAGGGAAAGCCCCACTGCTGGTGGCAGCCCGGCCGGCATGCACAGCGTGGAGCTGGACACACAGCACGGCTGCGTCCGTGCCTGCTCCACAGCCAGCTCACCAGAACTTCTCTGCACCTGTATTTTCATACAGTGCATCGTTATTTCTCTCAAGACCTGATATTTGCACCGCCCCCTGAACGCCGCATCCCATGCCCACTTCGGGTCAGAAGTACCACGCGAGGGCTTGGCCAGCGACGAACCGCACGGGTCGGGACCCCGCGGGCACCAAGCACAGCCGACGGCCGTCAGCTCTCCGCCCCGCCCGGCGGTGTTGGGCGGCGGCGGCGCCCCCTACTGGCGGGGCGGAACGCTGCACCGCGCGGCCCGAGCGCCGCGAGACGGTTATCCGTACACCGCGAAATCAAACCAGAAACGGGTTCGCCCCTTTGCTACACACCCGCGCCGCGCAAGGAAAGCCGACGCCGCTCCCGCACGCCACCCCCCGTTTCCAGACCCATCCCGCACACAGACGAAACGAGCCGCCGCACGTGGCACGCTCGACCCACGCCGAGAAGCGCGGGCCGCAGCCTCTCGCTTCGGCGGCCCCGTTTTCCCAGATCCCGGCGGAGGCGTCCCCCGAGCCGGGCCGCAACCCGCGGAGCGCCCTGCGGGCCGCGTTTCCACACCCCGCCCGCACCCGCACCTCTGCAGGGCCATCTTCCGCCCGCCAGCCGCGCACAGCGAGCTCTCGCCGCCGCCCTGCCCCGCCATGGCTGCGCCGCACCGCCCCCACGTGCCGCCCGACGCTGCTGGCTCGGGGCGGGCCCGACCGCGGCGTTTCCTGGGCGGCGGCGCCCCCTGGCGGCACACCGCTCTCCCTCCCGCCCTGCGGAGCCGGGCCGTACCTCCTTCCCCTTCCTACTTCCAGCCCCGCTTCCCCCTGCTTTGGTTGCTGGTTTTTAACTACAAAGAACAACCGTGAAGGAAAGAGATGAAAGGGTTCTGCTGCTTCTGGCGCCGAGGCACAGTGCTGCCTGTGTGTGTCCCAGCCCCAACTAATCATGCTGTCTGCGTCTGCGTTTTTATCATAACTGCAATAATACTTTAAGCTGCTTGTTTTTAAAATTGTTTTGTTTTGTTTTCTTTTCTCTTAAAAGCTGTCTAACAAACAACTATAAACATGGGCTATAAAGAATTTCCAAAAGAAAGGTTTCCAAAAGAAAGGCCACGGGACTGAAAAACACCCGTGAAGCAGAGCACTTTCTAAGAGATGACATTCTTAGAAATAAATAAATCAATAAACCCATTTATCACAATGTCAGCTCCAGAGCCAAACTAAGAGCAAACATCAGTGGTGCTATCAGAGAGTAACAACCATGAGAAAGTGAAAAACAACAGAGAAAGAAACGTTCTCTGAGCTTATACCATTCTATGATCTTCATTTGTCTTTGGTCAGATTCTTCAATGGGGGAAAAACCAGATGGTCTAACAGAAAACACAGGGCATCTATCTACCTTTCTGTGTAGAACTGAATACTGTCACTCTTGCAATACTCCATGGCACAACAACTGCTTGTCTGCCCTTGGTAAATGAAGCACGGCCACCTTTCCTCATTGCTGAGAATGAACTACACAGCATGAGACAGAATAATAAAGACAAAGTGGTAGGGTGGAATCTTATTTTATTATATTTTCAGTATGATTTCCTATGGGTCAAGTCAGTTAAGCAAGTTGTTTGAATGCTTCTCAGTCCCCAGTGTGGTTTGGCACCATCTTCATGAATTATTCAGCAGGTTTTTGATTGGTAATATGTTGAGGGATATCTTTATAAAGAGTGTTTTTCTTAATAGTAAAATTGTTTTGTGTGTTTTAAACAAAAGAAGATGGTTGAGCATTTTAGGTTTAATTTAAGGAAACTGAAATGATCTAATAATATTACAAAAAAATGACGACTAAGTGGATGAAATGCTGATTATAACTTAACAGCCCGCTTTCAAAAGACATGCTGTAGGAGATTTAATGAGTTACAAATATATACACAGTATATCATCTTAAGATGCCTTTGTCATTCAAAAAAAGTTAACTGAAAAAACTGAAAACTACTGTAGGTAGCTCTTCTACAACGGGCTGTTGTCTTCAATGGCTGTAAAGCTAACTGTTTTGACTATATGCATTATATACAACGTGCTGTCTTATATGCCATTTCCACAACAGTACGCAAAAATATTTTAAACAAGAAATCCACATAAATAATGGTTTAGTTGTAGTAAAATATGTGACCAATGATTTAAAATAAGTACCTTGATAACAGAGACAGATCCTGATGTAACCGGCACATACAGTCTGAAAGATAAAAATGGACTCACATAGTCTCTGTTAAGGCCACCAGCACCTTGTGTTACAAAGAGCACCAAGGCAACACAGACAGGGTACATGTAAGAGGTAGTGTGTCATCTGTTAAGATGTGTGTGTCCACAAAGGACTGCTATAGAACCGAGAAAAAGACGACTTATTGTATTGTGGCATAGTTCACTTTTCAGATATAGCTATTGCACATTTAGGAGCATTAGCCAGTATTGCTCCATGGTATTGTATGTCTCCAGCTTTCCTCATAGTGTTCTTTTGCAGTGCTGTCATACAGATTGTCAAGAACACCAGAGGTCCTGAAAAATTCCATGCTCAGATATTCAGTTCCAGGAAATTATGCAAGAAAGCACCAACCAGTATTAAAAAGAGATTTAAATACTTTAGGAAAATTGTAGTCTTTTCTTTTTTTTTTCTTTGTTTTTAAATGCCATTTCTCCTTCTTCCTGAGGTTCTTTAACCAGCAGTGTTTAAAGCGATTCTTCAGTTTGAAAGCAATTTTGCCTCATTCATTACTTTCACACTCACTCCGCAGCAGTCCTGCACTGATGCAAAGGAACCAGGACACAAAACTCAAAGGAAGCACACCAAGCCACTTTCTATGAAGTGCTGCTGTCCTGGTTTGAGATGAGGAAGAGTATGAACTTGAACAACCGGAAGCTGATTGGTGTCCTGAGTGTGAAAAAAGAACTGTGTCTTGTGCCAGCTGCCATCCTGAATCTGCAACACACAGAGGTGGAATATTAAATTCACATAAAAAATGAGATTCAAAACCCAAATGGAGGCTGTGCTTAAAGGGTGAGAGAAGTGTAAGTAAGCATTTCTTCTTCCAGCAGCTTGTAAAGAAACTGAGTAACTCAACAAATGCCATTTCTTCCATGCAGTATCACAATGCTAAAAAGCACTTACCATGCATTCATCCACAAGCACCTTCGGTTCAAGTAGTGAATTGGCTTTAAACACTTGTCCATTCCAACCTTTGAAGCTAAGAGATGTCTTCTGGCCTCCTGCCTCACTTAATCCCCACATCGGTGTGTTCAGACAGTGAACTGTGATACTGTGTGTTGCTTCTGAGCTCAGTAAATGAAGAAAGTTCATCTGCACTTTTCCAATGCCAAACTCCAGCTAAGTTCCAAAAGAAATTTGCTGTTATACTTAACACACTGAATGGTCACAGCAACACCAAACGGCATGCACAGGTGGGTGCACTGTTTATACATGGGAGCATGCATGAATGTTTACGCATTGGGATCGGTGCTGAAAAGCATGATTTGTATTCTTTAGGAGAGCAATTCGGTTCTATTATAGTGATTACTTCAAACAGAAACTTTCTAGGTCATTTTCAAAGCTTAAAAGAAACATTTACTAATGCCCACGAGTGCTGTTGGAACATAGCTGGGCAGAAAACATTATTTTTAAAATCAGGAAAGTGAAGCAAAGGATCCTGTGATTCAAACAAAGCTAACAGCAGCAGCAGTGTTTTAGTTGCAGTTGCACCATTCTGCTAATTAGTCTTAGAGCATAGATTCTGCCTGTCAATATCTACCTTCTATTAATAGACTGAAAATCATAAGCATGATTTGATTTTAGACAGAAAATTCAGCTGCTCGTGACTCAACAAGAATTTCTCCAAGAGTAGACCATGTTCAGGGTCCTTACTAATGCAGGAATGCATATGTGAGTTATTTCTGATGTTCTTTGGTGGCTAAACTGTATATGCAGACCACCATATATATGACATCTTCACTACTCACAGTGGTTTAATGACTATGTGTACTGAGGAGCACAGACTAATGACATAAAAGAAAGCAACCTCTACCTAACAAGGCATTCAGCAGTAGCCAGGTGTTGAAAAGTAGTGACAAATACACCCTTGGCTGCCCTCAGAGATGAGTTACTAATGAGTAACGTAGCAGCATTTCAGGCTTATTTCTATGGCTTGTTTAGAAAGGTATAAAGCCAAATGAAAGGATGTCGTGTGCGTGGAAGATTAGTAAATGGAGAAAGTGACAGTCACAGTAACATACTGTCTCTAGATGTTCTGTAACTTCCTGATCAGAACATATGAAGTGTCCTTCCCAAAGCTGACACAACACCCTCGCTCCCCTATTCCCCTGAAATCTCACAACTCTCTTGAGGTCAGTAAATAAGCAGCTACTTGTTCAAAGCTCTGCTGCAGAATGACTCCCTCAGGACACCATGCATACCTTTGTCACAGATGGTGGTGTTAAACATGTCTGACCACCCGCTGTGAAGTTGCAGAAAACTTCAATGGCATCAGAGGGACAGCCAATGTTGGGGTCAATCCAGTACTTTCCTATTAGTGTAGAATCCCAGAGCGAAAATGAAATCAAAATATAATCATTACTAAGCAGTTTACTAAAATATTCACAATTCTTGGCAAGTATTAAATTTGTTATTACCACAGCTTCACTGGGAAATGGATGAAAGGCAACATGGAAGTCTTTCCACTTCCATAATTATATTAACAATGGATGCTGAGCAAGTCTATTAGCTGCTCAGAAAGTCATGTCACGGTATTGACATTACACATTCAAATAACTATTTTAGTTTGAACTATTAATTTGACACCTGCTAAAATATCAGCTGCTGCCAGTTTATCTGGTTGTGGTGGGCTGTGGTACACAATTTTCTTATTAGCAATCTAGAATCTGATCCACACAAATATCATTTCTAACTGACTATAAATATTTGGGAAACTTTTTATCACAAAATGGAATTCAGTTTGAAAATTTCTGGCCACATCTTTACTTCTATATATCATCTCCGATATCTTTTTAATACTAGCTAGCTACATATGTTAAAATCCAGAAATTTTATCATACATAAAAGATAAAATAAAAGATAGCTGTGACAAACTGCAACAGAATCTAATAAAGACAAATCTGTACACTAGAATAAGGACATAGGAAGTGTCACTTGGAAGCAACCAGCTCAGAGCTGTGCCATGTTGAAGCTCTGAGGAAAGCAGACACTCACCGTCGGACACTTTGCGCTCACAGCTGAGCAAGTCCCTGCAGATGCGTGCTGGGTTATCCCGTGTGCCAAGGGGGTTCTTGATGCTGTGCAGTAAATTGCTAAGGTAGTGCAGTGTTTTGTATATCTCTGTACTGTGATCCAGTAAAGTTACTTCAGTATTCTGGTATCTCTGCCAGGGGCCATTAGCAAATGTGTTACCATGGAGAAGAAAGACGACAGCAGTACATGCAGTAAATATCCAGTGGCCATTGAAGAGCCAGACAGAAACATTTATAATACATGCGATCAGCCATATGAAACAGATTGGGAATAACACATCCCAATAAAGAAAATTAGTGCATTTCATTGAAATTATCAGAGCCAGTGAAGTTACAGACAGTAACAGTTTAAGAACAGTTAAGTACAGTTACAGTTTAAGATCATGCAAATATATCAGTATGACATGTTGACAGAAATATTGGATATGGGAGAAAAAGAAAAAAGGAAAAAAGTTAGTCATTTTTACAGTAAACGTAGTGTTTACAGTGAAATCTATTCTTAGACTTAATTTAGAGAATACATGAAAATGCTTTTGACTTCACACATGTGAGGAGTTTTCTTGCTATCAGTGAGACCACACTCCTGCATACAGTTAAGTATGTGTGTCAGTACTTTTTGGATTCAGGCAAAATGTCACTATTATCTGTAGCTGAACAATTATGGTCCCCTATCTGTGGTAGCTGATACATTTTAGTCTCTGTTAATTGTGATTAAAAGGTAGAAATGCTGCTGTTTTCCTCAATTTCATTTAAATGGTATCTTACGTATCTTTGCTTATTTAACTGTATTTTTCAGTAATTACTTGCAGTCTGTGATTTGTTTTAAATTTAAGTTCCTTCAGAGAAGCCCTGTTCTGTCCTCAAATACTGTTTGTACTAGTGCTGCTCCAAAAGTAATTCCTCCTATTTTATTATGTTGGCCCATGACACCAGAGGCAGATGTTGGTGGTATGGCAGTAGAGGTTGAACCTTCCCACCAATATCCCATTACGTGTTGTTGCTGTGTGACAAATGGCAGCAAAGGGGCAGTCTGACAACTTGGATTCTGATGTGGAAGTGCGGATAAAGAAAAGAGGTGTCACTGAATTCCTCCCTCAGGAAAAGATGGCACCCACTGACATTCATCACCACTTGCTGAACATTTAAAGGGATCAAACAATGAATGTCAGCACCATGAGGCAGTGGTGTGTTTTCAGAAATGGTAACAGCAATGTGAAAGACAAGCCATGTTCCAGACAGTTACACACAGCTGTCACACCATAAATGAAGAGTGAAATCAGCTCATCCACGCAAATCAACTAATGGTTGTGATGATGTTAAAAAGTAATACTAAGTAACCGAGAATTTGGTCTGTCAAATAGAATCACTACGCTCTCTGTATGTGTTTGGAATTTCCAAGGAAATGAATAGGAGGCATTACTTTTCAAGCATCCTATGCATAACTGCATATCCTGTATGACAAGGTGAATACAGTTTAATACATTACCTCCATCTGCAATGCAGCATTTGATGCAATCAAAGCCTGAACAGCAGCATTGATGTCCACAAGTTTCTGAAAACAGAAAACATATTTTAGAACATAAAAAGTGAACAGAAATATCCTAAATTGCAGGAGAAAAAATTCTGAGCATTGTTGTAGGAACATAAAGTTGATCATAATGTTGCCATTTTAGAAAATAAATCGCAGACAATGCTTACTTTTCAAACCAAATTTGCCCTTTCATCCCCAAACAAAACAAGCTTACATCATGATAAAGCATTATTTGATATTTATTCACATCCCCATCCCCATTTTAATGATCAAATTCCTGGAAGCTGGAATAGTTACAGATCAGTGCCTCAACTTAATCTCTCCAAGCCATTTAATTTGTACGGTTGAGAAAACCCATCTGCACAAGTATGAAAAGGTACTACGTCTTTCAAGATTAGCATATAAAGAATGTTTGATCCAGTTAAATAGGTGCAGTTCATGCCATATTCTCTCTTCCGACTTTTGTGGCGGAAAGATCGCAGGACTTCTATCAACTGAAAACATCACTCCTGCTGAGGAGACTTTGTCTTGCAGAACTGCCACAGTTGCAGGTTGTTGGCCAAGGAAGGAAAAGAACTGAGGTGAAAAAGATTGACTGGAGCATAACTGAGCTCTGAAAATGTCTGGTGATCTGAAACTGCAGGGTCTGTGCTGCTAAGAATTGAAGATGTTTTCATGATGCATAAAAGAAAAATGAAATACCTAGTCTGACCTAAATGCAGACTTTAGAGCAGAAAGTCATTCCCTTGGGTATCTTCATTCTCTACACCTCGTGAGATGTGCAGAGCAGACACCAGGTTTATTTATTTTTAACAAATTAAGGAAGCCATGCAAACAACTGTGCCTTGTGGTTGGCTCCTGTTCTCAGATTATGTACACCATCGCAGATTTAGGATGCTTCAAATACTGAGTCTCAGGACTGGATTGGAGTCATGTTATTTACTGTACTTACTCTTGGTCCTGGTGGCCCAGGTGACCCCTAGAAAATAAGAGATACTATGTATTAGATTCTTCACACATTTATAGAAAGCAATCACAATGCAAAAACACAGGCATTTTTTTCAATGCACTTACAGGTGCCCCTGTCTGGCCCTGAGGTCCCTGGGGTCCCTGGAAGAAATGGAGATAAAATGCAACAGTTACAGTTGAATATCTCTGCTCCTATAATTATGTATTTTTTAAATCACAAATGCCACAATACATACAGTGACATCAACAGGTTTGTGGTATGGGCCTTAGTAAAACTGTAATTGTTCATATTCTTAAAGTACCACACTCTGTGAATGTGAAATACTCTTTTGAGTATTGCTGGTTGGCTAGTTACCAAAACTTGTTTATCCGACTGTATTTGCTATAAAAGTCATTCTTACTCAAAGTATGACTACATAACATATCATACAACGTGCCAGCATTATGTGCATATTGATGATACAAATGCTATAGTGGACAAATTAGCATAAAAGTGTTGTGAAAATGTTATAGGCTGTCAAAAAGAAGTGACTGATTTTCTTGTCTCCACAAATATCTTCAGGGCGTTTGTCAGCTCCTTTTACCAGCAGTGATACTTTTCAGGTAGAATGCATTAGGTTAATTGCTTAACAGAAATATTGCAGGCTTCCTTTATATTAATGATATTATGTCTATACTCCCAACCTTAAGGGCCATCATTTTAGTATGTAGGATAATATGGTGGGCAGGAAAGGAGGACAGCTGCCTGGCCCTAGCTCATAGTTCCTGAGCTTCAGTTTTGACTTAGGGTTGTATACATACCCTCCCAAACACAGTCTTCCTCATATGAATGAGCCTTTCTATTCACACTGAGACAGAATGATACCTGTATCTCTGTTAAATTCCCTTTTCCATTCCCTATATACAGAGAGCCTCTAGGAGCTGCTGTAACATAATACCAAGAACAGTGACAAGGAAAAGAGTAGGTGACAGTGATACAACACAAGCAAAAGAGAGAAATAAGAGGCACAGAGCAGATCTGCATTATGCATGAATAAAATCATAAAACCTATCTGAGTTTATTTAAGCAAAGCGCTCCTTAGCTACTGCTGTGTATACCAATTATTCAAGCACAATGAGCTGTTCCAACAAAAGCATTCATATGCCACCATAGTCGTGCCAGAATTGTTTCTGCCAAAAGAGAAATAATCTTATCTGACATGGTAATGCAGTAAATATTGTGTGGTCAGTCTAGCCAAGGAGGTATCAACACTTAACATAGCAATAAGAAGTATTCCTGCTGTGAGAGTTCACAAGATCCGTGTGAGAGTCACTGCAAGCTACAACTGCTGACCATGGGCTGCAGCTGGTCCAGCTGGAAAAGGCTCAGATAATCAATTCAGTCTTACACTGATTTTACAGAATAACAGAATTCTGTGATTTATGCATATTTAAGTAAAGAGGACCTCAAAACAAATAGCAGTAGTTTATTTAGGCTCCAAATTCATCTTTATTGAGACAATAGAAGCTGCATTTCTTACTATTTCTACACATGCTCATAAGATAGAGCACACAGCAGCCACCTGGAAGTGTATCTGATGGGATTATGATGACTTCTGCAGCTGCTCAAGGTGACGAGTGCCTGCACGTCACCTGCTTTTCTCATGCCAGAGGGGTTCAGGTGCTGCACTGCTGCTGTCATGTCATTCCCAGCACTAGAACTATATCAGCCAGGGGCTGAAACTTATGCTTTATGCATGTTCTGTATGAGAACTGAAATAAGCTGTTCCTGAGAATTTAGAGGCATGATCTTCCGACACTTAAGAAAGACAAACTTAATAGCATAATTTAATGACTAAAAGTCATTTTTTTAACTGATGCACCCCAATCCTATTTATGTTTCATCCACTTATAACCACAGAAGGGACTCTTAAGTCATTTTGTAGGTAAGTGTTTGCTGTTATTTTATAAAGGCATTAATGATTAATTTTGGAAAATGTATTTCAAAGGATGAGTCACTTTAGCATATGCAGTAGTACAGAAAACACTTGCAGGTCCTATGGCAAGTACCTCACCTTTTTACTCTGATTTTGATTACTGCACAGCTTGAAATTACCTTTGAAATCCTATTACTATGAAAGAGACATATTATTTTTGTTACAAAACAGATTTTTTATTTCTGTTTTTATTACAAAACAGATGGGAGAGGAGTTTGCAGAGGTGATATCTACTTCACTATTTTGTGGTAGACCTTGACTGATACAAACGAACGGAATATCACAGAGCTGACCTCCACATTTAGTCAATCAGATCAGCAGCTCAGGTGCTGTTGGACTGCTGTGGGATTCAGTGGCATGTGGATGCACAGCTGGTCTCTATGATTGTGCTTGGTGAAGTATCTTTAGTATGAAATGAAAGTGCAAAAGAGAACCTTGGACAGACAAATTTGACGGTGTGAGGATGTACTTGTTTATCTTGGTTCAGGACTGGATTATGCAAACACCAGGTCAAGCAAGGCACAAAGTCTCCAACAGTTCATCCCTAAGTAACCACTGCTCTCTGATGAATAGATGGCTTTGTTCTCTGGGTGTTGAGATTTACAAATTTCAGGAAATTTTCCAGATGACCGAATACTTCAGTTAATATTCTATATTCTTGACATATGTCACAATTTTAAAACTTCTAAACTTCTGGGATTAGGACAGATGAAAATTGTGGTGCTTCTGATACAGAACTGAATATTTAAAAATCCCCAACTGCACTGTTCCAATGCCTGTTAGGGATCTTGCAAAAGAGGAATGGGGCTTGTATTGATTCACTGTCACCTTGCCAACAAAACCAATCTGGGAAAAAAGATAAAAATTGAATGCAATTTGTCAACTGCAGTAAATATCTTTGGAGGGGATATTACATTTCCCAAATATATTAAAACTTAGAAGATCTATATCAATTACTTTTAAAAGTCTTTAGAATGTAGCCAAACTGTATAGAGTGTGTTGACAATCCTGTAAAGATGTTATATTATTTCTTTCCGTTACATAGCAGCAGAGTAAGATTGAACTACACTTTTTATGGATTAAGCTAATTGCAGAATGTTTCATTGGAATGTAGGGGATTACCTTTACAAATCCACTTCATTTACCTTTTGATCATAATAGAATTTAAGTGAGAAGATTCTAGTATAATTCCAGTGTACTGAGTATAATTGCAGTTGATAACAAAAGCAGATAACAGAGCTGTTAGTTTTAGTGTGCTCTTTAATTCTTTAACCACCCTCTATGCTAGTACAGAAGTTCAAAGGGCAAAACTCCAGCCTTCTTCTAACTCTGATTTCACATGCATTGATAGATAAGTTTAACTTTGAAAACATGACCAGCCCCAGGGATGTCCATATTTTATATGCCTTCAGAAACTTTTGAAGAAACAAAGTAAAATATTTATTTAAAATCAATTGAAATGATTTAAAAAATTAAAACTGGTATCCCAAAATGGTAACCTTTCCATGACTACTTTTGCTATTTTGGTATTATTCCATTGCATCTCAGAATGGGTAAATCATAACAAAAACATAGTACTCTGATATACCAGACAGCGTATTAGCTGTTGTTAATGACTGTAAATCTACGATGAAAGATTGTAATAGAAAATTACAGACTCTGCTTTATCGTATTTTACTTTACTTTTAACCATAGGATAGTCAAGTGCTGGAACACTTGCCCCAAAAGATTATCCAATCTCCATTCCTGGAAGTTATCAAGACTCATCTGAACACAGGTCTGAGTGATGCAGTCTGATCACAAAGCTGATTCTTCTTTAAACAAAGCTTTGGACGTGAAATATCTCATGGTCCAAACAACCTGGATTATCCTATGACTCTATATTATAATCTACTAATTTTTTATTATTTTATATTACTAATGACATGCCCTGAAATTAAAAACAAAAACAAAAACCAACAGTAATCTTAAACTAGGTAAGTTAATAAGAAATGTCAGAATTCTGAAACAATATTCTATAAAGCTTTCCATGACTTTCTCAATGTTATAATGACAGCAATATGATTATTTGGAATTGGAAAATACTTTTCATTTTATTCCAAGAACCCTCTGTTTCTGACTACCAAATTTTCTCAGAAATAGCCTACAGGACCTGAAGTTTTAACTAAACAGGGAGATATGGTTTTATGTTCCATGTTTTTCAGAAGATGAGAGAACATTTCCTTCTAGTATTGAACACTATTCATGACAGACTAAAAATTTTTAACTAAAATTTAAAATCCTACAGAGAAGTTGAAATTTCCACGATTCTAGCACGAATGCCAATATCAATTCTGAAGGTATAAATGCAAGCTCAGAACATGCAGTTGGATGCAAATCACTTTATCTCCTTCACATATGAAAACAGTTGGAAATCTGCCCTTACACTGAAAACTGCTGCACTTTATGTAGTTCAAAATTAAGCATCCTTGTTCAGAAAAAAAGTCTTAAAAGAGGAATTCATAATTTAGGTAATAATTTCTTAAGGAGCAGCACCACTAATAGAAAAGATATTTTTTCACTGCTTTTTGTGCGTATGTTTGCATGCATGTGTGTGCCCACATTTCTAGCTCTATGCTGTTACAGGCATTCTTTAAATAAAAGATGAGAAACATTTAAGATGGTTAATAGAAAGAATTGAGAGCCTAGTTTCTTCTTACTATGAGATAGGAATTGTCACATTAGGATCAGTGAGGAAAGATTCTTGAGATAAATACAGAAAAGCTTCATTCTAAACCTTAATTATTTGAGTTTTTATGATTTATTTTTCAAAAACTTTATAAAGCAGTTAGGTTGGAACCGTACGTAGGTGGATAATAAAAATCAAGATCCATTAAAATGTGAAACTAAATGACCTTTGCGAGGTGGGATGAAAGGAAAAATATTGCATTGGCAGTTACAGGAACAGGAAGCGATTGTTACAAACTAATGCCATATGTATCAACTGAAACTGCATTCACATTTGCTGTAAATAAGATAAATTTACACTGGCTTTTCAGGTAGCCATCATTAGCTGGATGCTTTACTACCTCTAACACAATTTTTAAATAAAACCAAACATTTAATATTGGACAAAAAAAAATGTACTCTTCTTATTGAAGAATGAAAGCACAGCTTGATTAGCTATCAGCTCTGCCTGCTGTATCCACAGCTGGCATGGAGTACATGGACACCAGCCTCCTGCTTCTGGCTTCTCCCTCTCCAGACAAGAGCATGCAGGCACAAATGCGGTGCTGAATGACACCCTGCTGTGAGGCACTGGAGTGCTGACAACAAACAGAAGATTTTGCTTTTAGATCTGAACCATAACAGATGTGGGGTATGTGCCTGCTATATGACTGCGAGCCATATTGTTTGAAACAGGAGCCTGCCTGCACAAGGAGAAGTTGAGCTTTTGACTTGTGGTCCCAGCCTTCAGGACAGAGCTTTGCTCAGCACAGCAGAGCCCTCCGGCTGGCAGAGCAGGCAGGAGAGCACTCAGCATCACACACGAATACTTTTCACACAGCCAAGTGAATGAAAGCACAGAAGTGGTTTCAGCTTACCATTTCACCCCTTGTGCCCTTCTCACCTCTCGGTCCCTGTAAGAAAGAGAAGTTGTTAAGCCAGCATGCTTTTTAGCTTCTAGGACTTCAGCAAATCAATGTGAGAGAGAGTCATACAGCTCCCATGAAAAGTCCACCTGTGGAAGTATTTACAGCTCTGGGGCTTTAATTTTTCTGCATTACTAGAAGGATAAATTGTTTGAAAACAGCTTGTAATTCCTATATTTGAAAAACGGATTGTTTTCTTCAGATTGCAGACACATTCTTTTCTCAGTAATTTTAACAGCCAGTGTTCTCCCTCTCGGGAGGCTGTACTCTCCAATCTGATCCATCTTAGTGGGAGGTAAGTGTTTCACCATCTGATGAACTGGGAGCCAAACATGGTCCCCTCTGCCACCGAAGAAATCCATTGGTTACGCATCCACTTTTGTTAGCTCTTTTCTCACAGCTAGATTACACACTGGTTTTCTGTCTCTGTGGCATTTTTAGCTAGTTTTTCATTTATGCTGTGTTACATTCAATATGAAGTCTATTAAAACCTTTGAACATTTATATAGAACTGTTTTCTACCATGTGACGGTGAAATGAATACAGGAAGACTTAAAGTGTTGCCTTTTTCCCAACAGGTGGAAAGAGAAGTCTAGTTATCAGAGGAATTATTCCTTCTCCTTTTATTTTTACTTTTAAGTAGTCATATATATTAATTTTATAGTGGAACTGCAGAATAGTAATGGTTGGAAGGGACCTCAAGAGATCATCTAGTCCAACTAAAGCAGAATCCTTTCAGCAGGTTGCACAGGAAAGCATCCAGGTTGGTTTTGAATATTTCCAGAAAAGGAAGCTCCAAAACCTCTCCAGGCAGTCTGTTCCAGCACTCTACCACCCTCAAAATAAAGAAGCATTTCTTCATGTATGGAACTTCTTATGTCCCAGTTTGTGCCCATTGCCCTTTGCTTTGCCATTGGGCACCACTGAAAAGAGCCTGGCCACATCCACTTGGCACTCAACCTTTAGATTCTTCTAAACATTGATAAGAGCCCTTCTTGTCCAGGGTTGAACAGCCCCAGCCCTCTCAGCCTTTCCCTGTAAAGAAGATGCTCCAAACTCCTCATCATCTTTGTGGCCCTCTGCTGGACACTTCAAAAGTTCCCTGTCTTTCTTGAACTGAGGAGTCCAGAAACTGACACAGTCCTCCAGATGCAGCTTCACCAGGGCAAAGTAGAGGGGGAGGATCACCTCTCTCAAACTGTTGGCCACACTCTTTCTTAATGCACCCCAGGATACCTGAGGCTTCCTTGGCCATAAGGCACACTGCTGGTTCATGGCCAACGCGTTCTCCACCAAGACACTCAAGTCCTTCTCCGCAGAGCTCCTTTCCAATAGGAATATTATATATACCTGTTATTTTGAGGATTACTATTTCAACTTTTAGACATTCTCCTGAAATTGCCTCCAAGTTCTATGGATCAGGAATTTGGAGGTATAAAAAAAAACATTATGTATCTTCCATGGATGGGATGGGTGTCTTGGACATGGTAGACAGAACCTGTGGATCTGCAGGTGGTCTTGTAGAATGCTGCTCTGTCCCACGCACAGGGAGAGAGAGACAGAATTAAAAACAGGGATGGGGGCAGAACTCCCCTGCTTTAGGGAACCTAGAGAGCACTGAGGGCCATCAGAAAGGCCAAGAGGAAGATTTTTCTAGAACTCCTGCAGACTTAAGACTGAGTAAGGACAATCAGGTGACAGTTTATGTGTTGTTGTACACCTTGATCTGCTCGCTGCCACTGTAGCCATGTCCTCTGTATGCTATGCTTCAGCACAATACCACTACAATGATTTTTTCATCATCTTGTTTGTATCGGATGCTTCTATTACATATACTTTAACTTGCCAGCATAGTAACACTACAAAGATGGTGCTGCTAGTTACTCTTTGCAGATGGCAAAATAAGATAGTGAACAGCCATAAAACAGATTATTAGAAATGAAGGTAAGTGGAATAATGAGAGTATGCAAAAGAAAAGGGAAACTCACAGGCCTGCCAGTTGGGCCTGCAATGCCTTCTTGACCAACAGGCCCAATATATCCCTGTAAACAAACAAACAAAAAATTAGATGAGTGAGCTTTCAAAATGGAGAAAATCCTCATGACACATCCCTGCTTCAAGTTGCTCAGCACTGGTAAATATCCAAAAGATCTTGGCAACGATCTTGCTCTGAACAGTGAACGCTCTTTGCTATATAATCAACAAGTGGAAACTTAAATATTCTGACCACCAAAGACCAATTATTTACTGAGCTACAATCACTAATATCTTGAGCCATGTTACCGACTGCAAGTACTCTTGTAAGACTACCGGCAAATACTGCTACAATGTGATTTTACTATTCTGTTTCATTTAGAGTGAAACAGCTCATTTCCAGTGTTTATGTTGTATAGGAATGTTTTAAAAAAGAAACAACAAACCAACAGCTATTAGAACAAGGTCACTAAAGTCTTTGCGCTGCATCTGGTTAACTAAACTGTCAGTGGTAGCAGTGAGAGAACTTTCCAGTAAGTCTTCTTGCGCTGCAAACTTCCCCCATTTGATGCAGTAAGATGGATGCACGTTCCCAGATATTATACAATGCTTTCACATTTTTTGTAAGAAAGTACAATATCATGAAGGTGTCATGCAGAATGAACTAATGCAGACTAGTAACCTTATGAAAAAAAGAAAGGAAATACATTTTAAAAAGACTACTTAGAAATTCTCAATGCCTAAGTACTGGTCTCTTTCACTGTAGGCAAAGTTTGACTCTGTTTTGCTTCCCCGTTAGACAGTTATGCAATCAGCATTATGGTCAGTAAGAAGAGAAATAAATAAATGACAGTGATAAAGAAACTTGTGTAGATAAAGTTGTACAAGGAGAGTGTCATTATCAGCAGAACCTGCTTTTTTCCTTAAAGCTGGGATCCCAGCTCTGCTTATGTGCCTGCACCCACGTTGTAATCACACCACTGTGGCTGACCAAGCAAAGGGCTTCTAGCAGAAACAGTCTGAGAGAGAAAGTTTTGAGTAGAGGGTTCTGGTCTTTTAATACAAAAAAGGAGGATTCCTTCAGCTGGAAATGTGTGAAACCTGTAAGCCTTCCTGACAATGTCCTTTATGGAGTGAAACACTTACAATTTGCCCTGTTGGGCCTTTCGGGCCCAGAATTCCAACTAAGCCAACATCTCCTGCAGGACCCTGAAAATACAAAGGAAAAGTTTAGTCAAACATAAACATCAGCTATCAGCTTGTTTTAAACTCTTGTAAGCAGTGGAAGATAATTTCTAAGAGCTGTAACAGTGAAAATACCAAGCTCGCTGACCCAGAACATTCATATTTGGACATGAAGTACACAGCTCTGACTACAGTGTTCCAACAAGTTCAGACACACTCTGAACAAATTATTGTTAAAGCTGATTAAATCTGTTCTTCCCTAGTATTTTCACTCTGTAAATGGCATAAGATCTAACAAAAAAGAACAAACACATACTTTTGGACCTGGGAATCCTTGAAACCCCATCAAACCTTGATCTCCATCTTCTCCCTGTAATAGAAGCAGGCATCCTCACTTATTCCATGCTGGTAACTCTTGGAATAGTTGTTTTGCCTCAAGAGCTGTGATTACGTACAGTTTGTCCTTTGGCTCCAACCTCTCCCACTGGCCCCTGGTCACCTTGTGATCCTGGATGGCCTCTTTTACCCCGTTTTCCTGGATGACCCTGAAGTCCTTCTGCACCCTGTGAGTAGGAAGAAAATGCATCTTAATATACATGCTTTAAGCTATTTCCAGTATGGTACCTCCCTGTGAAAGTGCTCAAGTGCACAAAGTGAATTACAGAACAGGAAGAAAAGGAGTAAATTTTAAAAAACAATCACTTGAGCATGGCATAATATAGCTGTGGAACTCCTTGTTGTTAGACTAAAATTTCACATTAGTTCACACAGAAACCGGGCAAGTTCACGCTAGAGGAATTCTTTGAGGACAATTAAATGCATAGAAATCACGTCTAGCTCAGGAGATCACCAATCTGCAAATTATTTGGATTGGGAACATACCACTTTCAAGATTTCTTTGTGCTTACGCTCTTTCTTTGGTAATTCCTTTCAGCTCTAGCAAAGACTTTTGGCCTGACTCAGTATGTCTCCTCCTAATACTTTGCAAAATCTGGTAACCCTTTTCCCCTTTATTTCCACTTTTTCAGATTGCAAGGTTTTCTGAGCAGGAACTGGCTCTTTTCAGTTAATCATCCAGACCAAGCAGTATAAACTGGACTGAAGTATCAGCAGTAGACACTAATAACAGTGAACACGGCTTTTACAAAATATCTTTATGAAAGGATAACAGACAGTATTTCCCTGCCCAGTTTTCAATTAAAGCATTAAAAAGTGCTTACTGTCGGAATCACACAGAAAGTGGCAAATCACCATTTTAAATGAAAAGTTCATCTTTAAATGGTGAAGATTATTTGCAATGTTTCCTTTCTTCGCTTTTAAACCATCAAAATGAGTCTGATTAATATTATCAGTAGAAGCAGAGGAGGCCAGCACAATCTATACTCACACCTTTCATATAAATCCTGCTATCAATTGTTTGTATGATTGACAGCAGCATGGTATTTCCCTACTCACTGCATGCTGAGCAGTATTAGTAGTACTGCACTTAAACAACATGATCTGATGCGCATACCTTTAGCCCGGGTGCTCCCATGGGCCCGGGCATGCCTGGCAATCCCTTTGGACCTCGAGCTCCAGGATAACCTGCCAGACCTGCTAAGCCTGGGCTTCCTTTATTACCCTTAATAAATTGAAAATAATTATTATTAGCAGAAAAGTCAAACATGTTTTCACTATATGCTAAAACAGGCATGGAACATACAATCAGCTAAAGCTACTTAAAGCTTTCTGTATACATAGATACACTGATGGTACTCCAAAACATACAGAAAGAATGATCAGCAGTATCATCTGGATTTCTATTAATTCTTAAAAAAAAAAAAAAAAAAAAAAAAAGTCTGTCATACTTAGCAACATAGCTTCATGTACTGTCACTGTGGTATAGACAGAAGTTTCTGAGAAGTCAAGTAATTGCAAGATAAGTCACTGACTGTTAAGCAAAACAAATGTCAAGCACATCTTAGCCCATTGCAATGGGCTAACTTTACTTTCTAGTCAGAATATCACAGAATCATGGGGATTGGAAGGGATCTCTGACAATCACCTTGTCCAGTCCACTTCTAAAGCAGGTCTTGTAGAGTAGGTTGAACAGGAAGGCATGAGCAAACAGCCTGCTGTAATATGAGCACGTGGTATGAAAAGCAATCCTGAGTTTGCCACCAATTTGTACTGCATCCTAACTAGAACAGGCAAATTTGTCCAAGTTTCAGAAAGTGCAAGAAGTTCACAGAAGGTGGATTATTGTGGAGATAGTAAATGGGCAATTTTTATTTTCCCAAATATATCACCACTACAAAGGAAAATCACTGAATGATGGAGGCTCAGGCTGATGCCCAAATACATGCAGCCATGGGCATGTGATGTCATCTACCAAAGGGCTGTGATATCAGTGAGAGATGACTGTGACCTTACTGACCCTCATGTATGAATTCGGGTATTGGCAGAGGTCAGTGTGGGCTTGTGCTTGGACTCTAGTTGAGTACAGCTGCAAGACTTGGAGCACTGAACGAGGACTTCCTTGGGTTGTGCAGTGGAGCTGAGGGCAGTTCTTGATGCCTATCCCAAAACACTGTCAATGTTTACCCTGCCCTGCCTGACTCAGGCAGCTGGGGCCCCACAGGGTGCACTAGCAGCAGCAGAGGTGAGCGGTGTAGGTACACAGCTTTGGGCAGCCAGTGTGGAGCAAGGGCCAGAAGGTCTTGCTGCTGAGGGACCAGAGCATTGCTGCTGCCTGTCCTGGGGACAAAGAGTGACTGCAGCCTCTTTTTCTCTTTCTTTTGCAGTTTATGACACCTTCTATCCACTGCAGTGCCAGCGAGGAGAGTAGCTTCCCAGTCTTACTCTCCCTCACCCACTGTGGGGCCATGGCGATACTATCAGAATAGACCTGCCCTGTCTGTTGGCAAAACTGGGATGATGTCATCTACGTGACCCACTATCTCCACCAACTTTGCTACAGCTGTGGGTTCTCGTGGGCCAAGAAGAAGCCGAAATGTGCTGTATGCAGACACAAGATCAGGACCATCCGATATTCAGTGCAGTCAGATGATGATTACTTCTAGCATTCTGTTCTGCAGTTCACAGCTTGCTCAGGTTATAGCCTGCAAGGTGAGCAGGAGTCTGCAGAGCCCGTACTCCTGAATCCTGAGCACAGCTTCCCACCTGAGGGCTGGGCTGCCTGTTTTGAAGAATATCCAGCAGACCTCAAACCCCTGCTCCAGTGCTTCCAAGAAGAGATCTGTGGCAATGGGTGGTAGAAGGTGTTTGAAGGACAGTGCACTGTCATAGACTTCCTTTGCATGCATGGAACAGAGGCTGTGGTCATTTCTCAAGGACCACATGGTGCCCTTTGTGAGGAGGTTCATCACTGCTGTCAATTACCAGAGCTCCACTGGCAGCAGGACAAGCCGGGATGCCTGTGCTGCAGGAGGGCAATAGGACAGCCTCACAGCCACCCTCAGTCCCACTGCCTGCCATCAGAATCCTCCTGCCTCTAGCCCAGGCCACTCTTTCAGCCCTGCAGGCTCCAGCACTGATGAGCTCCCTGGTGATCTTCATGGGGATCACAGGTATCCCACCATTGCCACTGTGCCCTCACAGGAGGAGATGGAGCAGGCAGAGATAGTGGGACTCTCCACCCAGGGCAGAGGCTGCTCACCAGGGAGCTCTGGCACCCCCTGAAGAGGAAGACCCACAGCAGCCCCCCAGATTCACCCCCACCCCACAAGAGTTGGCTACAGCAGTGCCGTTAGGCTAGCAAAATCCACCGCCAGGCAAAACACAGCTCAGGGGATGGGAGACCAACATCTCTTAGTCTGCTTCTGAGAGAAAATAAAAGCTTAAAAAAAAAAAAAAAAAAAAAAGGTCTGATTTCCAAAATGTCAACAGAACTGAGACTGATTCCTTCTGTTTAAACACCGTAATCTCTGAAAATCTTTAATGCAGAATGACAAAAAGAGGGGCAATGTGGAAAGCAACTTACCTTAGGGCCAGATTTTCCTGACAGTCCAGGCTTGCCAGGGTTCCCAGGAATGCCCTCTGGACCAGGGTAGCCCACTGCTCCTTTCTGCCCTACTGGTCCCAGTTTTCCCTTGAAATAAATTCAAACCAAATATAACATAGTTGGCACTCCTCACCTTAAAAAAGCCAGATTTCAGTCACAGTATTTCCTAAATCCTACAGTGATGCATGTGAATATTCACAGAGATGGAGAGTTTGCATGTATGGTTTAAAATGCTATTGGCTTAACCTTAGGCTTGCTAGGTTGTGGGATCTGAGGAAATTCAGACAAAACCCTGGGGTTGACCCTTCTGCATGCCAAGCCTGGAAGACCGCTGAGTGTGTTGGTTCTTAAGCCGAAGCAAAGAAACCTGGTAAAGTCACCTAGGTATCTCTGTAAATAAAACTAACCACACCTCTTTATTTTGCTAGAAAATTAATATCATGTGTTTGCAAATTTATGCTGCTCAAATCTGCACACCTTAAAAAAAAAACAAAAAATTCTAATTGGACAAGTTTGTGCTAACTTACTGTACTTGCACTGAAAAACCTCATATTACATTCACCAGAAGAACAAAAATTTTCTCTTTACAGTCATTTCCTTTTAGACTGACACATATGATCATACGGAACTTGGAGTTCTACAACATCTCTCTATGAGTATATTTCTCAGAAACGTAAAGCATGCTATCTAGGCCACGGCTCATTATAAAAAGTATGTTTGGCTGTCTTAAAGAATGTAAGTGTTCCATCTTAATATCATTTCTAACTGATGAGGACCCTCACACTTGGAATGTGCAAGACTTCTGCTTTACTGTCTTCTCTTTGCATCTCCATTTTTCTTGCATTTCCCATTTCTCCGACATCTGCAGTGATGCTCTCTGCAGACCTCCAGGGGGAAAAGCCAAGTATTTACAAAGGACACACAGTCTGCTTGCCTTCAAAGGGCTATTCTTCCACTCTTCCCAGAAGGTAGAAGTTCTGTGAAGCAGCTGCATTTCTCTGGTTACCGACAATGTTTTGATGTGAGGTAGTAAAATATATTTACAAAATAGTCTTGTGTGGTATTATTTATTAGGGGACCAAAATAGTCTTGATGCATTTTGTTCTCATTTATGTTTACAGAACACCTACTGCATCCTGCTTTCTTTTCCCTCGGGAAGAAAGGGATACGAGTTAGCTTCTTTATGGTTACTCAAGAAAGAGAATTAAAAATTTCAGCTCAGGACAAGTGAAAGAATAAAACCTCCAGAGATCCATCATGGACATATGGATACAGCCTTCTGTAGGCCACAGCTGTTGAAGGAGCTGATGGAAGCCAGGAGTGCACAGTAGTACAGCTCTGCGTAATGTAATGTGATAACTTGCACATGGGCTATGGGCCACACGAACATCTAGTTAAGTAACTGTTCAAGTGGGATGCACCTTGTTGCTATAGTAGCTGCACTTGTCTGCCACATGCTGAGTAATTGAGTGTAAATTAATATGATTAAATACAGTCTCAAAAATTATTTTTACTTTCACAGGGGCTCCTTTACACTTCCTGGAAAATGAGAACAGAAGGCTATCTAGTACCACTGCCATGAGTCAATTTTGCTGTCCTTCATTTCTAACCAGAAGATCAAAAGGCCAGAGCTGTGTTACTTACAGGAATGCCAGGTTTGCCCGCCTGACCCGTTGCTCCTTTCTTCCCTGTGGGCCCCTAAAAGTTGCAGATACTTGGGTTACAAAACACTGTCCTCCAAGAAGATCTGAAAATTGATTTTCCTCGCTGGTACAAATGTCCATATTGCCTCACTTTGAGGTGGAGGTAGCAGAAAGTTTTTCAATAACTTCACACATTTCCCACCAGAAAACTACACCAGCACAGAAAAACATGCTCTTGAAGTACTTTCAATATCTTTCAAAAATGGAAATCATTAAAAACTGGCAATGCACTGAGTAAGGAAAGGAGTACTAGAAAAGAGTAGCATCACAAATAGGAACATTATTTCTATCTAAAATGTAGACAGAAGACAAAAACTACATAAAATCACTCTATTTTGGCTTGATCTAGTAATCTTCAGTTTGAGACAACTGAGTGATACTGACAGGAGATCCAGCAGGCAAATACCAATGCAGAAATGCTCAGATTGGGTCAAAAGGATCTGAGAATTCTGTTTACATCACATTCTTCATTGAATGTAAATATCTAAAACTTGTCACAAAATTTAGAAAGTACTCATTAATTACAACATATACATGAATTTTATCCTAACTCTCAAAGATATAACCACTCAGACAACACAAATGAGAATACATCAATTGAGTAGAAAAGAGCTCCCAAGATTTTTTTGATATTACTTTTAACAGTGCTCTTAAAGCAAAAGCTATATTAAGTTACTATGCTGCAATATTACATAACATGCAGTAAAGTGAAAAAAAATAACATTATAATTATATATTTTTAAAATGATTAATAAAAATATGATTTAGTCAGCAAAATTATGTCCTATTCCTTAACATCTGTAAGTTAATGAAGGCATACATAACATGCACCAATCAGAACAGGAACTCATATTCAAAAATTCTTATATTGTTTTAAATAGTGGAATGCATATAAAGTAAATCCAGATGATTCAGAATTGCATTGTATGGGATTGTCTTTTTTAGACTTTTGGTTTACTCCAGGTTGCCTACTTGTAAATGGCAGTTTTAATTTGAAAGGTATTTCCAACACAAAGAATATGTTCCCTAAGGGAAAGGCAGAGGAGTGACCAATTTTATCCTGTGATGTGTGTAGTTTCTTAAAGGCAATATATCCTGGTACATGGTTAGGGCACATGCTGATAGTGCTTTTACATCACACTTCCTTTTTATTGCTCCCCATTCCCCACTTGGTGTAGATTCTGATATTCACCTAGGACTTTTTGAAACATTAAAAACTGTCTATGAAACTTTTCAGGCAAAACATCTCATTTAATTTCCAAAATGAATTTGTATTATAATTGTATTGCATTATACATAAAATACTTTTGGCAACTTTCAATGAACCATCACAGTTAACTATTATTTCTAAAGGAAAAAGACTTTGTGTTTTATTTTTATCTGGACTTGCTCTGCCTCTGCTACTCTTCAGCAAATTCCTTATTTCCGAGTGACAATTCAGTGCAAGAGGCTTCATTTATAAATCAGACTGGCAAAATCCTGTTGTTGTCCAAACCTTGTCACAAAAACTCCACTTCAGGGTATAATTGATTATCACTGAAGTATTTCCAAAAGAGCCTCTCAAATGCTTTACACAACCCAAAGCAAAACTACTTATTTATCAAATAAAACATATCTAATAAGATTATTATACAGTTTTCCCATATATACTTTTATTGCCCCTGCACATATGAAAAAGCAAGCCAAATACTGAATTTCCTTACAGAAATCTCCTTACAGAATTTCCTTACAAAGAAGCCTTACAGAACAAGAAAAAATACGAGCAGTTTCCATGCTGCTGTCAGTCAGTTACAAAAGTTTCTTACAAGCTTACTATTTGCAAAAAAAAATCCCAGTAGTTTCAAAAGAGAATGCAAAAATAAAAATTGATTCTTTTCAGGGAAGGGCAAGATGCCACTAATGGATGCTGTCATATCAACGCCAGGACACAACATAAGCATCTTAAAAGAACCAAAATATGCCTGCAAGGGAGAGAACACAGTGTGATCTCTGTGCAGGTGGCTACAGCCAGATGTAGATGCAGCCACAAGACCTGCTGGAGCTTCAGTGAGCACCAGGCACAGCACTGCCACCACTTCAGACTGGGTGTCTCACACATACTGCTGAGCCCCTGATGAACAGGCTCTTATGGACTTGGATCAGTGTGAAAAAACATTTAGTTAACATTTAGCAACATCTTTGGCCTAAATCTGCAGAACAGCATGCATACAAATTTCTAACAACAGACTGCAACAAATCTGTCTAGGGCATCAATCAAACCATAGTGGTAGATAATGATGCAAAATTAAGCGGGGTTCAACTTCAGAGTGCTGGTTAAAGCTGCTGAAGACTTAATAGGACGTGCAAAATGAGAACAGGTGATGGAGAGCCCTAGGCTTCTCATGACACTAGAATATAAAGGCAAATATTATGTAATCTTTAAGAGTATCCATCAGAAATCATGTTTTACTCTGAAAAGTTCTTGTATGTATCAAACACCTACACTTTTTTTTTTCCCCTCAGCAATGGAGAATAAACAAGAAAAGCAAATTCCATTTAAATGCTTTTTTTTTTTTTTTTTTTTTTTAACTGATTTTCCACTTACTTCTGAACCTCTTTCTCCTTTCAGTCCTTGCTCTCCCAGTTCACCTGGCTCTCCCTTTGGAAAGAACACATTAAATAAGCAAATAACATCATTTGAACACAAATGAAAGTCTAATTCCAACAACCAATAAATAAACCTCACTTCTCAAAACACTTACTGGAGGCCCCTGTTGTCCAATTGGTCCTCTAAGCCCTGGAAGACCTATATGACCCTGGGAAGCAGAAAATATAATATATTGTAATATACATAAGTCAGGGTAACACGCTCAATAAGCTATAGATCTGCCTGTAAAGCACATCCTGGGAGGTGTTGAGTGGCCCCAGCTTGACTGATTTCACTTGCATAAAGTGTGCTTAGCTCTCCTGAGATGAGACCTTAGGGAGCTTTTCTTTATTAAACTCGTTATTTCAAACTCACTCAAGAGGAATATATATGTCTGTATTTTAAACATTTCTGCATTTTCATGAGCATAGTCTGTATTTGGTTCTTTGATTTATTACGATGCCTATCTTCACTGTCTGTGCAACTTAAGCAGGATATTCCAAGTACTGTTTTATATTTCACCAGACAAGTAGAAAGAGTTACTATCCTTTTCTGTTTGCTGAAAGACTGTGTACAACTAATGAATAATTGTTAGAATTAGAGAATAATTTAGGTTGGAAAGGATCTTATCCAGAGCAACTAAGCTTAAGAAAGACCATCAGGCTGTCTAGGACCATTGCCTAGCTGGGTTTAAAGCACCTCCTAGGAGTCACTTTTTTTAAAAAGTGTTTTCTTGTGTTCAGATGGAACATTTCACTTGTCTCAATTTGTGTCCATTGACTGTCACTGCACACTACCAAGATGAGTTTGTCATCTTCATCTTCATTCCTTCCCATTAGGTATTTATACACACCAAGGTTCCCTGCCCAAGTTTTCTTTCCTCCAGGTGGAAGTGCCCTTGCTCTGCCAGCTTCTCCTCACAGGAAAGATGCTCCAATGTGTACTAAGAACACATCACTGCAGTGAGGCATCAACACATGCATCTTTGTGCATGTGTGGGAGATGATGATATTTTTGCTGCATGAGTCTGCATGTATGAACACCAGCAATGTTCAAATGGAAAGTATTAAAAAGCAAGAGGTATTACCTTGTAGCCCTCATCACCAGGTTCTCCTCTATCTCCACGTTCCCCAGTGGGCCCCTGTAAAAAAGAAAAAAGAGCACAGTGCAGCAGCTGAACTGATATGCAGCAAAATAAAGAAGAATCTGACCAAGCAGACTGAATGGAAGACTCAAAACATTATGTTTAGCTTGTCTAAAGGAATAAATATTTTTTTCCTAAAAAAATTCACTGCAGTCAGACAGAAAGCATTATCTACAATATTTTCTAACTGAAGAAGTTACAGTAGCTCTTGTACAGGCAAAAATAAAATAGGAACACTGAGCTCATCAGAAATTCTGATACATATGTATATTCCATGGTATCGGAATTACGAATCTCATGAATGATCACACTTTGTTTTCAAGGAATACAAGGAAAACTCTTGTGCAATTTCCATAAGACAGCACATGGTAAATGAGGTTGTCTTTCACAATGGCTTGCTACACTCAGAATTTGCTTCAATTCTGAAGTTCATCCTAATAAGGAGGCAACGTCAATCCCTCAAGCTACTTCTCAGAAATTATAACTGAGCAGGAGTATTATTGGCATTATTAATGGCATTATTTCTTGACTGACAGTTCTTACTGCTGCATTCTGCCACCTTAGTATCCCTGCTTTAGGGAAAGCCCCTTGCTCTAAACCCACAGAAGAAATAGGATTTCCCCCCCAAATTTAATTCTCATGGCAACAAATTTACCAAACGTCATTCAGAGGAAAAAGTAGTGGAATAAGGAATTATGCCTGCGGAAAGTAAGACTGGCCAAGACTTTGACAACTAGCACTTTTCAGATGAAATAAGGTCAGCCTTTTTTGTGTCTGAAGTAAAAGCACATAAAAAAAACTTGGTGAGGCATAGATAACTGGAGTGTATCAATCGGAAATGAACAAATTGGCCAGGCCCATCAATATGTACTATATGCAACTGCTTCTATACCCTCCAAGGTATTGGCATGTTCATGGCATGTTTCTCCTTAGGGGAATTCACAAAGTGAAAAGACCTTGCTTGCAATGTTTGAGGAATCAGCTCAGCTGCAAGAGAATCAACTAAAGCCTCCTCTTATGCATTTCCAAAATTAAAACAAAAACCTGGCCCAGGCTGTCTTTAGTCACACCTGGGTCTTATAGTCCCTGCTTTTTGGGAATTGAGGTACAAATATAAAGGTTAATCTGAAAAGATGTAGGCTGTAAGCATTGCTTCTAGCACAGAGCCATAATAAGACTTTGAGACTGCATTTAATTTTTGGATGTGCTCCTAGTTACTGCAAAGAGACACCTCACATACAAACTTACTAAACATAAGGTTACAAAATGCAGCTATTTCTCTGAGTCTGTCAAAATAGCTTTGCAGTGATAATGAAGTCAGTCAAAACATTCTGGCTAGTAAAACAATTAGGTATAATTCAGTATAAATACAGGGGATTAAAATAATGATTCAAAATGCACTGATCTAAACACAGGCTGAAGGCACTCACATAATTAAACACAAGGTACAATCTCAAGCAGGAAAGAGCACATGGTGGCATTTTTCAGAGTGCGTTTATCAATGGAAAAAACCATTACTCTACAACTTTGCACAAAGAAGGTACTGACTCCTTAGAAAGTGATAAGAAGTCTCAGAAAGCTCTCACTGTCTCTTGTTTTGAAGCACTAATATAATTTTTTTGAGAAATAAAGACCTACTGGTTCACCTATGGGCCCAGGTGGTCCAAGTACTGTACTGTCTTCTCCTGGGTAACCCTAAAATAAAGGTAAACATTAAATACTTGTAAGTTCAAGATTTTCTGTAATTCATACATATTCAAATGCAGTAATACATCAGAAAGCATACTGTATAGATGCTACTAGTGAGTATGATGCTTTTGGTTTTAAACAGTAGAAGTGGTAACACTGTTATAACATGCATCATCTTTTTAAGAAGCAAATATAGGACTAAAAACCTAAGTATTTGCTCTGTTCTCAAAAGCATCTGTTAAAGGAGTATTTGAACATTGTCCATGTTCTTAAGAATGGAGGAATAGAATATATGAACCAGAGTAAAAAATACAAATTTCTTCTAATGTCTTAAGAAATGTACTTAACATACACAAATGAGTGCCCAGAAAACTCCAGCAATCAGCCTGAACAGGCTCATGCTATTTTTTATTTTAAATATGAAGTGATCATCATCTAAAGCAATAGGAAAATCCGTTACGTATTCCAACATATTTAATACAAAGAGACACATATTTTCAATATTATTACAGGTGTCGGAAAGTGCACTGAACTGGATTTTCAGAAGCATCAAAAGCATCAAAGCAAGCTAAACTAGCTCTCAACAATTTTATTTTTAGATACTGTTTCTGAACATCTTGGAAGCCAATTATAAAATCCTCAGTAATTGTCTATTAGCAGTATTCATTGCAAAACTGGCCCTAAGTAGGACACATTTGTCTGCCTGGTGCAACTGTAAACAAATCTTTATGAAGGGAATCTCTATACCTTCCTGGGGCCACAGGGTCTTCACTTGGCATGCAAACTTGATTTCAGGGTTCAAGGGCTTAAAAGAACAGCGAATTTAACACTAAAAAACCAAACTGGGGCAATTTCCTGTCCCTAACCTCTTATATTAAGCATCATAATTGGACCTTCAGCAAAATCCATGAGAGTACTCACAAGCTTAAGGTTGAGTGAATGCTACTCAGTTCCCACACTGATTATTCCTATCAGCAGTACTTACTGAGGGCAACAGTGCTATCTGATACGACAGAATGTGTTTTTTTAAACAATGGATAGCTTGTTTTTTGAAACCTGAAACATTTCAACAACAAAGCAGAACTCTGCCTCTGCAAGATCTGTTTCTCCACTTCGTAATTCTTTGCATATTCTCTCACAACACTGAATAAATGGTGGCTTTTGCTGCATGCTGTGGAAAGCAGTGAATATGCAGTAATATTTCCTCTTTTGTGGTTATCTAAACCATAAGAAAGAATAATCCATCTTCATACCTTTTCTCCTTTGGGTCCTGGGGGCCCTGGAGGCCCTGCAGGACCTTGGTGACCCTAAAGAATGAAAGAAAACAAAAATTAGTTCCAATGCAAATAATTAAAGAAATAATTAATTCCAAACTTTTGTTTAGCTACTTGTTGCCATTATTTTTGGCTGCTTGCTAATAATGCTGCATAATGATGTGGGACAAAATTAAGGGGCGCTGGCAGGAAACTTATTGTGAGCAGGAAAATCTGTGCACACAATGGGAAGCCAAGGGCTGATGTCAAACAAGGGCTCGATGCATGTCAAGGGAGCTGGGCCTGATCTTCAGGGCTAGGGCCAAAGATGTTTAGAGTTTAGAGTTTAGAGTTAGAGTCTGTTTAGAGTAGACACAGCAGTCTGGTCTGTAAGAGGAAGATACAATGCATATATGAAGGCCATCAGAAAACAGCAATTTTTATTCAGTGAATGCCACAATATCTTTATATCCTTCAGCTAACCTCATTCAATCAATGGTTCTGTTAATGAAAGGGAAACTGCCTGACCAGATGGTAAACAGAGGTAGTGGCTTGCTTAATTCTCTTTGTAATGAATAGCCATAGTAATTTTATAGGAACTTTATTAACAAATAGAGCGGAAAGCACTGGAAAAACAAAGGAAGGTTTCAAATCTGATACAAAAAAATGACTGCTAGTGAACTTGCTGACATTGCTTAATGCTTGCAGTAGTAGAAAATCAGGTGTGATGCAAATATATGCATCTGACACAGACATTTGTATATTTTACAGAAAGACTCCACATGATATGTGAAACTATTCAGAGCACCAGAGCTGCACAGAGGTGTGAGTGCACATGAATTCAGTTAAAAACTCACCCCATAACCTGGAATGCCTAGCTCTCCTCCTGGTCCCATTCCTCCAGGATGTCCCTGACAAATGCAATAATCAGTGATAGAAAAATGAGCTTCCTTTTAGAATATTGCAGCAATATAAACATTATAAATTCATCTTCAGACATGGATACTTGAGAACCATGGATTATTTCCTTGTTACTTTTAACTTAATTTGTTCATAATAACTAAGATCAAAAGGATCTGAGGCTTTCAGAACTGTGGAAGAACTTCATGTGTTCAAGAAACACAGTGCTGCACTCCATGGACTCACTGGACCCTAGAGCTGTCATTTAGATACATATTGGATGCATTTGGTTTTGCATTTGCCATCACACAATGTGAAGTATGCATGGAGAGCTTGTGATGAGTTCATAATGTTAGTAGAAATATCCTTAAATCAGTTAACTGTAGATTAGACACCCAATCAATAGGGATATAGCAGACTTCATCCAAAATGCTGTGTTTAGGCCATAACTAAGGCTTTATTTATGTAATAGCAAAGCCCATGATTTCAGTTCTTGGTGTCAGAAAGTTTTAAGAAACAGTAACATAAGTGAAGATGCATCTTAACTGTGGATATGTGTACTCTGTGGCACACCCTGCCATCCTGCTCTCTGATTGCCAGATCAAAAACCCAATGAGAGCGGAAGATGACTTTCTGCTGATCCATGAGTTTCTGTCTGGACAGGTGCATAGGTCTCATTCTAACACCAGAAGCCCAGGGAACACATTGGCAGCCAGGGGTTGGGAAGGACTTCTAAGTAGCATAAACAGCACCTACATCTCCAGCTACAGCTTTTGCTATTTATACATGGTACATCTGTGATTTCCCTTCATTGGTGGAGAGACAGGACTGCTAAACCACAAATGCATGAGCTCTTAAATAAACATACATACATACCAAGGGGCCTCGAGTTCCTCTTGCACCTTTAGGACCAGTTTTTCCAGGTTGACCAGAATCACCAGGAGGACCAATTTCTCCAGGAGGGCCAAGCTGCCCTTTTTCCCCCTGTTGGTGTTATTTTATTAAAAATAATTAGAGACTGATACTACATTTCAAATGCAGCTTCTGCCTAATCAAAGTGAATAACAGCACTATTTAAGAGGAATATTACATTTATATGTTGTTTACTGTAGTTCTTAGAAAGCCTGAATCCAGAACTCTGTAGGAAAAGAAGTCTACTAAACCCTGTCTTTTTTGTTTAGCCAGAGCTGTACTGTTTTTATAGCATCAGAAGTTGTTCTGATTTGCACATCCTGATTCAAATTTAATATTCCCAAGGTCCCATATGCTATCAATCACAAAATAATGATTACAATTTCTATGTCTAACAATAAAAAAAAGTCACTTGAGAAGTGAAAGGAAACAGGCACGGACTTAGGTTGCATATTTTACCATCAGGTTGCAGTAAGAAATTATCAACATATAAAACCTACTGATGTCTTTCAGAGTGCTGATTGGCATTCATCCGTGTCAAGGAACTAAGTGGAATTATTTTGTAGTGTAAATTCAAGTTTCAGACAAAAGGAACAGAATTTGGGAAGATGAAAATTAGTACCTTCTTTCCCAAACGGCCTCTCTGACCTGGGTTTCCTGGTCTTCCTTCAGGACCCTGTAGATTTATGAGGGAGGCAAAAATAAATGATTGAGAAAGGCCCTGGAAACATGTTTAAACTGTGCTCCAAACTGGATAACTAAGCAGGCTTTTGTTATACAGAGAGGTGAGAGGAAAAATCTCATTAACTGTTGCTATGAGGAAGTTAGCATGGCTGTTTCAAGTTACAGCAGAAATAAATGGGGAAACATTAGGGTTCACTTATCAAATCAGTGAAAATGAACTGGACAACAACAACAACAAAAAAGACAAACACTAAAACACAATAAATCTTGCCCAGACAGAAAGTATTATTTCAGGAATAGAGTCGCTTCTGGATTTAGAGAAATGCAATGCACAGTTACTACTTAAGAAAACCTTGGGGTTGTCAAGTGCCAAGAGCAGGGCCCTGACAAAATCTGCTGCAGAGGAGAGACCTAGCTCAGTGCATGGTGAGGCACTTCCACTGCCAGCCCCGTGGTGGTTGTGTAAGTGGGTGTGCTGTGTGTAGACAAGGGCTGCCACAGAGCTACAACCTCACTGCCCTCTGGGTCACTTCAATGACCCCTGGAAAGGGCTGGAAGTGTCCAGTGAAAATTGGTCTCAATTTATTCATAGCTCTGTGAAGGTGAGGAGGTAATTTAGCTTTAGTTTTGGGAGAGGTGAGATACACATACAACATTTTTAAAAATATGGTGGTGATGAGCCAGAGTAAGTAGAGTTCAAACAGAATAGTGAAGCTCATTTGTTGCTTCATTAGCTTCTGGTTAAGGAAAATGTAATGTTACTCTGAACCCCAGTAAAACTCCCAAAAAGGAAATTGATTTCCTTTTTTAGACCAGGATGTTGTGATCTGTCCACATGTCTAGAATAAGGTCGAGTCAATACTGTGATACAAACACGCTGGGGAAGATGAATGGGGAGAGAGGCAGCTCTGCAACTACATTTGGAACAGAAACGTGAAAATTACACTGCTAACCACATCCTCCCAAACTCTGAATCATCAGAGCTGCCTGTCTCACTGAGGCGCAGCAGTGTTGTTTGATGTTGTTTACTCTATACAAGTATAATTACATTCAAAGCAGATCTGTCAGGGCTGAGATATTTTATGATTATTTTAATGTACAGAACATTCTTGCTTCTGCTGAATTGTCAATCCAAAAAAAAAAAAAGAAAAGAAAAGAAAAAAAGTCATGGTGATATTATTGTGCCAGAAACATCAATTTTTCTGCAGTGCATCCTAAGCTGTGACAGTTGAAAAGCGCATTTTCTTCCTTCACTAGAAGAGTTGCTTGCTATGAAGAGCCTAGGAATAAAGAAAGCAGATTGTAGTTCTGAGGCTGAGGATAGAAAGGACAGTGCTCACAGCTGGTGACAGCTGGCCCTCCAAACTGCTGTTTACTCATACTCTATCATCACATAAGAGCTACAGTGAAGACAGTCAGGGGATTGTGAATGAATTTTGGGAGAGGGGATCTGATGTCCAACTTGAGGCTACATAGTCGCTTTAGAAGCTGTGCTCCAAAAGATTCGTTTACACTAAGCAGTTGCATAAAACTTCAGCAAAATAGATTAGACGAATGGATTGTAGCTGCTAGGCATGATGCCAGAACAAACAGCAAACTGATCTAACAGTTTTAACTGTGGATCCCCTTGTTCATTTGCTATTTCACTTATGTGTGCATGCTGCCATTTCTTTCCATCTGTCATCTCTAGCAATTGGTGATATTGTGATATGTCTATTTAATTCTTTTCACAGGAGGACCAAAATCTAGTTAATTAAGGAATAAGTGCTTTTTAAGAAAAAAAGAATTTCATTATCCCATTCTTCCTCCTTTTTTTTTTTCTTTAATTTATTGTATATACCTTATTGCAGGCCCACTAACAAGGTAAGAAAAGAAGGCTCAGCAAGCACTGAAGCATCAGCTGAAGAAGGGCTGCCTGGCATGATAGTCCCTCTCTTCTGGAAGTCAGCTTCAGTATGAGTTGGGCAGCATTCATAATAATGTCTTTATATCACTTTGATAGCAGCTTAGAAAGCCCACTGCTAGGAAAGGCAGACTATCCTCCCGTGGCAACTGATCACAGATCAGCAGTAGGTGGTGCTTAGATTTTGTGGTACCTACTACGATGTGATACTTCTTTTAAGTAACTTTTGAACTGCTCCTTGAATCTTAACAAAGAAGGCCCTATAATCCACACATACACTTCAAGAAATCCTGTGCTGTTGATGTCTGTGCTGCAGTAATGTTGTAAATAAAGACACCTTGATGTTAAATACATCACTTCTTCTAGATAAGTTAGTCTTAGTCGCTGCTGTTGTTGTTAAGATATATAAAGTTAAGCATATATTTGGTGAGAATACTAGCATAGAATATTCAATTGGAGCCCACCTTTGTGCTCAAAGTTCTGGAGCTTCATTATTTACAGTGCTCAAAATGGCAATTATTTTCCCTAAAGAATTTCTAATCTAAACTAAAAAGTAAACGGCCCTGTGACAGTAAGCAAACCCATTAGTAGGGAAAGATACAAAGAAATGACAGAACTATTTGTGATTGTATATGCATCCAGGCAGACTCTTTGGGCATTTTTTTTTAAATTTAGAGAGTGATTGAATTCTGTGAAATTACCCACAGTCTCCAAATTAAGGTGAGGATAGGATCTGACAACAGAAGGCTGTCTGCAGAGACCTCAAGTGAGAAAATCCAGGCTGTGTGTCGTATGTGTTGAGGTAACAAGAGTGAGGAATTAGTGTATGCTGAGAAGTCCCATTTTAAAATGGGGAAAACATTTGTCTCTCTAAAATCCCAAACTACATAGGAAGGGTAGACAAGCTAATTTAAAGATGGTAATCTCTCAGTGAAAAGGAAAACAAAACAAAAATAAGTAAGCAAAATTTTAAAAAATTATTAAAAAGCAAATGAAAAAAAAAGCCCACTTAATATTGAAAACACGTACTGGAATACCCATTATGCCAGGTTCACCAGGGGGTCCAACATTTCCTGGTGTTCCCATCTCTCCTTTTTCACCAGCTTCTCCATGAAGTCCCTGTTCTCCAGGATCTCCCTAAAGCAACACAAAAAATCTTTCAAGTTACAGCTCCAAAACTTATTCTTGAGAAAAGAGAATTCTAAATCTTCAAGTTCAACCAAAGAAAACAAACAAAAATGAAAAATAGAAAACCACCACCACAACAAAAAAAGTCCACAAAGCAAAACAAAACAAAAAACTACCATACAAGAACTAGTGGGAATCTTTCAGTCAAGGCTCCAAGCTAAGGTAAAGCCTTTTCTACAGCTAATTCACAAACTCATTCAACAGCCAGGTCTTGCCTCATCCATCTCCTACTACTGTGAAGGTGTAACATCCCCTGTCCTTGCACCTCTCATAGTCCCTGTCACAGTATTGATCTGATGCAGAGAGTGAAGCATTGGGCTTGCTCTGTGTGGCACGATGTTCACAAGTGAAATAAGTTGCACTGAGTTCTTCACTTTGAGTTCTTCTGCCTAGCCATTCAGTTTTTCAGAGCAGGTCTGTGCCATTTAGGGCTTTCCATGGTAAAATTACGTGCACTCAAATGGGCTCTGCTGAATTTGTGTAATAGAGAGTGCGGGGGGGGGGGGAGGGGGAAGGATATCTGGGCCTTTAAATTAATGACTGCTTTACATCTGCTAAAAAAAAAAGAACCTACCTTTGGGCCATCTCTTCCCTGTACACCATCTTCTCCTGGAGGTCCTGGTTCACCCTTACAAAAAGGAACAGTTAAAAAGAAAATTATTGCCACTGACTGAACTTTTCCACACTTCTTTCTGCCTTGGTTTTACAAACATTTATTATCATTTTGAACTTTCTGGGTGATGGACAACTTTTATGGCGCTGTGACAGTTTATTTTGCCTTCATTTTTCAGTTATTTACTGTGACAGTTACAGCCTTGTGAACCCGGAGCACCAATAACCAGAAAAAACAACCAGCAATAGAAAAACAAGACAAGGCTGATATAACAATGAACATTTGGCCACTGGCACTGAGATTGCTCAGTTTTGGAGTACAGAACAGGTAATTACAGTAACTTCAAAAATACACCTATCCTGTCCTAGATTTCTATGCTTCTGTGGATAACTACTGTGTTGGTATGTTCAGTGATTCAGTGTAGGGCCATGGAAAACCTCATTTACCATCAGTAACCACACCATGACATTTTAGAATGTTTGCCTTTCTTGGGGCCTGATCTTGAAAGACAGCGGCACCTTACAACTTTTGATGCAGATAGTAGAAAAGCAAATGTGACCTGCCCTCTACTGATAACATGGTATTTCAGTCATAGAAGTATGGTAAGGTATGGAACTTCCATGTGGTCTAGTATAAGAAATTACTCTTCAACAGCAACAGATGTAATTGTAGAATGCAATATGCTGGAGATTTTGGCCAGGAGGAATAGATGACAGCAAGGAGCTAATGGGACATTAGAGCAGCTCAGTGGGAAGGCTTAAGCTTAAAAGGATACAATTTACATTCTTTTACAAGTGACCTGGATAAAAATCTGTCTGTAGCACTTGAAAAGACTTTTTCATCCTTCAAAGGTAGGCAACTATTTGGGTCACATGAAAAAGGCGAGAAAGACATACGGAAGGAATAAGAAGGTATGCAAGTGTTTGCTGAAATCAAGTGCTGATTGAACTCATTCAGCACAGTACCAGAAGCAAATCACCTGCATGAGAAGTACACAGAAGTACCCTTCTCTGTTTCGGCAACAAAGTTCCATTATTTTGCCTAACTGCTACAGAGAATTACTGTCATCTTAACATCTGGGATGGACATCTTTGGATTTAGCTTCCTGCTGAAACCTGTCACATCTCAGTGGTGCCTAGAAATATTTCAGCATTATAATCCATGCTCTTTTTAACTTGCCACAGCATTGCAAATGTTCTCTTAAATGATATATTAAAGTACTTATTAAATTATTTTCATAAATGAAAATTTTCTGACATGTTTGTAATGTATTTTCCTTTTTGGAGGAACACTCATGCCGTTAGCTCACCCTTAAGCCTTGGTCACCAGCTTCTCCAGCCTTCCCAGCAGGCCCAGTGTCTCCCTGAAATGTCACAAGAGAATTAATCAATGGATGGCAAGGGACAACATTTCTAACAGTGATGAAGTTTACATGAAGACAATGCAGTCATTATGACAATACTTCTTAATGGCTCACATCCTGTATCACTCTCTGCTTGGCTAATGAGCCAAATTGCTCCGATTTGCTTATATGGAAACTGAAAAAATTTAAATAGCCCAACAGGATATTTTCAGCATTTACCTTTGTGCCTGGTTCTCCCTGCAGTCCAGGTTCTCCTTCAGGGCCAGGAGGTCCCTGCATGGTACAGGAGCTACTATTACACATGGTCATTAGTAATTTTGCAACTACCAAATAATACAGCCAAAATACAAGCATAAATATGAAATGAGACACATGGAAAACTGCATGTCTGAATAATTTAAATAAGAAAACACATTTGTTGGGTCTTCCTGGAGACTGACAGAAGGAAAGTACTGGGGATTTTAGAACTGTACCATAGACAAATAGATTGTGAAGACACAGCAGCATCACTAAGCTTGCAACTTTCACCATAAATTACCAGCAAGCTGAGTAATCTACCTTTTGCAAATCTTACTGACAAGTCTGTCACTGTTTTGGCCTGGATCCAAGTAGATACAGTCTTTGGAAAACAAATACAGAGGTTTTCAGATTACTTCTTCTAGAATTTATATTTAAACCTTTTAAAAAAAATATTTTCAACAGGCAGTCAGAAGACTGGGTTCTGGGTGATTGGGAAAGCGCACTTCTCTGAATAAGCCAAATCCTTCAAGTCTCAAGTGACCTCACCCTTCAGCTACTTTATGGCAAATATAGCTAATGCATTCTGTCATATTTCTTTCAAAGAGTTATTAAAAACAAAGTAAAAAATAGAAGCAAAAATTAGCAAGAAGACTGGCTGCAGCTGCTTTTCTTCATCTACTATTTGCAAAAACTTATGATTAATATCATTCCAGTTGCAAACTCCCACTCTTGGATAAGCTGTCTAACTGCAAGGAGGATGTTTCTCGTTTCTCTTGAATGCTGATTGCTATAGATGTCATGACCACATGCCTGACAACACTTCACAACAGAAAGAGGTATTTATTTTGGAAAGCCTATCAATAAGAGAGACTCTCAACAGCTCATGGTATTTAAATCAACTACAGGCAATAAAATAATTTGTGAACACATTGTCCAGGCATATTCTGTTGCTTGAGTGTTTCTAGTTAGAATACAAATAATTAAAAACTCACCTCAAAACCCATATCTCCAATTGCACCTGCATCTCCTGGTTGTCCTCTTGGACCCTGGCATTAAATAGAATGTTGGATGCATTATTCAATTAACATTAAATTATATTTTAGAGCCTTGACTTTGACCCTTCAAAACTATCAACTGGTGTAAAGAAATGTATTTCACTGTTTCCTCTTGAATCCTCAGAGTATGTAAGTACCATGATTGCACACAGTACCGAAGCCCTTATTGCCAGTCTTGACATGCTAGAATAACAGATTTCCTAGAATAACACAGATGTCTCTTCTTATAGACTAAAAGTAAACCATTATCTGAACTAAGCTCTCCTCTTGATTAACTGAGACTTTGTTTAATTAAGGATTGTTAGACTGTCTGGTTTGGTTTGTGGAAAAGCCTACAGTCTGGTACAGAATTAACTGGAAGCAACTACTGTGGATTTAGCAAAGTTTAGACAGAACAGTCACTGAGGTGTAACGGAGTAAATGCTGAGGCCTTTTTTGATAACATCACTAACTATGCTATAAGCACTTTCTTACAAGGCATGCTTATAATTAACAAATTGATTGCAATTACACACCTACGGATTGCTTCCTAAGGCAACATTCTCAATCTCTATGCACCTAAGATTGTTTATAGCTGCTCACTGAATGGGATCTGTGTGCTTGGGGAGCAGAGCTTGCCTGTAAGAGCTTACAGCTGATTCCATAGCCATTATGAATATATGTCATGACAAATCAACCACCTAGATCTATCCAGTCTGAACTCTGAGAATGTTCGTTTCCACTTACCCCAAATCTTGGTAAAACAGAGTTTGAGTTGCTAGGGAATTCAGTACAGTACGTGGAAAAAATTTTAAGCAGGCATAAGAATCAACTTACTGTCTCTCCCATTGGTCCTCTGTCTCCTGTGGTTCCAGGAGGCCCAGGCAAACCCTCAAAGATTAAAATAAAATGAAGGAAAATAAAAAAATCAGTTGGAAGCAGGCTGTTTTACATTCTATGCAAAACCACTTCCCTCTCTCATTTCTGCTCACTCAATTACTTGCTGGAAATACTTCAGAAGCCTCATTTTCTGAATGATACGCATCACCACATCACTAGCACTTTTGGCAGGTAAGGAAGTCTCAAACAAACCCCTCCACTATTTCTTTTACATAGGGATGAGCCTTGACTGACCCACCATTACCAGACCTGCATTGCTCCCCTTTGCCTCAGGTGGTGCTGGTGTGTGCAAACTGGGCCTACCCACAACCGTATGAGTGTCCTATCCTACAAATGGTACTTGAGATTATCAGTAAGGTTCACACCCCAACTTCTTTTCTGTTTAACCTGGCTCATAGCATTTATCATATTCCCTTCTAGAAACTTCATCTGTAGGAGTACTAGTGCACTATCTTTTACTTTGCAGCAAATGTACTAATTCCCATCATTTCAACCCAGTGAGATTTTACTCCATTCCTCATTCTGTATACACACAAATCTCAGTGAAGGAAGAGAGAAGGAAAACCCACTGTCAAAGCTGAGAGGCAACAGGCTTACAAATCTGACCAGAAGAGGCAAAAAAAGTGCAGTGGCAAACAGCATTGTGAGTCTTAGCTTCAGCCCAGAATCACAACCATTACTGCTTTGCTTCTGTTTTTTGGCTTCCTGCCTTCTTGAATATCCCCTACCATTTTTATTCATTAATAACCTTATTTGTAGAAGACAGAAAATAGAATCATAGAATTGTGCAGGTTGGAAAAGACCTGAAAGACTATCAAGTCCAACCACAACCTATCTTAGATATCCATTGAAAAAAAGCTCTAGATGAGGAATTTTCTCCTATACAAGTGGTGCATTTATTATATATTTTTCTATGTTTATCTCAACACTGATAGTACCCATCTAGTTTAAAATCTATCAAGTAATTTTCTATGTTGCAGTGACTTCTTCCCTTAAAACTACAATAAAATCACTTGCAAAGCACCCTCTATCCCCTCCACGCTACATACAGCTGCTGTTGCTCTGCTGCACTTTGCAATCATTCTATACTCTGTGCACCACCATCTGTGAAAACACTGGTCTGGTAGCAACTGCCATGTTCACACTTACTCTCACTTCCGCCTTTGATACTCTGTACAAAAAAATGCAAACTCCTACGTTAGTTTTCTGTTAGTTTTCTGTTAGTTAGCTGCTCTAAAATAATAAAAAAGTATGATATATATAAACGATGATATTTTGTGTTTTGGAAGTAGTACTGGAGTATTTAATACTCACACGTGCTCCTTGATCTCCTCTTTGACCTGGATTTCCAGCTTTACCCTGGTCAAAGAGAGATTTTTAAAGAGGTTGCCCTCTGATCATTTTGAAGAACAGGTCAGAAACTGGTAGTAAATACATTAAGGCTTAATACAAAGACTGGCTCCAATACTTACAATGAGCCCAGGAGTGCCTTTCTTTCCTGGATCTCCTTTTTCTCCCTGATAAATAACAACACATGAGTTCTATTGGCATTTGCTACATAATCTGCATACAGGCAATATATATTCAAATGCTGGTTAAGTGCAGAAATTGCAGATTTAGGCTTAGATGGGCTTCTACTACAGTTAAGGAGTACCTGGAGAAAGCAGAAATTTGCAAGTCTCCTCCTGGACTAAATGAAAAAGCTTCCAGGATGTTGACTTTCTAGGGATGGCATGGTGTATTGCCTATCACAGTCTATCCACATTTTGTACTATGCTGAGCAATGGAAGCACTCACCTTAATACCTTGTGTACCCGGCTCTCCAAGAGGACCATCTACACCTCTAGGCCCCTGAATATTGAACAAGTGATTAGGAACATTAATTGTGCATTATTTTGTATCAATATACACAACATATGCTCTAGAAGATGGAAATCTATTTTGTTGACTGTAACACTGAAAATTCACAGGATGAAAAGCAATTTTCCTTCATGTTAAGTATAAAATGAAGCTTCAAAGAATAAAATAAAAGTTTCTGGTTTGTCGTAATGTAAATTTTAGAATAAAGATATATGTTTATAACTATATAAACAGGATGCCTAAGGGCTTCACTGGATCAGGTTTGCAGTCAGATATTTTCTGCTCTTTTTCATCCACTTGGCATGCGTGCAAGGCATATTTAGAAGTACCTAGATGACTACTGGTCATATAAGGCACTTGCTTTTGGACTTCAGTTATACACACAAAAAATCCTGCTTGCTTGAAAGACTTTAAAACAGGCAGATAAGTTTCTTCCATTAATAAACAGCCCGAGGCAAGATCGAAACCAATTTGTTACCTTGCATCATGAACTGCTGTATTATCAAACTAAATTATCTACTTTAAACTGACATTTTACAACCAACACATGAACAACGATAGCCTATTTTGTTATGCTTGTTACGCTATTCCAACATAGTAAATATTTATTGCCAAAATGGTCAGACACAATTATTTAAGACTAGCAATCTTAATCCAATACAAGCAAACAAACATACAAAAAATCCTTAAAATAGGTAATGAGCAAAGTGGAAAAAAACCTGTTTATTCATCCTGACATTGGAGGGTATTTCCATAATTCTAAACACTCTTTGGGTGCAGAAACGAAATCAAAACTAGTCAAATACAATCTAAAACCAGCAACTGCTTTAAAGCAAGAGCTAGACGAAAATAACAGAGCTGGGTTGTTTACAACAATATGTAATGGGAGGATGAGATGACAGCTTTTCTGGTGGCTTCCTGGCTGTGCTGTGCTGCTATTGAGTAGAGAGAATATGTATATTGCTAAGGCATTACCTCGATGAAAATGATGTGCATTTTCAGAGCGCATTTCTGAGTTACAGAGAATCTTCTTTGTTGGGTCATGGTTTTTAATGCACGCTATTCAATCACATCGGATTACAAAGTGTTTTAATAAGTAATAAAGTAGGGATGCAAAAAGGCTTTGTTGGAAGCATATCTGATGTTATTCACTTCCTTCTAAAAAAAAAAATAAATTTGTGATATCTCTGCCCCTAGTGAGCTTTTTGAGACAAAAGATAACAAAATCCTGTCTGTTAGCTTGGCTATATTGATGCACATCAAAGCCCCTGTCAGAACAGATGAGCAGCCACTCGCTCTTCTCTGGAGCTACAGTAAAACCAAAAGCTGATGGGTACCTCGGAAACAACATGCATTCAGGTTCTGTTAGGCTTTGCTCTTGAAATGGAAATGTCTCAGGAAAAGTCCTTTCCTGTGGGCTGATACATAATTACATCCTCTGGCCAAGCCAAACTATCCCACGAGAAGCTTATCCATCAGCTTTTCAGCACTGCTGCTTCTGGCCAGCATGAGCAGTGCACAGGAGCCATAGGGCAAGGAAAGGAAACAGGATGGGAGTTGTTAGAATCCTTCTGATACCTCAATAGGCTTGGAACCAGCTTTTGTGAGGCAGTCTCTCTGCTTTCCTGGCCCCCTTTCTTGCTTTGGTCAATTACTGACTGAGTATTTACAGACATTTTTTTAAGCCAGAGGAGAAAAAAAAGAAGCCACAAAACACAACACTCCTGGTCTCCATAAGGCTCTTGCTGAGTGCAGTCCCAATCCAAAGACAGCTGATGTCTGTGGAAATCCTGGTGACTTCAGCACACACAGATCAGAATCAAAAGACTAACAGTGCCTTCAAGGGTGATGGAGACCTTGATGAGAAAAACAGAACTGCACCTAAAGTTTAGATTATGTAACTGTGTAACTATTGAATTACTGTATAGCATAATCTAAAAGAAAGCTGAACATCTTGATCAAATTATTGTCAGGCTACTGCTCTGCACTTTTTGTGTAATAGATGACTAAAATGTACACAAAATGGGTTGTGATGAAAACTTAAGGAGGACTAAGCAGGTTTAGAGTCCTGTGATTTGATATTGATGTTGGGTGAAAATTCTCCATGGAAGGGGGAGGGAAGGTTGGAAATGTTGAGATGAAGTGAGGGTGGATCAAAAAATGGAGGGCACAGGGAGATAGAAGCTCAAAGAAGAGCAAATTAATATCCTGAGCAACATACTGAAGGGAAGATTCAGAGTACTAAGTAGAGAAATTGCGAAGAAGTTTTATTCTTTCCCAGGCTTCTTAAGTACATGATCTGTTATTTGCTTTTCTGCATTCTCCACTGTGCTTTTAAGGAAAGAGAAACTCAAGGAGAAAAATGGACATTTTAACTGTACGCTTCTGAGTAATAAATAATTTTAATCCTAGGTTTTATCTTTTATCATTAATAATATTAACAGATCAATTGTTTAAAACACTTGTGACTTCCTTTTAATCACACTGGGGGTTCACAACCCACAGTTTGGGAGATTGGCCTGTAAGGAAAATGATAGGATTGTCAGTTTGTACTCTGTGCATAGTACACCAAAATCTTCCTGCTAGTCACGGAGATACTGCTACATTGACAGCCCATTCACTAGGAAGAATGATCACTAATAATCACTAACAATCAAGCGAAAAGGCCTATCATTCAAAACACTAACCTTTCACTAAATAACTTTGAATTGAAAATAAGTTAACAGAAACCAACACAATGTTCAGCTTTTGGCTCAGGATTTTGCCTGCCTTTAGCCAGTCACAGAGCAGAGTGTAGGAATCCAAGGGAAAGACAATTGAATGTTCTATCAAAAACACACCATAACATTCCTATGAGTAGTATACAGCTATGCATTATTGGCACAGATCAGTTGGATCTGTATCTTTTCCTACTGTAACTTGTACAGAATGAGAGATACATATAATATGCTTGCTGCTATTTAATTTGGGTTGCAGCTAAGCTGAGGAGTAAGTCTGCCAAATAATTGCTGCTAATTTTTCTTTGGCATGGGTCCAGTTTTCTTATTAAAATGAAACATACTGCATTGAAAACTTAAAGATAATAAATGAAGCAAGAAGAAGTTCATCTAAGAAGGAAAGAGGAACCAACCAATTCTTTTTATTTTCCTCATTCAGTCTCCTAGATATAAGAGTGAAAATAACACTATGTATGCTAAGTACGCCATCAGATACATCTCTCTCAATAAGAATTCCAGGAAAATAAGAGCATAAAAATAACTGCTTTTAAGCTTTAAAATAGTAAGCGTCAGCCTGAAGAATACTAGCTGCTCAGAATCTTAGAAGGTGTTAAAAACTTTACTTTGGTCTTGTTCATGAAGTCAATTTTATGATAAAGGAAAATTTTCTCTCAAATTAAAGGTAACAGTTGAGTTCAATGGAGATTATGGTACACACAAAAAGCAATATCAGTCTCTGACATTCTAGTTTTCTTCTCCATACATTAACACACAAGAACTAAAAAGTTGGCAGCCATAGAACCACTGCCACAATATCGTTACCAGTATGTCCTTCAAGACTACTCTTCCTCTTGGCCATGAAAGAGATTCCTTCTCCTTGACACAGCTATTTCCATTCTCCAGAGTACCAATTCTGACAATAAAGTATCTACCAAATGGCGTTCTCCTTCTGTACTTTCAAAAGATCAAATAGCTTATAAGAAAAAGAAAAGTGAGTCACAAAAGGACCCAACAGAGAAAGCTCTGTGCTCAGTGGCATATCTCCCCCAAACCCCCAGCGTGCTCCACAGGCTGCCAGACAGCCTTCCTTCAGCTGGCCAGAATTCCCCAGTGTGTTGGAGACTGAGCAGCTGGATGCTCTCAGCCAAAAGTATTCTGCTGGGAAACTTCGGATGTGAACTCGTTGCTGAAAGATCCATAATTTATGGGATGAAGGAATTCCACTCTGTGACAGTGCAGAAGTAGAGGTCAGTGCTCCCAAGGGTTTCTGCAGATTCCAGCTGTGAAGATGGGACAATTTCTTGTTTCAGTATACAATAAAAGGAATTTTCCATATGCTTCTATTTAACTTCTGTATGTGACCACGGTATGAATTTTTCCAAGTTCTGCCACACAGAGCTTTGGGTTCTTATACTTGTCATTCTGAATCCAGTGATGACAAACCCCAGATTTCAGGGGCCTCCAAATATTTTCCTTATGCGTTCTGGGTTTGATATTTTGATTTTGAGAGTAGAAAGTATTCTCAACAGCTTCACTGGGAGTTTGTTCACAGAGCATAAAGATTTGGGTCTGCTCCAAGACACTTTTCCATGAAGCATTCCTAGTCACGTTGGATGTAGGCAAAGGCACAAACCACAACTCTGTACCATGACTTCCACAGAACTTGGGATGTTTGGAATTTATTTTGAGTGATCTTTAATTATAAGCAATGTACTCAATGGTGTGCTGCCAAAATCATTAAGAGACACCCTCAAAAAATCTTGTCTCAGTTGGCAGAAGATGTGACATTCCTTAAATAAAATACCTCCTACCTTCAAAACAGAATCTAAATTAAATCTGCTGCCAGTAAGGAGGAGAGCCTGGAGCACTCACATTCAAGCAGCTTCTTGGTCCCAGTTCCAGCACTGGTGATGCTGGCAGATGGACTATCAAGAGGGAAGGGTCAGAAGGGAAGTTTCAAAGAGAATGCTGTGTCCACTGGAATTAAAACATACTACCTGAAAGAAGTTTAGTCCCACTTTCAGAGACTGATTACTTTTTAGCTGGCCTTTGAACTCACTGTATCCCATAGGTGACCAGTTGAGCAAACTCCAGTAGACATGTGGCCCAAAGAATTCTCAAACATCAGCTTCGTACAGTCAAAACTGGGTTTGCATAATACAACTCTTCTGCATGCCTCTGGCTTGCAAGTAATAATTCAGCAAAACACTTCAGGATGCATTTCACTTTGAGTCATGCTTCCACTGAAATCATAGAGAGGTAAGTGCACTCATCTGGTTCACTGAACCAGACCACTGAAAGTGGTGCCAAACTTCTGCTTATTTTCAGTCTCGCAATTGCCTTGCATTTCTGATTGCGTTTTGATACAGATTTTCAAATCTGTCTGTGAAGTAAATGGGATATTTGTCTTATTTCTCATCCAAGCTAAAACAGAGAACCTCACTCCTTCAGAAGGCTACCAACACAGGTTCCTGGAGACCCTAGGGCCTCCATGTATCAAGCCTATTTGTAGGAACACCTTCTGACCGCTTCAGAAGCTACTTTTCTAGAAGCCAATGGCTGGGGTTGGACTCTGCTGCTAAGATAACTTCTGATAATTCATCAGGCTCCATGTTTCTGAAAGGCAGGGTGGGTTCTCAGCCTCTGCAGCTCATTAAGGGTTCTCTTTGAATTTTGTCAGATATCTTGCATAAACAAATACATCTGCATTCTGAAAAACTGGCCTCAATTAACTCATTTTTTTATAGGCATTGACTAGTATGACACTTGCTCCCTACATCTCACAAGTTCACATGCTAATTTTCTGAACTTAATTTTCTTTTTGTGCAGGTAAGATTACCAAGCTAATACATTCTCTTCTGACTTTGCTATTTCCTCACTGAGCCACTGGGTATTTTTATTTTATGTTCAAAAACATAAACAATGTGTTGATGAAGAAAACTGTTCCTAAAACACCCAAACAGATCAATAGTGGTCATGAATGTAACACTTTCATATTTGTCTATAGAAGATAAGGCTAATAGTTATATTTGCTCTGGTCCTGCTCTCAGCTGAAATCAAAAGCAAATCCTCATTTAACTGAAATGTGAGGGGAAAAGAAGATTCCTACTTTTTCCTGGATAGAAATACCATTATCTTCTGCTTGATTTCACTACAAATAGCTGGAATCCAGAATTCAGAGGAAGCAACTGTACGTGGGTTCCACATCAAATTTATATTGGGCAACACCTTGCTCTAAGTACCATGAAAAAGCAGAATTACTTACCCTTCTGCCCTTAGGCCCCTGTGGCCCTGGTGGTCCCCTTGTCCCAGAAGGTCCCTACATGTCAAATAAACTAATTATTGTCTTTGACATATAGATTTATAAAAATTATAAGGTTCATACACAGTGAGTAACAACCAGTGCAACCAAAACAAATTAGTAATTTCCATCATAATAAGTAAATTAATTGTGTTAGTATGATTTATTTAGTAAAATCTGAATAGCAGTATTTAAGTAATCTTATTCCGAATAAGAAAGCGTGATCTGTTGGATTACATTAATTCTGTCCAATGTTCAAAAATTCCTCAAAGGATACTCTTAATTCATGGATTATCCTGATACAGAGCAAGTGAACACTGCGTCTGACTGGACAAATTTTCATGACAGTTTTACAGACTCCAGTACCAGCTAGAAAACATTCGTAACTCCAGCAGAGCAAAAAGGCAATTTAAAAAATGGTATATTTTATGTCAAATCAAAGCACTATTTTATACCTACAGGTAAACCTTCTGGCCCCACTGGCCCAGGGCCTCCTGGAGGTCCTAGGTAACCCTAGAATTGAAGTAAGTATAGAAAAAAGACAATTTCATCAAAATTGTTATTAGAAGAACTATAATAAATCCAGTCAGTTGCTTGAAAAATTGGAGGTAAATTAATAAAATGCCAACTGATGCATTCGTTGTTGCATCTTGACTTAGAACAAGCACTGCTGTCAGGAAGCCAGTCTTCCCACTAGGACGAACCCAGGGGCTGCCAGCAACTGCTGTGCAGTAGATTGAAGAGCTCACACTGGTTACCAGTCTGACTAGTAGTACAACTTGGTTACAACAGTTTACACAACAAATCGTTTGATCTACTTCCCTTCCTTTATTTCTCTCTTCTTTCAATTCAGTGTGTTTTATTTTTTTATGCAAGTCTCCTGAGAGCATTTTGATAAAACTTCTGTTATTTTGCTGCTTCATTCACAAGATCAGTTTGCAACATCAGCTCAGTAGCAGTCAAAATGTTGCTAATGAAGCTTCCTAGGAACACCTTATTATAAATACTACTATTTTCCATAAAGTCTGCACAGTCAGAAGGCTTGCAATTCATTACTGTTTTGGAAGGGAAAGTGCCTTTGTAATTAACAGAAATATGGATTCGACCTTACTTACAACTTACCATCACACCTTTCTCTCCAGGAGGACCTACTGGTCCTTGACTGCCTCTCTCTCCCTTTAATGAAAAATTAAAAAGAAAATAAAAGTGAGGGTTCTTTCCCTGAAACATTCCTTCTCTATTATTCCTAGACCTGCTCTAACAATACAACAGTGATGCAAGAAGACTTTTATTAGAGGTGTCATTCACAATTTATAAGGGATTTACTGCTAAAAGAGGTGTGCATAACACCTCTGGTTTAGGATCTTTCCTTTTCTTAGAAGTCTATAGAAGAGATTTTGTACTTCACCAGTTTTTCTGAACTGCTAACTGCTACTAGCAGATCTCTCTGTTCCATGCACCACATTTATAGTTATGTTTTTAATCTATAATCCTCACCTCAGTAAACAATTTTTTTCCTCTCTCCCTCATTTCTTCAGCATGTTTTGGGAAAAGAACAGATCTAAAAGGAAGGCAGCCCTGCATCAGCTGCAGGAATGCGCAGCATAGAGAAGATCTCATTCTTGTCCTACATACTTTCCCAACTTTTATTCTTATAACATCCAGCCCAACCATCAGCTTGGCTGTAGATAATCTTAACTGCACAGATTGCACATCTATCGTGGGCAGTACACATGACATAGAGATAATACAATATTTTGTTACATACTTTGAAGACACATTTCTTTATAATAAATGTGCTCAAAGTTTATTTGTCATTTAAATCCACACAGCATGTTTACACTGTAGTATTCAATCCAGAAAAGAGGAAGACAAGTTCTACAGAAACAGCAGTAACACAGTAATGAAAATAATTATTGTATTGTGAAGAAGACTGCTTCCAATTGCTGATAGATCAATTATTCTTTTACTGTCTCTTCCCCTCCCTCCTACTTAAACTAACAGCAGTATCCCAAGGTAATCTTTGTTGAAGTGGAGTATAGTTATGAACAAAAAGCATCCTTTGATACTGAATTCTTAAATATTATGATTAAAACAACATGAGAAAAAATATTATTTTAGTTTTAACAAGCAGTGCTTTCCATTGATAAATTGCTGTTCACGTGTTCACAGAAATTCTAATAAATTGCTAAGACTTTTCTAATAAGATTCCTGTAAATAGCAGCCACCAGTTTGGATGAAATAATTCAGCCCTGCAGGGCAGAAACACAAATGGTGCTGGATCATTCAGACAAACAATTATGCTTTTATTATAATTGAAGCTGACATGCAGTGCCGTAATAGTTTCCTGTTTTTCAGTTTTAAAATATTTCGCCTAAATAAAACCATGTCAAATATACTTAAGCTATTTATGCAGTTCTAGTCACATCGTCTGCCAAACTTCACTTTCATACACAAGTGTTATTATACAGTAGAGAAAACGAACAATGTTGCCTTTTTTACTCAGTTAATGCATACTGTCATATTTATCATTCTACTTCATCTGTTAATGATGTAGCAACGCTTAACCAATGACTGTTGCATGAAACAACCATCATTTATGACAGTTTTGTGAATCAATAGCAGTAGATAGTAAGGTGTCCTAACGTGACATATCACACTTGTAAGCAACAAATTGCTGGTAGATTGGCAAATTCATTACCAATTCAAATCAAGAACACCAGACAAGTACCCCTAATAAAAGCTTTTGGGTTTCTGTTTATTGCATCCCCATACACTGAAATACTACAAAACGTAAGCTTTATCCAAGCAAAACACCTGTCACTAATATTTTGTCTCCCCAACAGCTTTTAAAGTTGATTTTTGCTTCTGAATGTTAGATACGTTATTTATACCTTTTCACCAAGGCTTCCAGATGGCCCAGTTTCTCCAGGTAAGCCAGCTGATCCCTGGATAAGAAGCACGAGGAATTATTAGTGCAGTGTCCATACCAGTTCATAGCTGGCAGCTCCACAGTGCCCAGCAGCAGTATAGCACAACTCTCAATTCCTGAGAGCCTCTGCTCTATTTGTATAAGTGGTCCTGTGGGCAGTGAGGACTGCACAAGCTAACTGAGCTTAAAGTCCACGCAAGGGGACAGCTGCAGTTAGACAATCCACTAGTAAATATCTATTCCTACAAATTGCATTAATTCAATCATAGTAATGTGCTATCACACAGAGCCTACCTGTGATCCTAACATTGCAGTGCTGGAAGCTTTGCAAACATACAGCTTGCTAGCAATACAGCCCGACCACAGATTTCAAGGGGAAATTCAGTAGAACAGGTGTTGTAGCCCAAACAAACTGAAAATCAGGAGGATCAAAGTCTTCTAGTCCTTTTTAAAAATGAAGTAGCTCTCTCCTGAGGCTCTCCCACAAGTTTCCCCTGTGCAGGACAAGTACCACCATATGAAATGGAAAGCAAGATACTAAGTTTTTTTTTGTTGTTTGTTTGTTTTTCAAATCTTATTCCCTATGCCTGCAAAACATCAAACTATAAAACAGAAAATCAGCTCAGAAAAAATATGAAACACTAAGCTTGAAGAAAAAGAGGTGCCCAGAGTACACTGCATATAACTGCACATGGAAGATGGCAGAAACATGAAAGCTTTCAGAAACAGAATAAAGTGTGAATGCACTGCAATGCAATGCTTCAAAAAGCACTATGTAAATAAAATGGCAACAGGCACACTGACATTAGAGTCTCTACATATGTCTACATAAGCTGTGCTAGCTTAACTAGCACTAGCCTGGCATTTAAGGAAGTATTAAAAAAAAGAAAGAAAAACATTTTTCCTGCATTCGATAGGCAGTTGTATTCTTTTCATAAACCTAGTAGCAGTTTGTTCCATAGAAATCATTTCATATCAGAAAGACAATATTCCACCCTGAAATTTCTGTCATTAAAAAACAAAACAAAACTTTTAAAAAGATTTTTACTTATGTAATTTCAGTAGAGTTAAGGCCCAAATACTTTAGTATAACAGGTGCAAAGGAAGACCTTTTGATTGCTTTTTATTTTCTTTTTTCCCTTGAACTGCTAGCTAGTCTGGAAATCTCATAGCTTATATATACTGCAATGAGCCCTTGAGACAATGACCTTGCAGGCTCACAGCACTGGCACAAATGAATTTCTGAACAGGCTAGAGAGACAAACAGGTTCCTCAATGGTTGCTAGAGCAATGTACTGTGTGTCTGAAGTTGTGCATTATGTTTCAGCCTAAGGTGTCTCTTGGCATCTGTCAGAGATCTATCCTAGTCACACTGGCAGTGAGGCAATCCTTAGAGGTCAGTGTCATGATCAAGGGACTTTGTGATGAACTCTGAAAATCAGAGATACCACTGCTGTCAGTGTGACTTGTGGCCAACTGCAGGCCTCCATGCCAGGCAGAAATCGGTGAGACAAAGAATTACCCTGTACTCTTGTTCATCAAGATGAGGACCGTGGAGGTATGATTTCAAAAGGCTAAAAGACTAATCACTTTCATTTTCTCATTTCAGAAAGAGAAGACCTAATCACAGCCAAGACGGAGCTGAGATCTATTCTCCCTCCACAGAGACTCCAGACATCCTGGTCAATGCCACACTGTGCAGAGAGCTGAAGACAGTGACAGAAAGTTGTGCCCTGTACCAATGGTGATGCAATAACTGACCAAGTCCCCTCTTCAGGTCAGAAGTATTTCTGACTTTCTGAGTAAGTTGCTCTGAAGTGAAACGGAATGACAGGGAAACAGCAGTGGAGAATGTGTTGTGTTACCCAGCACATCAGGCTTGCCCTAAAAAACCTTTGAGTGAGAGGGCTAATGTTGGCTTCCTAGCTGCTGTTCCTCAAAATAAAGTAATAAAAAAAATGTACGGTAGAAACACCAGAAGAAAGTGGATTCCTGGCGGTACAAAAAGAGGAAAAGAAACTGTGTAAGAGTGGAAGCATCTATGTCTGGAAAGCAGAACAATACTTGAGACAAGAATTGAAACCAAAGTAATGGCAAAAGCAACATGGACTTCAAGAGGAGCTAAGGAGATAGTTTGTAACAGATTCACCTCTCCTTTGAAAAAGTAACAGATAATGTTAGGAACAGGTACCAGCAGGGCGAAAGAAAAAGAAAAGTTTTAGAAATATTATTTTACTTTTTAAAACAATTAGTAACATACAGTGAAGGGAAAGTACAATCAGAAAGCAAACATCTTGTCCCATTAATACCTTAGGCACAAGATTTTTCCCAATAGATGTTCTTAAAGACCATGTGACTCCTTAAATTTCAGTTTTGGATTGGTTTGCCATAGAGATCAGCCACTGAGACTTGATTGAGGTTTCTCTCCCTCTTATGTAAGAAAATCAATACACTCTAAAGTCCATTTGTCAAGTCATTGCTATTCAGTACCCCTTCAATCCTTTGGGCACCAGTGGTGGATTACAAAAATCAAGCCGAGAGTATTAGGCAGTAGAAAAGAAAAGCATAAAAAAGCTTTGAAATATTAAAAAAAAAAAAACTCATCATAGTTTTAAACCTTATTATTAAAGTCATAAACTTTCATTTGCAAGGATTTATGTAAAACTCGACAGTGACAATAAAAGCATTTTAGAAATCTTCTTGACAGGAGTATTTTTGTGGGAAATGAATCAAAGACCAGATCTCACAAGTAATACATGCCTAAGACAGACAAAACATCTTGCCAGCACATATGCTCCATGTTAGAAACTGGTCTGTAGTGGAATAATTGAAAACACGCTGTGTTCTTAATGCAAACCCAAGTTCAGAGTAATCAATTGAAAAACGTGGTTGTGAGGAATGAACTTGGCTGGTTCCAAAAGTGCCTGTGGAAGTAGTTGCCTGTCAGGTTGTATCCTAACATATTCCTGTGTTAAGTGAAAATCTTTCCAACTTTATTTCATTAACAATTCAGCATTTTCAAATATCTCCATTCACCATTCTTTCAATGGCATCACACTTCTTGCCACATTAACTTTCTCCTTTGAAATTTTTGGGGCATTTTCAGTTAAGTTTCATGAAAATTTGTACTTAATCTGTGCATTCTACTTTCCTCCAGATCACAGTCACCGTCTATGCCTGCTCTTTTTTGACGCTTCTTATAGGCCCATCAGCTTCATACTTCATGAAGACGACGGCTGGACTCAATGACCTCCACAGGTCCCTTCCAACCCTACTATTCTGCAACGGACTTCATATGGTTTGACACATATTTAAAAATAAACAAACAAAAAAAGAAACACTAAGTGAGCAAATATTAAGGCTATAGATTTGATTTATTTGATGATCCTTGAAGAATCTTTCAACCATCTCTGTTATAAAGAAGACCAAGAACAAAGGAAAAGAGAGGGAAGAAGAGTGGATGCTCCAACAGTCAGGTTCTGTTATTTCATAGCCAGCTGATACATAGAATACTTCTACATCTCAATTGTAATAAAAATTTAAAAGTGAGGTTTGAAGAAAGAAATAACAACCTAAGCTCAATTTTGCCAGCCAACCTTTATGGTACTTACAAGTATTTTTAAAAACAAATCCACCTTGACTATGGCACCATAGGTGCTACTTCTGGATCTGTACATGTACTCTTGTGCCAGATGTTACAGAGATTAGTTCTGGAAAAAAAAATTAGGATGAAAGCACAATAAAGTGCTTATGCTATCTGGTATTTGGGCTTCAAATCATCTGTAGTAGAAAAAAAAAAAAAACATGGTTGATCTGTCAGTAGCCATGGAAAGTTGATACTCATACTTCCTAGGCAAAAGTTTTACAGAAAGATAGGAAATGGAATTCAGCAGGGAGAACTGCAAGGCAGCACATTAAAGTGGTTATTAACTACAACAGCATCTAAAATTAAGAACTGGGAAAGATAAAACTTATGACTCAGAAGAATTTCCTTTCTACTCAGCAGTTAGAGCAGTTTGGGCAGTAAGCTGGAGACAAAGATGCCTACACAAATTGGAAATGGACTACAGGATAGTAAGAAGGTGACCTAAATTAACTAGAAAAAAAATGAAAGGCTAAATGAGTTGGGACAGGTTAGCCTGAAAAGGAGAGAATGAAGAAAGGACACAGTAACATCTATCATTTGTAGAATGCTGTATCAAGAGGAAGCGGATCAGATTACTGAACTGGAGGAACTTCAAAATAAAAAGAGAGAAGCCCTGGACTGCATGCAGGTCATGGAGCCCTCGTCCTTGGAGATTTTTAATAACTAGTTAGCCTAGTAATTGTTAGGAGTGACATGGAGATAACGTATTCTGCCTAGGCACATAGCTACATGTCACCTCAAGGTCACCCTGAGCTCTGGGATTTTATGGAGGAACAGACAGAACAAATCCGTAAAATACTTCTCAGGCTGAATGCAGCCTTTCAAATCATTCAACTGGAAAAGAATTGCTCATTCACCAACTTGAACATGCTTTGGAAGATCCCTGTGACTACCTACAGCATTCACCCATTATGAAAAAATACAAAAAACAACCAGAAACAAAACAAAACACCAGAATCAACTCTGGCAAATATTTTAACTGAGGAATTTCTTTAAGTAGTAAGATTCTGAAAGACCACAAAGCTAAACCTGATATACTACAGATTGAAGGAAAACCAAAATTCATCATTAAATTTACTATGATAAATTAATCATTCACTCTCAAATAAATACAGAAATGGAAAATAAAAGCAGCAGGAAAACACAAGCTTACTGCTTCACCAGTTTTTCCAATGTTTCCTTGGTCTCCTTGTTCTCCCTGTTAAATGGGGAAAACAGATGAGGTAGATGAGGTTCATTAGAAAAGTAATTTCTTTCATATGTGTATATTCAGGCTCTCTGTTTTCCTAACAGACTTTATTTTCTAATCTACAGCAGCCAATTATAACCTTAGAAACTAAAATTATGCAACTGGTGAAAAATAAAAATGAATGCCATCAGTTGATTTTATTTTTGTAAAAAATATGGTAGCTTTATCCTAGAATATTCATGTATTCTCCACAAAAATGAAAGCTGCATATTAAGGGCTCACTGAACCGTAAGTCAGCAAATACTCTGAATTGATGTAATTTTCTTTTAAATCTTCCTGTTAACAAATATGATTGCTTTGATTATTTCAGAATTGATTCAGAAGTAAAACGTTACCTGCACGCTCTATCAGTAACTTTGTTACAAAATATTTTATTAGGAAAACTCCCATTTGAGTTCTATTTTAACACATACTTTTTCTCCTTCCAGAAATCCCATATTTTAAACTAGAAGAATTTTGTTCTCCTTCATAATGCTGCACATTATGTAGCATTTTCCTACATGTTTTGGAAGTGGAAGCTCAATGTATATGCGCTATGACAACCTCAAGCATCCTGATGAACAGAGGTTTGGGAACTATTGGCTCAGGTGGACATAACTCTCATCCTTTCAACTACACATCATTCAATATTGCACTGGATACATGTACACAGCTGATAATCCAAACACACACTTATTTCATACATAAAAGCAGCATTTACCTTTAAACCTTCTGGTCCAGGGTCACCCAGATAACCTTTCTGTCCTGGTTTTCCCTAAAATAAACAGAATGAATTAGTATTTCAATTTTATCTTAGTTTCTGTGGTTATCAAACTAAGAATATACAAAAGGAACAGTTTAGTAATATTTACTACCTGCATTTGAATCTAATGCATTTATAAATCAAAGTCAGGTATTCTTGACTTCCTATACAATTTAAGCTATGACCTACAGATTTGGTTATTTGAACAGCACAACCCTGCCTAGGCAAACTTCGCCCATCTGCTCCAAGGGAAGGGTCTTGGTCCAAAAGTAAATGTCAAGTGAGCTGGGGCTGGATCTTGAGATAGTCAGTAATGAGATCATGCAGGTCTGACAATAGGAGAAGGAAAATGAATTCAACATTTTAATGAACCTGTATTAAGAAAATGTGAATTTCTGCTAGAAGGAAGCTAACAGATGTTAAACCACAGTGCTCTTTCAGCAGGCCGATAACTGCAATCAGACTCTCTGTAATGATAGCTTTCATTTCCATATGGTTGTCCTGAAACAGGAGTGATCAAAGTAAGAGATCTCAAAAAAGATCCTTCAGAAAAGGACATGACATTTCTAACTGGCTCTTTTGCTCTGGCTTTTCTCTGCCTGAAGATCAGAATGTGAGTTCGTTTCTGGGCATTCAAGAAATTCTTTATTATTTTAATTATATTATCAAAACTATATAATCCTAGACTTCTCATTAATCTTCTTTCTCGTGTTTTTTTCCTCTCTCTCTGCCTGAGTGATTTCATTTTGTTCTGCAAGTTACAACAAATCTCACTGAGTTAGGAATAGCCTTTTGTTTTGATAAATGGATTAGAACAGGGCACAGTCAGGAGTGGTGGGAGAAGAGACTGAGAAGACAAGTTCTGAGAGACCCAGAGAAGGCAAGTCATGTCTTTCCACAATGGTTAGATCAAGCATAGAACAAACTTCTGCAGGTTACTACATTGTATTTTACTCATTTGTTCTGAAGAACAATAAGGTCTTTATGGTGAGCAGAATGTAATGTTTTTTTTAGCTGTAATGAAAGGAATATTTTAAATAGAATTCATAGAAAGAAAACTAGTGACCACCATTAATGACCTGGATGGCTTTGATCCTGTCAGAGCTGAATTGCAGTTACAGCTTGTAAAGCTTTCCTGGCCATACCATCCCAGTTACTTGTGAGCAATGAAGGACAAATGGCAGATGCAAGCTGATCAGAAAACAGAACAAGAGGATTGCAAAATAGTAAAGCAAAGTGAAATGCACAGGTTTGGCTTTCTGCAGAAATGCAGACTGTAAATTACATATGGAGGAAATGGTTGCTTTTCTACTTGCTAACCCCCAGCAAAATCATTCTTCCAGGGCAATGTAATCCCAAAGCAAACATGCATTTCCTAAATTATTATCTGTTCTGTCCGTCCCTTTCAGGAAACAGCAACCACCTGTGCCTCTTTTCACCTCACAGTATGTTGATACATGCTTGGATATTTTAATACGTGTATATTATTATCACTCCAGTCCCATTCCTCTACAACCTTCTCACATGCCCTCAGCCTACAGGAAGCAATGAGCCACTTATAGAAAATACTGTGCCCTTGAGAGCACTTTCCTTAGTCTTTAGGAGAACTGCTCATCTCATGACAATATATAAATACCAGCTTCTGTTTTAAGCATGTATTTCAGAAAAAAAAAACCCAACAAACCTCTCATGATACCTTTTTAGTATTCCGATGGACTTCAAAGGCATTTTCTGCTCCAGCAGTGAGGATACAAAAAAATTATGAACACATGCTTGCACTGAGCTGAGCTACAACAGATAGTTACAGTGTTCATTTTCAGATAGCCTTTGAGAAAGAGTCAACAGATGGAATTTAATAAACATGGTCACTTATTTAATGTTGTATGTACCATATTTTCACTGGACAAATAATTACTAAAGAAAACATACCTTTATTATTTTTTTTAATAAGAACTCAATTAAGATTATGTAATAATTTGACAGTGGAGTAGAATTGGTGAGAAGGTATGGAAAGACATGAATAAAAATCAAATCCCGTGACCAAATTCAGCTCAAAATCCATCTGTTTTAGACATGAAAATTCTTTTCCAACCTGAGACTTGGAGCACAGGTTCCTGTTCACCACTTGTTTCAACAGAGAATGATCTGTCTTGCTGGCAGCATTTGTTAGGTGGGTCCCCGAGGTTTTTTGGCGTCATGCACATTTTTATTTATTATTGCTTTTTCCAAAAGTGAACACTAGGAATGAGCAGGTGGGGAAGGGAGAGCAAAAGGGAGGAGAACTTATTGCTGTTTGCTTAGTGCACACCTAAATTTGATTTTGGGGTAGAATGTTTTTACCTGAAACCCTTAAAGTAGAGGAGATGGATTCTAGAAGAACCAGAAATTGCCTCTGTTATTGTACAATAGAAAGCTAGAGTAGTCTAGAGTAGTTTCTGTAAGAATAAGGAAAGGGTGGATATAACAGATAACAGACACAGTTTGGTGAGCATTATTGGTGGGGAAGAGAGGAATAAACTACTGACCATGACAACAGTTTTGTAGGACAGGAAGGCAAGAGGCTGTAGTAAGAAAGACAGGCAAGACTTTCAGACAGAAAGGTGAGACGTTAGGAAAACTGTCTGTAAAACAGAAAGAGAAACAGAGCACAGAGGTAGTTTGCCAGAGAAAGAAGAATCCCCAGCACGTGGAGGCTGCAAAAACAAATTAGGGATATTTGCCCAGAAAGGCAGAGCTGACAGCTGGTGGTACCTTGGGGCCCTGAGTAAGGCTCCATCGATTCTTACTCTGTCAGGGTCCCCCTCAGAGACCTCTCCTGCTCTTGGATACTTATTTAGTATACTGAAGACAAATACAATAACACAGCTTCAGCAGCATTTACTTTCAAATGTTTTTGAAACTCCTTTCAAGGATGCTGGAAATAAAGCCTATGTAAATCAAAATGAATGTGCAATTGCAGTCAAGCAAGCATAACTGAAAAAGACGGATGTGTCCAAGAGCACTATATGAGATCCAACAACTCCACGTCCAGCATGAGCAGCATGTGCTCCTAGCAGGAAGGCAGACACAGGCTGAGCAGTGGGAGCAGTGCTAAGGCACACTGAGAACAAGGTGGCCTGGGGCTGTGAGGCTGCTCCAGCCAACAGGACCTGTGGAACACAGGTGAGAACAGTTGGGCCCTGGGATGAGAGGAAGAACAGGCAGGGCTCCACACCAAGAAAAATTCTCATTTCCCCTACCTCTCATTCCAAGAGGAACATTAGCCAACAAGCTACCCAGAGATGCCCGGAGACAGCAACCATGGGGCCACCACAGATCCACAACTTCTCTCAGCAGCATGTTGTGAGAGAGAAACCAAGGAGACATAAGGCACACCAGTGGTGTATTCATTTCTAAGTCAACTTCAGTCAAACTGATCCATATGAAAATATTTCTGCTTGCTGATTTCCTTCTTGGGTCTCTCTGCCACCAGCTGACAGTGGCTGGTGCATGCACATTGATTCAGGCAACGTGACAACAGGTGACTGATGAGTCTTGTGCTGCAGCAGCATCTTTTCCCATTGCCACTGCACAACAGTGCAATGTATTTCATTCAGGACCTCAGAATTGCACAGTGGTTTTATCTGTGCCAAAGCAGCACCATAGGCAGTTTTAATTGTCTCCTTTTCCTTTTCATGGGTTTTACTTTGTGCACCATGGTTGTGGTTTCCTTTCAAAACCCGGATTTGGAAAGGCATTCCTCTTCCCATCTCTGCCTAAAACATTTATTCATTTATTATTTTAAAACAGTCTTTTTTCCACAGTAAATGTATCTCTTAAACCAGCACTTCTGCTGAATAATATTCTGCAACAACAAAATTACTTACTCTTGGGCCAACTGTGCCAATAGGTCCAGCTGGTCCTACTTCTCCCTAAAAAGAAAAACAAAGTAAAAAAGAAAATAATCAGGATTTCAATAATCTTGATGCCAAGAAAAAATGGAATCTGCAGACAACTCTTTTTGCTTAGTATATCATCATACGTTTGCTTCATATGTGCATATGCATGCACTCAAATCAGACAGAAACACTGAGAGACTGAAATGATTTCAGTTAATTAGCCAGAGGGCCAAGCACTACATCACAGACAGTCAGAAAAAGACTTCTGTACTCTTCATTATTCCTCCATTACGGCAATATTTTCATGGTTCTGAGACACAGCAATGAAGGGTCAACCTCTCTGTCTGCCCTATGGTTACTCTCTTCCTGTAACATTTGACACTTCATAACCATGAGAACACCAGGAACATTCCTACTTTTTTCTTCCATGTAGGTAATGGTGCAGTCAGCAAAGTTAGCCAAACCATTTTGGCAGGGCTTATCCTTTATTTCTTGGGAGTAGAGGAAGATCAGGGGATCAGGCTTTTTGGGTATGAAGATGAAGAAATGACAGTGTCTGTGCTATAAAGTGTGCTGATAGAACTATACATAATAGAGAATTGCAGTGTTAATCTTCAAGGTTCATTCATTCATTATACAGTTACAAAGAACAGATTTGTACCAATGCTGTGCCAGGAGCTCATGCTGTTATCATTTAGTTTTCTGATTCTCTCAAAGTGTAAGATTTTATCCAGCTTCTGGAATAAGTAGTATACAAGCTTTACAGTTCCAAATAGAACTAACCAAAGGAATTAAGAAATGCTATCTACAGCTTCCTGGCTTGTAATTAAATGGAACATTTTGTCATGGCTAGATTTTAGTCACCTAGTATCTGCCATGAAAGCTCATAATTTAGAATCATAGAATCCTCAGAGTTGAAAGGGAACTTTAAAGGTCATCTAGCCCAACTCCCCTGCAATGAACTGAGATAATAATTTAAGCAAGCTTTATAATTTAAGCCGACTATTTAGAAAGCTAAAGGTCTATTCTCACATTCATTGATTCAATGATTTATAACAATTACTTCTGGCCTAAGATACGTAAGTTTTTATTTGTATTGTGATGAATTTAGAATGCCTAATAAATCTTTAAGAAGAAAAGCTGTCTATCTTCACTTCAATTGATCGAAGCCTTATAGTTTATTTAAGTATATCCAGGACATTTTCATTAAATTTAGGTTTGTTTTTATCTCCATGCACAACTCTGCCCTGTCTCCCCAGCTTAACAAAGAGAACCATGTCAGATTCAGGACCTGGGTCTTGAGATTTTACTGAAACCACCGAATAAACTTCACTGTATAAATTTAAAGGATATACAACCATGTAACACCTCATTGCAATCCCAGTCAAAAAGGGAAAAAAAGCAAAAAGAAATCTTGCACAGTAACACCATAAATACCTAACCACTCTTTTCTAATCTTCCTCCTCTTCACAACATTTCCTTTTAAACAATGTGCTGACTGAATAGTTTTTCCATCTTACCTCAACTCCTTTTGGTCCCTGTGGCCCTAAAGATCCCCGGTCACCCAGAAGTCCCTAAACAACCAAACAAAAACAGCGAGATCTTACATCAGCTAACAACAACTATGGTATAATTTTATTTAATTTCATCTTAAAAGTCTGGACACAAACACAAAGATGGATAGGCATATCTCATTAAGCACTCTTGTTCATAAGGAAGAGATTATGGAGCAGAAATCTAATATCTACTGGAATACTGATTATCTTACATACTTTGACTATGTAGATTTTTTAAAAATTATTTTTAAGTTTTTGAAATGGAAATAAAGTACTGGAGTTTGCAGAAGAACCATCTCTCTTCTTCTGAGAACAAAGCATACCATCACTAAGATTACTGATTAAAGCAGAACTGAAATAACTCTCATAGACATTTGATTAGATAGTATTTAGCACTTGATGAAAACATTGCAATGAAAACAAACTAGGAAGTGAATTCTAACTACTAGCTTGCCTGTCCAAAAGTACTTGTGATTTTCAGCCTTTACTTTTTGTTCATGTTTATAATCAGCTTTCCAAAGATGAAGAACCTTGGCTTGCCAACTCTTGAGTTTTTATGACTGCTACAACAACATTTTCAAAACTTTATTAAATGAACTAATTGCCAGCAGCGTGTCAAAAATCTTGGTCATCCAAATTGCATAGGTAATAACTTGATAGAGCACTCAACTTGGCAGAAGACAATGTATTTTATCTCTGTGTAATCATATTATTAGTCTTCTGGGAACCAAAGATTAACAATATAAGATAAAGCACAGAAAAGAAAAAAAATCTGCCCTTCAAGAAAGTGATGGTGGGAAAGTTCCAAGCGTAAGCCTTATTAATTGCTTACTAATGAAGCTGAAGTCTAGACTGAAGGTGTAGGCATTCCTCCAGAACAGTTAGCTTGCATGCCAGCTAAAACAGAAAAGAAAGTGGAATAGGCTACTTCAAGATCCATAGGTCACGGGCCAGTTTAGGGAAGTCTGAGATGGAGAATGTATGTTGTTTGACATACCACATAAGAAGTGACAGGATGGCTTTTAGGAGCACTGCATAAGCAGTATTCTTGTGTAGTAAGACAAGAAATTGTATAATAACAAAACGCATTAAGAGAAATTATTTTCAGTGCACTGCAATTATACCATGAAAATGTCAGCAGCACTGCCACTGTATGAGACTTCACACTGCACTTAACTGTGCATGTGGGGAAAAAAAGTCCTAGACTATAAAGATGGTATTAGGACTAAAGGAAATTTCCATCTCCCCTTTCATGTTTCAGACAACAAACAGAAATTAAAGGCAGTCATTAGACACATGCCAAAATGCCTGGAAAAAATTCAGGTAGTCTGCGAACGGGGTATCCTGTATATCATACCTGTGTGCACATCTATCTGTGTATAATGTACACACACGGACAACTTCTTAGATGTCCACCTCCTAAAAAACTGGTGGAACTCCTAACAGCTGTTTTTATTAAATGTTATCCAAGCAAACATAAATGAGCAGAAGTCAGAAGTTCTCAACCGCTTCCACAGTACAACACGAATTACTGGAAAAAACTACAGCTGTAGTCACCATACTCTGACTTTTCCTCTCACTTCTCTCAGTTACAGAGCATAAATACTTACAAGAATAACATACGAAGCAAACTAATTCAGAACTTCTTTAAACCTTTTTTTTTTTTTTTTTTTTTTTTTTTAAATAAGCAATGGATCAAGATCAAACGCCTTCCAAAATATTGTTTCCAAGCTGAGTAATGTACTATAGAGCAAATTACTTAATAAAGCCTTTGAACATTATTTTCGGTAGGTCAGATTTGCTGATTACTGCAATAATTCAGGGAAAATTCGTAATCCAGTTGTACTGGTATTTAGAAATGGCTGATCATGCTCATAGAGCTTAAACTTTCCAACAAGGGACCAAAGATCTGCCTTGCCAGCTACTAAGATAGAAAGTTTATCTTGCCTCTTGGCTTTTAAAATGAGTATTGCTTCTGAGGAAATAGAAACAAAAACATGTAGAAAAGCACAACACAGTAAAAACAGTTCCAAAAATAAAAGGAAGATTTAAAAACAAAACCAAACAAAACAACAATCAGCACAAGACAGCTGGAAATCATGACAGCTGAACATTTCCAGTGTGCAGCCTTTCTCCCATAGCACTAGGAGTCATTTAGGAAATTTTCCAGTTTGGTAATCTTCCATCTCAAATGTAAGCCATCAGATCTTCCTGATTAGAGCAGGCTGTCTAAACTTCTTGTCTTTAAGAGCAAATGTGTTGGAGACCACTGAATCCTGTTCAGCCATGTAATTTCTCCATTACTGGAATGCATACTCTGAAATAAATGTTATTGGCTACCTTTTAGAATTTTTTTAAATTGATATTTGGGAGGGAAAGGAATAGAGTGGTAATGTATATGTTAAATATCAAACCAATTCAATCAAAAATATCCAGTGTAACACTTGGAATCATGCAATCTCAGTTAATGGAGAAACTGGCCAGAGGGATAGGATCTCAGAATTCACGCGTCTGCTTGGAGGATCAAATTTGATCTGTATGTCAAGAGCTGTGGTATTGCTCTTCTCCTGTTGCCCCTAAATCCTGTATACAAACTTTTGTCACTATAAAGTAGCTTGATAATTCACCACTGTCAGAAACATTGGAGCAATTACCACCCAGTTGTCTGATAATCATTCATATAAGGAAGGCCATTAACATTACGCAAACAGATTAGCAAACGAATAAATCAGAATGAAAAAAAGTTCATTCCTGCCTCTGGAAATGTATTTTAACTTTTCCCTTTCGCTGCATCAAATAATGTTTTTTCAGACTTCCCTCTAAATTCTTTCTGGGTTATTTTGGGACAGGGTTTCTGACACAGATGAAAGACATGAAGTGCAGAAAAGATTGGTTATGGCTTTGGTAAGGGCATTATTTGTGATGTTTGTTCTCAAGGCATGATGAATTTTGTCATGAAGCAATTTCCAGGTAAAATAAAACTATACTTAAACTTAAATACTTAAACCATTTGCAGTTTCCTGTACCATGTTGTCTTAAGCAATCTGCCACAGAATTTCACAGCTCTGCTGAAATCTTCTCATTTCCATCTCTGTTTATTCACAAATAACTTTACAATTTTGTCCTTGAAGCAAACAGTTCATATCCTTGGTCCTGCATAGTTCTTTGGTCTCCACACAATTTCTGCCCTTTGCTATGCTTACAGAACTAGAAAAGGCCCTTCATTTTGGTAGGATAAATAAACTGTCTTTCAGAATAGTCATTCAAGTAATCTTTTCTGCATCTATTCTCATTTGATTGTGTCCTCCTGGAGTACAAATACCCAGAACTCTGTGTACTTCTAAAAGTCTTCTTGTGCTTTGTACAGTGGCATTAACATGACACCCTTCCTCACGTATTCTAGAATTTCACTTCGGTTTTAACAACCTTATCATGCTTTCCTTTCAAGGATCTTTTCTATCACTGCCAGCTGCAAAGCTCTATGTTTACAGTAGGATTTATTGTTTTAATCCCAGCACACATCAGTCTGAAGAAACATGAGTGGGGTGAACTGGCACAAAGTGCAGTACTTAAGATTATCTGAAAGTGTTCAACTTTGTTCAAATTTAATTCCAGCATACTTGTGCAATTTATTGATGAAAATATTACCTAGGGATAGTCCAAAGATACTGAGTGAGAATCTCCACTGGTTCTTTCAACAATAAACAAACTAAACAAATATTTCCCTTTGGGTTAATTGCTGATGCACCTGCATTTCTATTAGCTGTATTCATCTCTATCCTACTCATTATAACCAAGAACTTCCCATTTGTGTTTTTATCCAAACCTTCACTTAAACCTCTCTAAGAATCATTGCTAAATTTAGTCTAAAATATTAGTCTGTATAACTAACTTTTTAAACTGGTACATTACTTCCATCTTCTTTCTGTGTATCTTTAGCTAGTATTAATTCCAAAATTTGTTTAAAAAATCTGTATTAGACAAGTGAGATGATAAAGGTCTGTGTGCCTTTGACAAGCACCATTTTCAGTACTGGTGAAATACACAGCACTTCGAAATACACAGTGCTTTTTCCAAATTTTCTTGCACTCATCTTGCCACTCAAAGTCTCTGTAACGCAGTTACTACCTCTCCTAACCATGCAGACACCAGTAAACATCCGATTAACTTCATACAAACACCTGAGGCAAAGTATTTGCATTTTGACAAATTTTCTTCTTGTAACGCAAATTTCCATCTCTCAGACCTTTTCCTCTCCAATTTATACTGATTAACTGTAAGCATGAATAATTTTTCATGGTCTTACCTTGGGACCTTCGGGGCCATTTAATCCAGGTACTCCAATATCTCCTGGAAAACCCTAAATAAATCAGACAGACCAATGATTTATAGCCTAGGAATGTTTCCAACATGCATATTTTGTTTCTGCCCATTCATTTAACAAATCTGAATTGTAGAAAAAAGAACTAAATTTGTTTTACCATTCCCAATACGTCAGAATTCATTAAGCACCCTCTAAGGGCTTGGATAACTGACAGATTTCAGACAGCTTTCATTAAACTCATTTTAGCAGATGTCAGTATGGATTTCAATTCTCTTAACATGGGACTTTTTAACCGCTGAACAGTGTTTATTATTAAACCGTAGGACTGGTCTTGATACACAAAATACTCACAAAATAGCCAATACCAGGTCTTGTATTCACAAATTCAACTTTAAAAAACTTTTTAAAATAAGCTTAAACAGAAGCTGGAGTCCTTTAATCCTTGGCCTCACTTTAAGAACAAGATCACTGCAAGATTAAGAATATGGTAAAAAGCCTTTTGCCTCCAAATCAGTAGGAGCTGATCCAGGTCTGGCTGGCAGTAAATGAAGGTCCCTGGCATGCAGTGTTATTTGGAATAAGCTTTTGTGAAACACTGCTTGGTGCAGATTCAGCTGTTGGTAAAGAAAGCCTATATATGTAAGTGAAATTAATCAAATAAGAGGATATCTTTAAAGATTCAAGAGCCACTTTTTAGGCTAACTATGAAAAAGGTCTAAAAATTGTCTCTATAGTGGATAACAGTTAGCCATACTTTATTAATTATTAATTATTAATTAATTAATTAAAATTAATTAATTATTAAATATATCCCTTCACCCTCAACTAGAACAGTAGAGCTGCCACATCATCATAAATAATATTTAGTGCATCAATATTTCTATTTGCAGATATCTCTTCCGTTTTCTTTTTATGACTTGTTCTTAGCAGTATAGAGTAAGAGTTTTAAGAAAAGATGTTGACAGGATAAAAATATTTTAGGTGCTTCATACGTTCAATCAAACACAAACATATAAAACTAGAATACAATTGCAATTTCTTAAAAAAACAAGCCCCTTACTATTAGCTGTTGAATATTAATGAGTCATAAAGAAAACACACTAAACACTGAAAAAAAGAACCAAGCTGAGCATTCAGAGGAACTGGAACAAACCTAAGACACAGCATTTCACAAAGCATCGTGTTGGTCATATCTTTTCTGCCATGAAGCAACTGATAGACCTGCGCAACAATTGCTACGTGCCTCTAGGTGGCACTTTGACGTGACAAAGGCACTCACATAACTAATTTTCATCTTTGAATCAATCAACATTTCTATGCAGTTTGTAAGAAGTGGTTTTTTTGTTTTTTTTTTTTTTTTGTTTTTTTTTGGTAAGTTTTTTGTTGTGGTTTCTTTTTTTTTTTTTTTTTTTTTTTTTTTTTTTTTTTTTTTTAGGTAAATAAAATGGGGAGCCATATCTACTGAAAAACACTGAAGAGGTAGGTCATGCTTATCTGAAATACACCATGAAATACACCTTTCCGTAACTTAAGTTTGCTGATTTAGAACACTACATAGCTATACAGGAGCTGAGAGATCAATGTATATTTTCCAGCTGTAATAGGCATTCTGTACAGGTTACTAAGAACAAAACCTCACTTGATATTACGGCATCTAAGGGAGGTTACAGAGTAGATTCTGGTCTTGCCATCAGCCAGAAACCTGACAGCTGGCAGGCTACAAATTATCTCAAAATCTTGCTGCAGAGGTGGCCTTTTGCCAGCAAAGCACTTAAGAGTTCACTCAGCTTAATCATACTAGAGAGTGCCAAAAAATAACTACAGTGATCACCTGCCTAAAAGCAAAGGTAGTTTAATCTCAACGTGGAAGTTCCGTTTTGTGCCGAACAATTTAAATATAAAATAAATTCTGGAAATAAATGAAATTAATATGTCTTGTTCTCATTTATCTACAAAATACTTAATTAAAAACAAGCCAAATGTGAAGGCTGCTACTATTTTAGGGTTTGTGTTTCTGTAGTGAAGTCACTTCTCACAGATATGAAGAAATTGCAAAGACTGTTGCTTTTCTTTTGTTTGTTTTCCTGTTCTGCTGCTAAATAGAAACAGAATATCAAACATTTGGAAGTCACACCCCCTTACCACTAGGAATTCTCTTGCATTTGCAGAAACCCGCTCATTCCAAGCAGTTTCCACATGCCATTTGTCAGCATCGCACCCTCCAGCTCCCCAGCATCTCTCAGTGGGTTGGGGATGTGAGCTGTGGTGCAAGAGCAACAGAGAGCAAAAATCTCTTTTCAGCTGACAAATGTTCCTGCTTGGAAAAGATTTTATCCAACAGCATGCTGTGTTTCATTTGAATGAATATTTAGAATAAATTTTCAGAAGCAGATTGGATGGGTGTTGCTACTGATCTTCAACAAGAAGCTTCAACAGAGCTTTAGTAATACTTATTATCAAATTACCAAAGATAGATTTCTGCTTAAACCACAATTTCTCTGAACTGAGAAAGTGAGAGCTGCAATTTTACATTCTCAAGTAAATGCTTCTTTTTTTTCTTCTGAAAAGACATGCTATCCAGAAAGACAATTCAATAAATCTTTTTTTTTTTTTTTTTCTTAAAAAAGCTTGATGTCAGCATTTTTGAAGGGCAGAGACCTTTTTTTCCCCAGCAAACCTTCAATTCTGATTTTGGAAAGGATGAAGAAAGGAATCTAACATACAAATCACAAACACACAATTACAATTTGTCAAAGAACAGAAAAAACTAGCAATCCTGTATTACAGTAGATATTACAGTAAAGCTTCACAAGGCATTATTGCTAAGACATCAGCATGGTGATGCTGTTGGTTTGAGTATTTGCCTAGTTGAACAGCACAGATATGTTCAGCCATGCTCACTGAGACACTAGAAAATTATTTTCTTCTGAGAGACAAAGTTACTGCTTCTAGTGGAGTCTATTTCATAGAGTGTGCAAGACCCTATCCTGGCCCTCCCAAATACCTCCTCCACAGACCTGGTTGGCTGCTTTATGACCAAGAAAGTGGCTGGTGATTCATAGCAGCACTGGCCACCAGTCAACATACTAAGGATGGTGTCTTGCTGTGTTCTGGAAATCTACAATGCAAAATGGGAAGAGCTTAGGCAAGAACTTCAGTGCAGTTCTGCTATCTGCCAACATTAAAGCATCGGCAGAGACATTAGGGAAGGTGATGCTGCAGACTGTAGCAAATGTCCATGCTATTATCTGCATGTGCATACACATCCCACCACATCTAGACCTAGGCCATGTACCAAAAGGAAGAATTTTCAAATTCATTTCTTGCAAGATTTATTTGTACACCCCTTCATTTCTAGGGTGAAATTATCCCAAGACAAGCCTGCCTGAAAAAGGAAAGTCTCCAAGACAAATGCATAACTCTGTGAAACAGGAGACTGTTACTACTGCTTTCATGACATTGTCTGTACAACTCAGAACATCGTGTGATAAGATAAAACATACACTAAAAATAAACTTGTTTTCTCTTTTGAAATGAACAACTCAAAGTAACCAGTGATTCATTTAGAAAACACTCAGATGTATTTTTTTCCTTCACAAGCTACTGCATTCTGCATGAAGCAAAGCAGCTGAATCCCATATGAGAATTTTCTTGAAAGAATAAGTTAACAACTTCAGATGAAAATAATGCACAAATGAACAAAGATCTATTGAAGACAATGACTAATCCCTCTCTGCTCCAGATGAAACCCATTTATAATACTCAGAGCACATCTGAAGGAAACTATCACCATTCTTGAAGGATAATTCATTGTGATTTGTAGAACAAAATTTACCAATAAATGAAGTATTCTGAATACACACAGAAGCCTGTTAAAAATTTGACTAATTTCATTTTCATCAGGAATGACCACTGCACACTTCACTGTATATAGCATATAAAAAGTCAAGTCCCTGGGAGAAGGAGCAAAGCCTGTTGGGTTTGACCTGTTAGTTGCCTGTTTTTTGGAAGCAGCAGCATGATTAGAAATATGACACCAGGACTGTCTTGTAGGAAAACCTGTACTTAATTACTCTTATTGTGCCGCTGGCAACAAAAGCTGGCTTATTTTTATAAGGGCAAGTAGAGAAAGTAAGATACTACCTAGAGTTCTAAAAGAAAAATACCAACTTACAGAACTTCTGGAAATTGAGTTTTTCAAGATCCTGATATACTGCTGTCCTAACTCCCTGCTGTTTTTTCTTTTTCAGAAATGGTGACTGTTTTTATGTCTGCACATGAGACAGGCAGAACTTTCACTTACACAGATCAATATTGTGCTACCAAAGCAAGGAGAGACACCACTTTGTAGTCTTAAACCTTTAGCCACTTTGCAGATGGGCATCCAGAGGAAAATATTGAGTTGCATTTTAATTACTTAACATGTAGCATTTAATTCACCATAAAATGGCTGGAGTAATTTCACACACCTGAGCAAAAGAAAATGCTGTCTCCTGTACAGTTCATAGCATTTTTCCTTATATATCTTGGTATAAATGCCCAAAAGCACCCAAATGAACAATTCTGTGACAGAAGCAGAATCTGTATAATTCAGTAATACTGCAGTATTATACCCAGTTCTCAGGCAACTGCTGAGCCAAATTCAAGTGCTTGGCAATTCTTACTACGTCACTGGTGCTTGTTCTTTGCATTCCTTCCAATTTAAGCTTTTTTGTATGAGATAAATAAGCAGTGAGGCTTGGAGAATCTCATTTGTAAAGAAGCTGTAGAACTCAAGCGTTTGAGAAAACACATGAGACCCATTCAAGGTGTGAGCTCTTAAAACTGATTCAGATAAGTACTAATCCTAATCATATCAATGAATGAGCTACTTGTTTTAATCAAGGATTGCATAAATATTTTGTATAAAAGAATAAGAGCTAGATTTTTTGTTTCTGTATGGAGAACATCACATTCATTGGAAACAATTGAGTAAAAAGTATTTTCTGATTCAACTAAGTCAACAGTCCTAGAGGTAAATGCATTTGCTTCATAGATCTCAGTAATTTAGAACATACAGTTTATCAAGTAATTTCTTACCTCAGGACCTGGGGGACCCATTGGTCCTTGGGATCCAGGTTCTCCAATTTTTCCCTTAAGAAAGGGGAAACAATTTTTGATTATTTAAAAACAATAAACCAAGCAACAACAACAACAAAAATCTAAATAAAACAAAACAAAAAACCCAACATCAGAAAGTTGGTATTAAGATTTTTAAAACATTTATCTAGGAAAAGCCATGGGAGTGGTGAGATGAGTTTTCAACTAAATAGAAATATCTATAACTTTCTCTCTTTGCATCTAAGAGTAGTAGTTCTTGTTGAAGTCACAAGAAAAATGCCAATTAGTTTTAGAAAAATAAAAGTGGGAGCTTTGGGCTGGTCTATGTAGTTGTATGAAGCAAAACTTGAAACATGTAGCTGTTTCCATAATAAAAGAACCATACATTTTTCAGAAGATGGAAATAAGTGTTAGAGAGAATGGCTTATGAACGTATCTCTATAGCTTAACAGTCATTTATGGCCAAGAATGTTAAAGGCTGTTTTGTGATTAACATTAAATTAATGTTAACAAATTAACATTGCAAATATTACTGTAAATAATAAACATTGTAATTTGCTCTACAGGAAAATTGGACCCATCCCAAATGTATTTGTGACTTTAAGGTATATCTTCTCTCAAACATTTTTAAACATTTGTTGCTGCGTCCATAGCTGGGTGTTACTCAAGCTTGACTTGAAATTTTTTTTTGATGTTTTTAATGGAAGTAACTTTAATGTAAATGCATTCTATACATTTCAACATGATGTTAATCGCAAGAGTGAGGTCTTTCTGTTTAACAGAAGATGCTGATCACAACTACTCAGGAAAACACTTAATGCACATATTCATTTTTAACTGCAAACAGGCCAGTTTCCCCATAGAAAGTTAAACAAACTTCCATAAGTATTTTGCAGGATCAGGGTTAATATTTCAAATTCTCATATATATACATATATCTATATAATTCTTTAATTTAATAATAAATATTGATTTAATAAAATAAATACACAAATTCTTATATATATGTGTATATGTACGTATGTATATAAGGTCTAAGAGTCTATGACAAAAACTGAGACTGGTGTGATTTATTCTTTAAAAATATTAGCTAATAACTTTCAATTCTCCACAGAAAGGAGGCTGTTAACAGTGCTAAGAACAAGTGAGAAAAAAGCCAAGTAACCCTTTGCTGCCCCAACATTTACAATCCCAGCAGAAGCACTAGCACTACACAGGAGCTTTTAAAGCTGTTGCCAATCAGTAAATACTTGAATTCATGACTACTCCCATCCCTTTGAGAAACTACTGGCCATTATTAAGATTTCCCATGCTCTCTCCAAATTCACCTAGCCCAAACAGTCATCTTGGAAGTTCCCAAAGCTGTTATTGGATTTGTTTCTAACATTACTGATACGTATTCTCCCAGCAAAATGAGTGACAGAATGACTAACATAATAAGCATTTTCATGTTAAAATCAGACACATCTACTGGACTCTGTAATACTGTCTGACACACAAAAGCAGCTTAGACCTTCTTCTTTGTACTTCTTGATGTAGGTAGCTTCTAGAAGATTGTATGCAGCAAGAACATAAAATACAAAGTAGTATCCAATACAGTAACACGTAGTAATACATTGAGAGCAAAAATTTATGTTTAAACTTACTTGGGGTCCAGGTTTTCCCCTGATTCCTGGAGGTCCCGGTGAACCAGGAGCACCCTGAAAAAAAAAAAAAAAAAAAAAAGCGAGACATTAAATGCAAAAAAAACCCATGTTGTGCTACACTGAAAACAACAGATTGCTACATTTCGCCACCCAAAACAGTTCAAAAAAAAAACCAACAAAAAACTGTGGGATCAGAAATGACTTCTAACATTCAGCTCTTAACAAGAGTTCTCAGGGGATGGCCTAGGAAGGCCCCTCCACATGTGCTGCTAGCCACAGCTGACCCAGGTGAGGTGCAGAGGAAACTCAAGGTCCAAGGGAAAGCCCCCCTTGCAACTCTTAGCAGGTCTCAGGTTACACCAAAGTTATTTTCTAATTTGATGCATCTCTTATAACAGAAAAAAGCCAAAACTTTGCCCATGCCCTTTACTTTTTCTTTTTCACTGCTTTCCTTAATTAAGTTTTAATTAGAGTTTCTTAAATAAATGTTAATTCAGTGGCATCCAGTAACTACTATTATGCATTTTTTTCTATGAAGCTGACATAGCATTTTAAGACTCAGAAAAAAACCAACGAAACAAAAAAAAAAGGCTGATAATGCACAATTCTGTAAAAAACAAACAAAAAAAAAACCAACACAACCATGGGTTACCTTGTCTCCCGGGTACCCCTGATCTCCTGGATCTCCTGCAAGGCCATGCTCACCCTAAACAACACATTGTATGCAGACACATTTATGGTTTAGAATTACATACGGAGAAAGATTAATTCAACATTTAGCACTGAAAAGTAACAGAGATCTTTGAAAGACAATGAAATGGGCAATAGCACAGGATAGTCTTTTATGTTCCATAGTAAACGCTTTGTCCAAAAGTTTGTCAAAGTATCAGGTCTGGAGCTGAAGTACTTAAAGTTAATTTTAGTTAATTACTTAAAAAATTAAAGTTGAAAGAGATAATAAACCAAAAGCAGAACCAGAAAAAATTGTGAAGCAAGTTATTTTACTCAAGACATGATGAAAGAAGTTTGAAAGAACTACATCTCTGAGATAATAGAAATATTTAAATCACCTTATCACCTTTCATTCCAGGCTGCCCCATATTTCCTGGAAGACCCTATTAAAATGAAGAAAAAAAAAAATCCAGTGTATGCCTGTCATTTGGAAGGCAGCATAGAGACCTGGCTGCAGGAATGTTCAGTGCCATACCATGGGCCCTGGAATTCCTGATGGTCCACTCAGTCCTGCTGGCCCCACGTCTCCCTATGGGACAGCAAAAAAAGAGTGGCTATATTGAACATTTGACCAAGTGGAGCAACTTAGAGAATGATAACAGTACTGTTTTCTGTATCACAAAGAGAAAACTGAACCTTTTTCAGGCTAAAAGTTTGGTTGAAAAGTATTCATATTATAAGCCCTCTATGGTTCCCATCCACTTCAGCAGAAATACCAGCAACCAAAGGTCCCTCTTTTCCTGTAGGATACGTGTCAGAAAACAGACAGTGGCGCACTGTGCGATGCAGGATTAGGAAGCCTTCCTTGTACTGCATCCATGCATTCAGTAAGTGGCTATCACTTTTAGGGTTACATGGCAACAATACTGAATAAACATTGAATTTGGCTTAAAGTTATGATTCTGCTTTCAGTTGTGACAACTTCTGAGGTTCTTCATCTCTCAGTTAGTTCTATAAGTTAAAACAGAGATTTGATTCTCCTAACATATAAACAATGTTAACATAAAATCTGATGAGCGTGCAACTTCTGTTCTTATGTACCTTCTAGCCTTTTCTGCATACTTCCTTTCTGAGATTTAAATATTCAGTTTCATGACAAAAAAAAAAATGAACCAGAATTTTAAAAATTAAGAATCTTAAATGATCAACACAACTTCGCAAGTAATATTAATGAAAGATTGTGAATGAAACACAAAAATTGATCCAGCAATAGCTAAAACTGTATTACAGATAGGGAAGCCTACTTTATGCATATTCTGCCTCTGAAAAAGAAAGAGGGAAAAAAAAAGTCTTATACCTTTGTGGCAAGACAGGAATGTAGAAGTAAATATCAATACAAATACAAATATCTTCACCCGAACGTAAAGATGTGATACAGAGTTTAGATCACTGATAAGGAAAGAGTTGAATAAGTATTTGAAACTGCCTTCTGCCTACAGCAGCTTTGCTGTTTGGTAGCGCACATCGTTCAGTTTCATTGAAACTGGCTAGCAGTCAGGAAACAAATTGCTTCAGCCACATCAGCATGCTTTGTCCACCACTTCCACGTGACAAATGAAACAAAAACAAGTTTTTTTTTTAGCCTCTCAAAAAAGACAGAATACTCGGAAAGAAAAAAAAAAAAAATAGAAAAATCAATGCTTCCTAGTATTAGGATTTTTTTTAAGAAGGAAAGAAGTCATTTTAAAAGAAAGGCTACCACTGATAACTGCGCTTGCAAATTCTCTCAAAATTGTCATCATACCAATACTCACGGCTGGGCAAATCTTGAGAGACCAAGAACTGGCATACTGCTGAACAAGGGACATAAGAAAACGGAGGCCAGGGTGCACAAATCCATTTGGAGAGTAAGCACAATATGAGAACAGGACTGCACCACACAAACCATCTGTGGTGATGCAAATCTCATGAGTGTTGGTGAAATTCTGCTACAGTTCCCTTTACAGGTCCCCTGTAAAGAAGCTCTGGAACAAAGTAAAGCTCTTCCAATCATCTTCCTGACAGGGACACTGGGCATCAGAGCTGTTATATGATGTAGTACAGAATCTCCAACAGATGGTGCATAATAGCATATTTTCCCAATCATGTCTGTACACTTGTAGTATCCACACAGGTATCATGCCATTAATACTGAAATTCTGCTTAGCTGTGTTCTAATCTTATTTCAAAATCCCAGTCAGACTTTCTGATGCCTTGAAAACTTCCAAAGCTGTTTAGAAATCTGTAACAAATATTGCTGCACTATTTTCCTCAGCTGCAAAATCTTACCGTATCAGTAAGCAAACACAGAGTTAACTCCTGCTGAGCAGCATTTCTAACATGCCTTGGCTCAATGGAAGAGAATACCTTTAAAAACACTCCAAGATATCTATAAGATCTATTAAACTGTCAGAAGAATACATGATAACCCTATCTTACTGAGCTGTATTTGCACCTCGTAAATACGTGTCTGTACATATTTTTATTCATACATTTTTCATCTCAAGCAATAAATGTTGAAAATAGTTCATTTGCAAAATCATTTCTGCCTCTTAAACTGTCTGTTTTTCAGCACAGATATGTACAGCTCAGCTACAAGCACAGGTGTAAGAATCAAAGGTGCTCTCTTCTCCATCAAAGACCCTTAATTCCTTGCGGACAAATGGAGCAGCATCAGATGATGTGAAGTTCCCAGCGCTTCACGGGATGGGGTGTGTCAAACTAATTCAGACAAAAGATGTGAACATGAGCACATGCCCTGCAAAGTGCTTTTCCAAATTGTCACACTGAAAAACTCAAAAACTACAAACAAGAAGAACTAGCTTAGTAATTGCATGTGATAAGGAAAAATATGTCTGTTCCTGTTCTTTACCTTTTGTCCTCTGAGTACAAGTTTCGTAAAGCAGGAGGGCACATAATCAATGCTTTTACATTGGCAGAACAGAGCAAAGGGGAGTTCATATAAATGGGAGCTGGCAGACCATTCACATGGCAGAATGTGTACTGACCTCACGTTGGTCAAAACCTAAATATGCCATCACTTTTTTTTTTTTTTTGTCATTATGGTTTTATTTTTTTGAAGTTTATAAATGGTTAAGACTTCAGCTGGTGATTGACCAGAATTTATTTTGCAGAAAAGTATTGACACTCAATTGCAGTATAAATGACTGCAACTCAGCAATATGGTAAGTAGAGCCTTGACCTTGTATACATTTATGCTCATGAATTTTAGAAAGGGATAAACTGATAAATTTAAGACAAAATAATCTGTAACAGCATATTTACAGAAGCAGTATGTGATAGGTTTCAAAAAAAAAAATCTCAAGTACATTTATGTAATTATCAAAATCCTTCAGATAAAATTTCAAAGAACGCTGTGTAAGAAAGAAAAGCAAACTATAATTCAAACCAAAATCTCAATAGTGCAATTTATAATCTCATGAATGGGCCAACTGGCCCAAGTATGTCAGCTGGCAAGATTGCAACAAATCACATCTGCATGATAAAGACTGGAAGCCACAGTGGTTCCTTCACCAAGCTTGTGCACCTCCACCATAGCAATACCATAACAATCCCAATCATGTAGGAAGAGACTTCTTAATAGCAATATTTTTTTGTTTTAATTGTGTCGCTGAGCTGAGCTGTCATACTTCAAAGGTGAAGTTAGATGATCATCAGTGTAAACTAGCAAACTTATCAAGAACGTTTCTCAAGTTATAAAATAAAGCTGACCAAAGGAAAACAATAATCTACATTGGACACAACCATGGCTTTCTTAACTTGTGTATAAACATGCTATTAGCTCTTGTGTTACAAACTGTGAACGCTGCAGGGTAGCTGGCCTTGATTGAGCCAACACTGAAAATCAAACCCAGGTTCTTTAACAGTAAACACTGGAAGTACTTGAATAATGAAGTAATTCTACATGGTACAGGAGTATCACAGTCAGTCCCACTTCCTCTGCAACTGTTCATGTCGCAGATCTTCTCTTGTGCAACTGAATTTATATAAATGCAGTTTGAAAATTCACAGTGGGCAGCACAACATTCTTTAAAAAATGTACCAGAAACCTAAACTGAAACTGCATTCAAAAAGTTATTTTGCATGAAGTTTGGAAGCCACATATGAGAATGAATGAAGGCTGTGGACATCCTTAAAAAAGGATGCCTGAAAGCATTGTACTCTTTCAAAAAGTAATATTGCATTTAGGAATAGAAACTTGAAAAATGTGGTTATTTCAAACAAAATATCTATACACATCAGATTAGAAATAAGGACACACAAATCGAACCAAATATAGAAGTGCTTCATAGCCAACACTACTATAGTAATTTTATACTGCAATTTCAATCATCACTATCTAATCCAATCTGTTTAAACAACTGTCAGAATACATGGATTGTTGTATTTATTTGTATTATTTTACGAATACAAAAGACAAAAGTTCTAATGAAGCCACATCAAGATTATAATAAGCATGTACTCACTCTCAGTCCTGGAAATCCAGGAGGACCAACACCACCAACAATTCCCTACAGTGGCAACAAATTTTAGATTTTAATATATGTTTATTCCCTCTTAGTGATCTGAAAAGAAAGTAATTTGGAATTTATATAGAGGGGTCCTACCAATGACACATTTTCATTGTATAAAATGTCTGACTGCAAAATTGATCACATGGTATTTGTATCATGAAATTATTCCTGCATTACCAAGGAATATACAATTTTTTTACCCTGATTATTTCAACTGGAAAGAAGAAAAAGTTTTGGGGTGGAAAAAAAGCAAACACCAGGAGAATTTGCATAGATTCCTTTAAAACATAAATGGAACAACAGCTCAGTGTGTTGAAAGACCTTTGGAAAATACTCTCTTGATGGCAAAAATATTTCTTGATATAAACTATATACTTGAGTTTTCTTTAATAAGAAATTTAGTAGTGCTCTGCTACCATATGTGTTGAGCTCAAGTTTATCTCAACTGAGGCCAAAATTCTCAACACTGCAGAAAATAGAGCAGCCAAGTCCATCAGCACGGCAGCCCCTGCAGCTGCAACTCTGTCCTCTTGACTGAACAAGCCCTGCAGGGAGAGTCTGAGGGGAGAAGTGGGAGAAGTGTTGCTGCCTGTTTAAGATAGCAGCAAAATCAGTTGTCTTGACAAATTAGAAGGAACTTGTCAGCAAATATTTTTGTTCCAACAGGCTTCTTGGAAATAGGTACGTTTACTCTTGGATCCAGTTTTTCTGAGTTTGTTTCTGTTGAAGTACTACTCCTCCTCAGATCTTGTGAAAAGACAGATGTCCTGCCCTGTCAGGAAAAGAGGGCGACTTAGGAGCATGAGGAGGGAGGGAATAACTCACCTCTTCACAACATTGGCAAGCTGCAGGTCACAGAGCCCCTCAGAGTGCTCTCTGTGTTGCTATTGCCTGACATTCTCATAAAGGGAATTTTGCCTCAGTGAACAGAAACATAAAATACTTTTTTTCCACTGTTCCAAAACGCTGGAATACTGCAGCAGCAAAATTTCTAAAATAAGTTCTAATAGGAAAAGGCAGGCCATCAGCAAGAACTCTTGCCCATTTACTGATCAGCATAGCCCAAAGGCTGGTCCACATAAGAACAGCCTTTAAAGACAAACTGATTGGAGTTTCCAAAGCAGCACCCAGCAATAAGAGTTGATTTAAATCAGCTGCTCTTTTGCCCAGCACTGGCTGGCTGTTTGTCTGGCCCAGAGTTTTTTCACTGATTTCTCATATCAAATGAAATTTGAGTTTTGAGTCTGCTGCCAGGGTTCCCCTACAAATGCAGTGTGACAGCAAGCTCCTTTGAGAGTGGCCAGTAAAATAACTTGACTGTGCTTCAGTTTGAATACCACTTTAAGCCTGCACACACTGCCAAGGACAAAGCTGTTATCATACTGATTATAACACAGTAAATGACATACTTGTATCCAAAATGACATAATTGTATTCAGTAGCAATTCAAAGAACAAAATCAACCATCAAATCCAGAAACACGTGAAAGCTGCGGCTTTGGCACACAGGCAAACACAGGCAAAAACCCAATTGCTAAGGTGACCCTAGAATAATCATTTAATTAGCAGTACAAAATCTTATTTAATGCAAGAATTTCGGAAGACAGAAAACATTCATTAGTAATGCAATGAGGTCAGTAAGACATTTGATTCTCTGGGAGGTGCATGCTCTCAGTAGCTATCAGGTTCTTTTCTCTCTCTTTTAAAAGAACTACTTATTACAAAAGTATCTTGCACCTTCCACATAAAATTAACAGTCCAGTATTTCTCTGTGAAAACTTCAGTATCTTTCTTTTCAAGCATAAATCTTTCTGTTTGGGTGGGGAATTAATACTGAGCATTATGCATTTTACCATGATAACACGATACTTACAGGATTCCCATCTGGCCCTGGGGGACCTCTGTCTCCAAAGTCACCAGGAAAACCCTAATACAGAATAGAGAATTGTTCTTTAGTATCCTAGACAAAGGAAGTCTAAATACAAAATTCTTATATGTATTAAAAATCAAGATATCAGCAAGAGGGTTTACAGAGAGAGGAGAAGGAACTGGAAAAGCTGAAAGTTTCAGCTACACAAATCAAATGGTACTTTGTTGTCTTCTAAAATCATAACTGAAAGAGATACAACTAAAAGATGTAGAGAAAAATTAGATGACTGAATGTCTTGAGAGCAACATTAAATACGATTATTTCAGTTGTTTGAAATCTCTTTTCCTATTTAGTACTTCAAATTCAAGATTATTTTTTCTCCTGTACTCTACCACATTCATTAAAATATTTGTCTTTCCTTCCTCCCTTATTCTTCCATCAACATTAATGGCTGCAGACTCGGTGAGGTATACCTTTGTTAGAAATCAGGTTTTTCACCCTTGTAGCACAGCACTATCCTTAACCAATTTGTACACTTGTCATAGTCTGCACCTAGAGACTGAAACTATAAGTCAAACCAGATATATTAGCATCTCATTCTATCAGTTTTGATTCCAGAGACTCAATTATTAAGACAAGGGTTATCAAACATAAGAATGCAGAAGAATTCTGAGTAGCATAATTAATTGTTGAAGTTTAAAAAAATATTTCCATTTCTTGCTTGAGAAGCAAAATGATATGGAAATACACCACCATCTTGCTCTAATCCTACTTGCTGCCTCCTCAGGTTTTGCAGACTATTTTACTTCTTTCTGATGGAACACAACAATATAACAAAAGTTAGGAAGGGGCCTGATTACCTACAGTCATCATAATTCCATTCTCAACCACTTCTTCTAATGAATGCTCATAAAACTACACTAGCTACTGAAAAAGAAAAGAATATCCAACACAGGGAAACAGTCAGAAAAGTCTAACATGGAAATATACTACTGCTACTACCAGGAAATGTTGGTAGCATTTGATTACATCAAGTATTACCTTCTAACAGTACTATAAAGCATATGAAGGATGACTATCCATGTTAATATAAAACAAACGGGACGGGTTTTCTACAGCAATAATGGACTAGACATTTAAATTGCTATAATTTACAAAGTCTGTTCTGTCTTATTGGCTGTTGCCTGTAACTAATCCCATACAGTGGAAAACTACGTAAAAACATTCTTGAATGTGGTCGAACTATGTACGTAAAAGCACTGTGTATCGTACTTACAGTACAGACAATGCATTAAAACTACAGGAGACCCAGCCAAGCTTCATATTGCAAGCATGTAATGAAAAGAAATGTGATACATATGCTTTCATTATGAAGTATTTTCTTTAAAGCATACTGTATACACAATATAAAAATAAGTTCTCCCTGTACTGTCATTGCTTACTGAATATGTTGTTCTACTTCAAATATGCCAAAGATATTACAAATTCGAATGACCAGTCACTAAACCTGCCAACTGGTAATATTTTGAATTTTACAAGTAGGATCCTTCGTCAGATATCAAACATGACAGCTGTCAGGCTCTCAAGGTGATAAACTAAAAGGGAACAGATGCAACTGTTTAAGCTTTTTCATAACAGTTTTTGTTTTTTTTTTAATCAGTGAAAGATCACAGCCTCTTCTTTTCTTATGCTTCATATCACTTTCTACAAGTGATAATCATACTCAGGATGTATCATACATCGTGTAATCGTACTTTACTACCAGTGAGAATATTTCTTCACCAGCATTATTATTGAAACGTTGTCCAAATAAGTTGCATTCTACAACACAAGGTGAGGAGCCTGACTTAAGGCACTATGCAATTTCCATGCCAAATTTCCTTTCATGACAACACCCTATCCCAAAGCACTGCATGAGTTAACTGAGGGATACTGTGGCAAAAAAAACTCTCATCACAGCTGTCACTGGAGCTGAAATAACTGACAGATTTTCTAAGTTTCCAATCCAGCAAAGTACTGCAAGCAAGGCTTGGTCCTGATATGAGTAGTCTTTGATCAAGTAAGTAGTTTATAGGAAGGATGTAGAATGAACCTCAGGATTGAGGAAAAAGAGAACATTACAGAGGAATCAATACCAGATGAACATAGTTAGGAACACTGCACAGAGGTGCATTGGGTGCTGTCACTCTGTCAAACCACTTTGAGTTGGTTTATATAATTTCAAGTCCTCACCAGAGAACAGTTTGGCACTGATAGAAGCTCTGCTTCTGCAGATGAAAAATGCAACTACTTCCTACAGCATACACATCACCAGCTTTCAAAGATGGAAAAAACTATTTAGTGGAGATCAGAAGCCCCTGTGAAGCTTGTTGCTGAGAATGAAATTCACAATGCTTTTGGAGTGCCCTGTCATCACCTCCTCTTCCTTTTCCATACTGAGCACAAGCTGTGCTTTCCATCCATGCTCACTTTCTTCTTAAATGCAGCATGGGACTCAGTGGTACAGCTACCCAGTCCATGTCAATCATGACATATTGATAGCACTGACAGCTCTCACTCAGCAGTCATATACACCATAAAACAGCAATTGAATCAAAGAAGCAAATTCAATGTTGTCATAAGGACAGAAGCACCCAGTTCTGCTAACTGAATAATTAAAAAACAGAATCTTACTTTGTTTTTATACTCTATCAGTTTGATATCAACTTCAGAAAGAACAGTATCAACTTAATGGGACTTCTCTCTGCATGCCTTTCTTTACACTAAAAGGAACTCTGCTGAATGGTAGTGAGTTTTTTGGCTGGTATAAAATAACATATAAAACAAAACATAATAAACAGAATCTTCAGCAATTTTCATCACATACACCTAGGGCCATATGGTGGTAATCACACCACTCCTGCTGAGCATGCTTGTTCAACATGGTAGATGGAGGTCATCTGAACAGCTGAGCACAGCTGAGTGCAGGACTGGAGAATGGAATCACAGTTTCCAGTAGAAGACCATAAGCAATTTAAAATTGGAAACTCCTGGACAGCAAAATAATAAGGTTGCAGCAGAAAACAAAGGACTTGGCATTGCAAATATACCACAGGAAATATGTGAACTTTGATAATGTGTATTTGGCAGATTGGTGTTTACTCTCAGCTGTAGAAACATATGTTAACTAGAGGACAGCTTTAATTTACCATTGTCCAAAAATATCATGGATTAGAAGCAGTTGATTTCCCTTCAAAACAACAACAACAAAAAAATCAGACCTCACAAAACCTACATCATATCTGTATGTCAAGCTAACACCAATTTTATCAAATACCTTTATGTGTTCCTGCCCTTTTTTAACCCTGAGAGAGCTGCTATCAGTACCCAGCAATGAGCCTCATCAGGTTAAGCATCCTTCATTTCCAAATAGAGTTACTGCTTGGATTTTGCAGCATCTCAAAGCAATAATTGGAAACAGTGGGAAAAAAAAATTAGTATTTTTCAACTGAGTAAAGCTATGGAGTGAATCACAGGTATATTTACATTGGCAGTAGAAACCATAATAAGTATTAGAAGCTTTACCTGTCTCCCTTTAGGTCCTCTTTTTCCATGGAAGCCTGGAATGCCCTGAGAAAGAAATTATCCATCATAACCAGGTTTTTGTTTGTTTGCTTGTTTGTTTCTTCTTCTTCTTCTTCTTCTTCTTCGTCAGTTTAAATTCAAGTATTTAAGGCTGACTTTTGATTGGAAAAGACAGCCTGAGAAGAGGCACAATTAAAAAACAATCAGCCAAAACATAGTTTTATTGTGGGCATTGTGAGGCAACTGACAATTTCTTCAATGAAAAATAATCATGGGCCTCAGCAGTCCTAAGAACAATTCAAATAATAATAAATAATTATTCATATGATTTCCTAAACCTCCATTTTGCTTTTAGGCAAACTCAAGTAGTTTGACCTTGTGCATTTTTCACCATTTTGACATATGTGATCATCTAAACATTAATGCTTCCTTGATGTTCCATCATACCTACCCTTTCTCCTTCAGATCCTCTTTGTCCTGCCACCCCTGGAGGTCCAATGAAACCCTAAATAAATAAGAACAATTAATGATTACGGGATTGCTTTCCACCAGAACTGCTTATCCATCAGTGTTGGCAAACTGGATTAAAGATCTATGGATTAAACCCAGGCTTGTTTGAAATTACCACTGAAACTCAACTGACATCAACATGACCAGGATTTACTCTCCAGCTAACAGCAAGAATAATTCCCTATTATATAGGTACTGAATAACTTAACAAAGAAGTATGGACATAGTGTTCCAGTAATTTAGGCTTGTAGAGACTTAATTATAATACATAAAACATGAAAAAGCCTATGAAATTAGATTTCTCTCTGAAATGCAGCAGAGATGTTCCTTATTTTCAACAACTTTGTCTGACTTTTCCAATATGCAAGCATACTAGAAAGTTTATCTTGTCACAAGCAGAATGTCCTCCTTAAAGGGCTGTCACAGCGTATTTCTCTCCCAGTTTTCTCTTAGGATGTCAGAAGCAGATACTCTTGTACAATTATGTGGAGATAGAAACATGCTTTTGGAATGGTGATTTATAAAAAAAGTACAAGTGAAAATGCATTAAAAGATTCAAACCAAGATTGAAACAGTTAATAGTTAAGAAAACAAAAACCCCTTGTTTTCATCCATCTCTCTAGCTGTCTGAGTATAATGTAATTTAAAAATTTCTTTTCTTTTGTGCCACCTCCATGGCACACTCATATATCTCAGCAAACTACGCCATTTTTGTTGCAAGCTGTCTGTAGAGTTTGTATAAAGAGCTTAGTCTTGAGACCTTGAGTCTTGAGGTGTTCTTCCCTCAAATTACTTATAATGCTAAACACTGGTCATTTTTGCCTTGTGTCAGCAGACAATCAGTAATTTTTCCGGAAGCAACTGCAATCACTTAATGCCTTAATGCCGAGAGGAGAATGAGACAAAAGGCAATTAGAATTTGAGCAAAAATAAAGTGAAGAAACAAAGAGATACAATCCCTGAGGGTGCGATATCTGTTGGCACTTGATCCTGACAAACTCATTTTTTCCGTCACTGTAATGAAAACTGACATCAAAATTAAAAAAAAAAAACAACAAAAAAACAAAAAAAAAAAACAACAAAAAACCAACAAACCAACAAACCAGATTAGTATCTAAAAAGCTATTGTAGGTAAATGCTTTTAGTAATCTCATTTAAAAAAACAGGTAAGAACAAATCTACAGTAAGCTTTAATAGATGCATGAGAACACAGCAAACTACTCAGCAACCTGTACAACACAAGGTCTTATACAGTGTTTATGTGGCAAGAGTATTTCCCTTCATCAACTCCTGAAGCTATTGCAGATTGTAATTGCCAGATACATCCACCTTTTTGGTAGCTTCCATCATGGAAGTAATGCTTCAGGCAGAAAATGTCCACTTCTCATTCTCAGCCCTCACATCCCCACATTCATTATTGCTTTACTTTTCTTGCCCATATGCATTCCAAATGAGAGGAAGAGCAATAACAGGAGATTACTCACCATAGCAAACAATGTAATATTATTATTTTGAAATAAACACTCACTTTTTTCTCACTTGTGAATTGGGCATATAACTGTCAGGAATGAGTACAACTCCTCAACCTTTATTGCATACACTGTGTGTGAAAAAAGACACACATACCAAAATGCTTGATATTCTTACTTACCCTTGCACCTTTAGGGCCTGGGTTACCTTCTGGTCCAGCTGAGCCCTAATAAAAAAAAACAGATACGTGAGTTGTGATTTGTTTAAGTAAACAGATATGCTTTGTTTGAAAAATATATATATGTATTTGTCAACTATGTCAAAATGATCAGGACTGATGAGGATATTATCAACCGGTGTGCTGGGACCATGTTCAGAAAGGTCTCATTAATTCATAGCTGAATCTTAGTGCTTGAAGTTTCCTTTATGTTACAATTATTTCTGCTTGGAATAAACTTTTTCCAGACTGATCTGGCTTTATGTTGACAAAATTTCACAGGGGTTTTCATAAGCTTTTACATTTGGACACAATTCAATTTATTTTCAAGCTAATGTCATAATAGTGCATGTAGTCAAAATGTTCTAAGTATTTTATGTAATTCAATACAAAAATGTTATCATCCATTACTATGTGAACTATTGTAATGGAATATTTAAATACACAGTCATCACAAACCTAACCCAATAAACCAGTATTTGTCAATTTCACTCTTTAAGACAGCATAAAAACACAAAGTTAGTAACTGAATTTGACTCACATACCTTTTTATAGGGAAAACAGTGAATATTTCCTACTTTGTCTTATTTGTATTACTGGACTGAGGTATGCGTTACCTTACATTAAAAAATAATTCAGTATTTATGTATGCGCCTGTGTTTATAAAAATCTCTTTTATGGTTTGCTGGTTCTTCTTGTCAATTAACATATTTTTTCCCATCTTGTAAAATATTCTGTTTCCCTAAAAGGCTGAAGAAATAGTTTCAGCAATGAAGTAAATACACTAGGGCAAATCAGGAGGAACTATACAGCAATAAGCAGTCTCCTATTCCGCCTGAATTTAAAATGTGAAGTCAAAACACAGAACCCCTTGTGGTTCTGTGAGCTACAACATTAAGACATTAGATATAGTGATGTGTGTGCACTGGAAAGGTATAGCATTATGACTATAGCATAGGATGTGAGCCAATATGTAATATTCTTAGTGGTCTCAGAAGAGCTAGATGTGGTACTTTTGAAAAGAACAAATAAAAAGAACCAAACTACCAAGACATTAGCATAGTTACTGCACCTGCCTGCCAGGGTAACCAACTGCCCCAACATTGCCAGCCATTCCTGGAACTCCCTAAACAGAGAAGAAGGAAAAAAAAAAAAAAAAAGCAAAATAAAACAAAGACAAAAACAAGCAAACGAACAAAAAACCAAAACCAAACCAAACAAACAAACAAAAAAAACAAACAGAAAACAAGCTTAATGTCAGGTTTAGAGTTGTACATTTCATTATATGTAAGTAACTCCATCAACATCAGTTATACATCCCTAAAAAAGCATTACAAGAGTAGTGCTAGTCTTTGTGGGAAAAAAAGACAGTATACCACTTACTTTCATAACAAAAATATATATGCAACTTATGGAAGTAATTGAGGAGGACTGTAGGAGACAGGTTCTTACAGTTGCAAGTAACTGCACTGGTCATAGCTATATATCAACAAATATGTGTTAAAACTTTCATTAAAGAAGAATGAAAGCCCTTATGAAGTCACCTTTCCACCTTCTTCCTCCGAGTTGAACCCAAATGTCAATTGTTGTTGTTTTACTACTCAGCATCTGCACAGCTTACTGTTTTTTGAAAAAGATGCTTTCCTGCAATGATACCACATACTGTGGTTCCATCACAAGGACATGAGAAGCTCCACCTAGGTCTGCTCACTTAGCTTGCTTTTACGAAAGCCCAGTCCGTAATCTGGACAATATCCTAGTCTCAACTTTCCACCCACTGTCATATGCCAGTGTTACTATAGCAATGGCTCAGGACACCCTCTCTGAGCTCTTCACAGCTGATTTATGGGAAACAACAGCAACAGGAACCAGAACTCAAAAATGCAGAGACTTTCCCTGGAGGAAAGGCAATTCTGGGTAAGGGCCTGGTATCCTGGTCTAGCTGTGGTGTCCCTGTTCATTGCAGGCGAGCTGGACTAGATGGCCTTCATAGATCCCTTCCAACTCCAAGGATTCTATGATTCTATTAAAAACAGGTTGCTGTATTTTTTGTTTCAGTGTTCTGCCACCTGTTTTCAACTGGAAGCAATTAATCTTCTTACAGATGTTCTGCTGTGGAGCTAGTATCCACTGTCTTCTATTTTGGCTCAGAGGGAACTTACAAAAACATGTATGAAAAATCTCAAAATGTGGTGGAATTTTTGCATTTTCAGCCTCCTTTTAAAATTCTGCTGCCAGCTATTCAAGGAGCTCAACAATTCACAAATTCAGAGGAATATCTACCTTTTCTTTAAAAGCTTCTAAAAACTATAGGCATGGTTAAGTGCTACAAATGACTACTTGTCTAACTTAACATCTTCTCCAGCCAAGTCTGAAAATGGCAGCACTAAGAACTACTTGCAAATCTACATGCTTCCCCCAGAAATGCTTTGTTAAAGGAAAAGTCAGAGAGTTTTCTAAGCAATAACAAAGGAAGACCTTCACAGCAGTAGTATGAAAACACTGAGGTATCACACAGCTGCACATTGCCAATTTTCACATTCTTGAATTGAACTGAACTTCAAAAAGAACTCATGCTTGACTGCGCAAATAGCAAGCAGAATTATTTTTCAATGCAGGTTGCACCTTTTTCCCTCCATGGAAACTAGCATGGAAACTTCCCCACTAACTCCTTAAAGTTTGAGACACTATTGTCCTACAGTTAACAGTGAATTTTTCTCTCACTGCAACCATCTACTACAGCCATCACAGTAAAATGTCTTTGGGTCTGTAACAAAAATCACCACTCACTGCGAAAAAATTTATGGAAAGAGCATATTACTGTTATGCATGATACTTATGGTTGTTTGTTTTTTTTTAAATCTCTTTTCCAGTGTCTGTCTTCTGTTATTGTTGTCATTTCCTTCTGATTGTTGCCCAGAAGGGAAATCATGGTTCCACTTATTCTGCTGCTAGGTGCCTTGCTCTTGATAACACTACATATTCAGCAATTATTTGCTGCAAAAAGGTTGAACTACATGGAGGTGAGAAAAGGCACTGAATAAACACTTCATTTGCAACATACTAGAAGACTAAAAGTGCAATAAATTAGTAGACTGCTTGGGAGAATCTAAACAGTAGCTCTAAAATTTCACAATTTCTGCCAAGCTAGCATGGTAGTTGAAGATAAATAAGTTGGTCTTTTCTGTTTCATCTAGGCCATTCTTCACCACACTGATCATTATGCAATCTGAACCCTTAAGCAGTTGGCAATTTACACTGATTGCCTGTACTGAGTATTCATATTGAATTATGCATTCTTCCATCATGAAATGCTCATCTAAAGAGTACGGTCAACTGTGTTTTCTTTACTTACCTGCTCACCCCGTGGCCCTTGAAGTCCCATAAAACCTTTATGACCCTGCAGGTAGAGAAACAGACTATATAAATATAGTTAAAAAAAAAAAACAAACAGACTTCTTCTTCCCACTCCAGTTTCCCATTATCAAGAAAAAAAACACGTTATCCAAATGTGTTTCATCCCAGACATCCTCAAGGAAGGAGCACCTTGCAAGACACAGTATTTCTTTTATAAAAAAATAACTTAGAATAAATTCTAGCCCTTACAGAATTCCTACCAGTGGAGAGAATAGCCTGCTTCTCATCCCAGAAATCTTTCTTGTGGTGCTGGAATCATGAAACTGTCAAACTTTAATCATTTCAACCATTATTTAGCTCTTAAAGGAAAATAAAAAATTAAAAATACACCTAGAACATTCTATCCACGTCACTACACCTGAAATAGAAACCTTCTTGGTCTTTACACTCACCTAAGCAAGCTGACCTGTATGTGCATGATCATGCATAGGCCAAGTATTTGTTCTGCACATTTCTTTCAGAGGTACTGGAAATAAACATGTTCCCAAAAACTGCAGCTTAAAAAAAAACAAAACAACAACAACAAAAAACCCCACAGAATACTCCTTATTCTGCATAAAAATCTATCACAAAACTGGTTTTTAAGATGGTGATTGAATAGTAGGAGTGTCTTGGGTGACACGGAAGATCTGGCTGCATTGGGCTATGACGTTCTTAGCCAGTACAGCTCTAAAGTGATGCAACAGACCCACAATAAGGAATTCTGCAACTCATTTCAGAGAGCCAGGCATCCTCACATTTTGGATAAGCTTCTGTTGAACCAAAAGTGTGCTGCTGTATTGAATTAGTCATTATATACAAGATTAAAGAACAGGATAACTTCACTCAGTGATAATTTTAGGTAATAGAAGAAAATTACAAGTTAGGCAATTTTTCTGTTATAGGATTGTTTAAGTAATTTTGTTCCAAAAGAAAGATATTCCTTAAGAAACCCAAAGGCCTCCTTTTTTCTAAACTCAAAGCAGGTGTCCTTTCATTTTGCTAATCACACATGGGATATTGCCGCTTTGCAAAGTTATAAGGCATTGTGGTTTCAATCCTGTCCTGTAACTTGACTCAAGTAATTTTGATGTTATCTCACATCTGAGAAAGCAGCTCAGCACTGCTGTTGAAAAAAAAAAAAATGTTAAATCTGTAATTGATAACCTGGATAAACCTGCTAATCTGATTGTGGATTAACAAATTGCTACAAAATATTCTGATTTTGTAATCTGAGAGCAGAAATTCTTATCAAACTAATAAACAGAACTAAAGATGCCAGTGTAAGTCAGTAACACACATCTAATTGTGTCTCAGAAGGCCATAAATTTTGTTAAATCCCCATTATGTATTTCATGAACGTTGCCAATTTCAGAATTTCGTCCTCTTCTTCTGATTAAATGACCAAATGAAATAGGTGTTGCTGGAAGAAATATCTCAAAAATCAATAATTTCAGTTTTTCCATTTCACAAGGGAAGTGATGCTATACATGCAGTCACTCACAGAAAAGTCTGTCACAATCCAGTTTTAAAGTGGGTGGGTTTAGCAGAAAAGACTGCTGCATGGAGAAATTCAAAAGAAGGAAGACAAGGAACTATGGGATGAAGAAGGGCTGACCTGTGTGCATCTGTCTATGCCAAAGCATCTTCTGCCTGAGGAAAATTGCAGTGAACTCTTTAAAATAAGAGTACACATTCTTATTCAGAGTTAGCACAGTCTTAATTCACTTAAAGTCATTTAAGTGTTTGAAAATGAAGCTAAGGGCCCAGAGTAAGTGATGTCTGCACATAGGAGAACATCCTTACGCTGATAGATCTCCACCCCATTTACCCAGCTGTCAGAGGCAACTACCTGCCTGTCTGCAGAGGTAAAGCAGGCCCTTCTTCTCGAGGGAAGAGAATGAGGGGATTTCCATCCTTGCAAAGTCTCCAGACTACTATAAGGAAAGTTTTTCAAGGGCTGATTTTAAGATTACACTGTCAGAGATGGCTTAAGATAAGATTTGTGCTTTGGAAACAGAATTCTCTGCAAACTAACTCTGAAGTTCCAGCCACCATTTCTCTGCTTCGAAGATGCCTGAAAATCAAGCTCTCAAAACACTCATGAGCATGCAATTCTCTGTGCTTATTCTAGAACAAATTCAGAACACAGCAACAAAATCCTTATCCTGAACAGAGCAAAGCTTGGTTTTGCAGCTTGTGTTACAGAAAAGAGAAATGTCATGTTTACATGCAGACACAAAGATACGTACTCTGACATATGCTGTGTAATGAAAAAGGTCTATCAAAATTATCTGTTCACAAAGTCCTGATTGTTAACATACTTTTGTTTTACTATCTCACAACAAAAACAAACAAAAAACTATAGTCTCAGCTTCACAGAAAGAAATACACCAATTTCTAGTTATAATCCAAAGCAGCAGTTTATCTACATTTTTGTAATGCACTGAGCACTTCAAAAACTTTTTTTTTATTTTTTTTAAAATGAATCTTTTTAAGAAACACTTCTAACATGATCTACTGAACTTATTCAGAAAAGAACCGGAAGCATACAGCTTCTCAAAAATTACTCAGGTCAAAGAAGTGAAAAGAATATACAACATTGCCTCAAATTTCCACAACATATTTTTGTATAAGCTCCAAAAAACATTGGGCGAAGTCCAGAAGCAGAAAAATTTTGAGTAGAAAATTTGTTAAACAGAACATAATCCACAGGCACAGCCGAGGCAGTCCTGTCCAGCGGAGGGCAGCAGGCATTGCCGTACACCCAGAGCAGCTCCATGGCCACCATTACCGCACTTAGTTAGGAGTGGATACCGCGTTTGCAGAACAAAAAGCAAACCCTGGACTTCATTGTTTCTGGAAGACGCTAACAAAAATCAGTATGAAAAAAGTAATTTTCATGAAAATAACACAAACTTGTATTACATCATTAAAAGAAAGTCTGAAAGTATAGTAGACTCATTTGCTATCAATTACTTTTAAGAAACTGCTTATGTCAACATGAGCCATCTTTGAAAAAATCAATTTTTGACACTATTAATTCTCATTAAGATTTTCTTATATTCCTTTTTTAAGTGGAAGAGAAAATATATCAGAAATAAGTTATTTGCTCAACACTACGTCAATTACCATTAACACCGAGCTACAGAACAAAAACGGAAGTACTTGTTTTTTATCCTGCAGTTTATTCTTGTATCTAGATGACTTCACAGCTATTTCTACTTACATTCCCTTGAAAATAATTTCCAAGATCACAATGAACTGACAGAAAATTACCAGTATGACAGCACGTTTACCGATTTATACATATTGAAAAGTGATGCAACTAATTCTGAATTTGTCATTAAAATATTAAGCATGAAGTACTTTTATTGTTTACAGGTTCAGTGCTGTCCAAAACCTGGTGCTCTTGCAATGCGGGTCAGGCAGAAGTTAAACATGGTTCTGATTAGTGTCTGACGTTTACAACATGCAAACAGAGCGTAAAGTTTCCAGTGATCAAGTGATCCCAGTTCTTCACTGAGTCTCTACCCTCAGATAAGGAATGAATTCTTGTGGCAGGAAGAGAGCGTGATGGCCATGAGATTTTCATTTCCTTGCCCCTAAGTATCAGTCTTGTAATCCAAAACAAGTGACTGCTTCCTATATAAAGAGCTTTAAAACAAAAACTACTTTGTTTTCTAACCATAAACCTGAGGAAAGAAGAAAGCATAATACTTAGGGAATCTCAAGGCTGCTCAAGTTCAAGTGAGTAACAAAATCTATCAATGTCCAGACTTATTGGTTAGGTCTCAGAAGGGGGGATGCAAATTCTTGTTGCAGCTACATGTTTGCCCAGTTCAAGAACTGAGACCACATGTGTTTGGCCAAGTAAGTTTCCACACTCCTCCTGGCATTACTTCAGTGACAGCTTCCTTTTCTGGTCACACATTCATTGTTTCTGTCAATTCTAGAAATGAATTAGTAGATGGTATATACATATATTTTTTATTCTCAAGACAATGTCAAATGAAGATGTCTTATAACACTGAACACGAGTTTTGTTGCAAAACCATTTCATCTTTAATTCATGAACAAGCAAGCCTCTAAGTAATACTTCTCCTTTATATGTCAAGGTAAGACTGTGAATAGCAGAGCCCATCTTCCTAACAATTTATTCCATCCTTTTGATGGACACTTTACAACTGCCTTTAATGTTACATACTATAAATTCCACTATTTTATCTGTTTTCCATTTCACTTTCCATACACTTGCAAAGCAGAAATGTCTTACTAAAGTACAGTATATAAGAACACTTTTTCTCCAGCTTTGTTGCTCATTTTTGCCAGTTTGTCTATAATACAGCCTAACTAGAGCAGCCTACTAGACATGCCAGATATTCTCTCCTTCCTCATAAACTGCATTTACTCCCTCTTTTTTTTATTTTTTTATTTTTTAAGATCGTCTCATTTTCTCTAGTGACATCATTCCGTTTTCTTTTCCAAAACTGTTTGCCTTCTGCCTTCCTGTATGCATAGGACTGCTGTAATTTTTACGCTTTTATTAATGCAGAATATTGTATCTGACTTTTTCACACCAAAAAAAAAAAACAATAGCACCCAAAATTGGAACTTATTTCACTAGGCTTCTATTTAGCAATTTAGGCAAGCATTTGGAAAAGTAGTAAAACAATGCAGAGGTACTACCAGCAAAAGAACACATGATCTCACAGAGTTTTTTGTATACTGCAAAGTACACAACGTAGGAAGAATAAGCAAAAGACTGAAAATTGAATACAATCAATCTTAAAATGGCTGTAACTTGCAGGCAAACCTATACAACCAGAAGGTGCATGCCATGCCTGCCACAATTTGTTTGCTTAGTATTTGAGAGAAAGTTTTGCACTGATGGACTTCTGACCTTATATATTTGACAGTACCAGTAGTAAGCAAAGCTCATATACTTTCTATTCTTTCTTCTTTCTGGCTGTAGCATTGAGCCAGAAGGGGCTATGTGAAATAGGAAACAGGAACTTACCTTCTGGCCTTTCATCCCTGGTGGTCCTGAAAAGCCTATTGGGCCTGGATCACCCTGTACAACAACAGTTAGAATCAATGTTGCATTGGACCACAGCACTGGGCTACCAACATGTAGCAAGCCATATCTTCTCTCCAACATTTGGTACAAAAAAGATGATGATTATTATTATTTTTAAATTGGGCACAGGTTATTTTTTCTTAAATTAAAAAAACTTGAGAAGGTTATATTTCCTCAAGTGCTGCCAACTGGTAACAGGGCTTAATTTAAGAACTCAAAACAGTGAGAACTAAAAAAATGCCTAATCTGATATTTGTTGATTACAGATGCATGCTATATATATTTAGGCATAGCTCATACTTATATGTGGGTGAGATTTAGACTGTTCAATACTATATCATGGCAGTTTGGGTTCCTGCCAATGAATATGTCTTGAGTTTCAAGGGGACAGGTATAGCCCATGACACTGGTTAAGCTGCCAGAAGTACAAGCTGACTAGCTTAAAATAATGTTGCAATTTCTGCAAAAGCAGCATTAAGTTTCTTATTGGTGCATCAATTGAAATATTTCTGAATTCTGCTCAGTAGTTCTTTAACACTGAAAATACATATTTAAGAATGTTAGGGTTTGATAAAAACAAATGTTAATTAATTAATTGCATATTTTACATATGCAACAGCAGTTAGTAAACAAGTTATTAGCTAATGATTGACTCATTGTGGATAGACCAAGTTCTGGACTTCTAACTCTTTTTACTCAGCATAAACATTCCATAATTGAGCTACCAACAAATATTCCTAATAAAATTTTGCATAAATACAAGTGATTCTAAGAATGGAAACACATTAGAATGCCAGTAAATGTTTAGCAGTATCACTTTCATTTAAAATTTTCATATGTAAGCATCAGTAGATTTGTTATATAAAAATAGTCACAAGCTAAAAGCCCACAATTTCTATGAAGAATCAAATGAAGTATCTATGTATTTCATATATGTATATATATATATATATATATATATATATATAAAACTATTTTGCAGACAGTGAACAACTGCTTACTTGGCTACAGAAGTTTACAAGGATCTAGGTGAAAAAGTATCAAATGTGAGGGCAAATCTTAGCATCAAGAGTCTGACTAACTACAATGAAAACTGACTAACTGCAACATTGTAAAGAACGATGAGTGCATTTGTCAGATTTTGTCTGTCTGTACTAATGCACAATACTAAAGAAAACAGGAATCAGTACTTTGTCATTCTCCCAAATAAAATAAAATACATAATTATGTTTCATCTTTGGGTAGTATTTCCTGTTTACCTGTGGTTCATTACATCACCTATATCTCCACTGATCAGTCTCTCAGAAGAGTCAAAACACATCAGAAGTGCAATGCACACAAAGCATTGCCTTGTTTAATGGTCACACGAGTTATAACAAGGCTTCAACATTTTTCAATAATTAAGTGTTACCTTTTCTCCACGTTTTGCCTGTCCTGGGGAGAACCCTGGGTCCCCTTTAGGGCCCTATTGCAGAGAAATTAAGCTTATTAATATCAACAGGGAAGAGACTTTTTAAATTATATATGTGGAAGCATATGTTTTTACTGTTGTAGCAAGAGAAAAGGAAATATATATATACTATCTGTATCAGCAAAAAAGTTACCAGACAAAAAACTGCAGTGAATCATGGCAAAATGCAATAAATCACACTAAAAGGAGATCTGTTTTCTAAATTCTATGTCACAACGTTCGATTACAAGTTTTCATTTACAAATTGTCTAGGGATACAGATATGTCAGTGTGCATATATTCACAATTATAACTGAATATAAATGCTGTTTCGTACTTTACCAATAAAATTTCCGTATATCAAACTAACACAAAATGAATATCAGCAGAGAATGCTGCTATCCCAATTTCCAATGCAACTATATTTTCAATTCCTTTGCATAGTAGGCCTGTTTATTACTGTTCACTTGTACCAAAAGCTTAGCTTTCCTTATCACAGACTGGCACATCCCAACAAAGCTATGTAATTATATCATTTATACATTTATCTATATATCCATTATAGTGATTGCTAAGTTTTTATCTCTATCCCAAATCTCTAGCTCTCCCAACGAGCCGCTTTCAGCAACCACTTTTATTCTCATAGGCATCCCCAGGAGACTATCTACGAGATTAATACATTCTTAAACCAACACTTGGAAAGGGTTCTTCTGAAGCACTCCCTCTAAGCAGAACACGTAGAGTTAAACTGGAGTGTCAGGCCACAAAGAACACAGTTCTTCAGCATGGTAAGAGATATCTGAGTATTTTTCAGCAATTTGTTTGCATTTTGGAAGGCAAATTATTACATTCCTTGAACAAATCCAGTTCGTCTTCTGCTTCCATTTTCCAATGGAAAGCTGGCACATTAAACTAAGAGTGGAAATAAAATTGTGATCAGCTCTTGACTAGTTAAAATAATAATGAAAAAATAAACTGAAAACCTGCCCATTCTTATGCACCAGTTGTTGATGAACACTTAGCCACGGACCAAGATGCAAAGATAAAAATAAAGCACATTGTTATTTAATATATGTAACATTACAGTGTAGTTAGAATGGTGCCGAAATCTACAAGACAGATTTTCCTGAACTAATCCTTTTTCCAGAGAGCCAGAAATGCAGCCAAGCTTTATGAATACTTTTTAATTACTTTAACATCCCTACCAATCATTTACCAGGAATTAAATGCTGAGGTTGCTCAGCTATTGGTGGGAACTGTTTGCACGTGTTCAGGGATGGAATCTGGTACTCTGAGAAAATCAACTGAAACACTGAGAAGGATATGAACTAACATCGTTCCATGCCTCAAACCAGTGCATAAGGATGCTTCAACACAAAAGGGAAAAATGCATGAATTTCAAAGCTGCATTAAGTCAGTGACAGAATATTGTTGCAACTTATCTACATGTTTTGAGATCCAAAGTGTGTTTAATTTTAGCTTATATAGTCTGTGTAGGTCAGATGGATGCTCATAGTCAATCCATGCTGAGCACCTAGGTAGCTTCTACTTAAAGTTTCAGAAGGCACTTGTACTGAAAGGATAATTTATAACCTAAGAAATTAAGAAGAGTGTTACCCACCTACTGAAATGTGTGCATGTGTATCTATACATAGGTATATATTTATGTATATTATGCATAGGTATATATTTACATATATTATACATAGGTTTATATTTACATATATTATACATAGGTTTATATTTACATATATTATACATAGGTTTATATTTATATATGTGTGTACACACAAATATACACATACATATATGTATAAATACACATGCATATGCACATACGTTTCTATTCTTAAATTCATGGATATGGCTACAAGGGTTATGACCCAATGGAGTGGGAAAATACATTATTAAACAAATCCTAGGAATCACTGGTTATAATAGTTGTCCTAATAATGTGCATTATTATAGAGCCAGCACAGATGATGTAACAATTAACTGTGAATCTCTGAGTTCAACTGTTCCTATAAAAGCAGATACTAACTAAAGAGCACATATCAGATAGAGTTACTCAGTTTTACACAGTGTTTAACACTGAAAGCTTTATTAAATTTCTTTTTATGTCCTCAAGCACTTTTTAACACCTGCCATGACAAGTCAGATTTCTGCCACAAGGAATTGCACTAAAACAAATCAAGGTTGCTGCTGTTTTTTCCTAACTTATCTATCAAATTGTTCAAACTAAATATGAGTCGAAGGCATTCTGCAATTACACAAATCTGTCAAGTCTGTTTAAAGGGCATTACGTGACACAGATTTGAAGGGTTTTCTGAGCTTCCAGGTCTAGTATTTTTTGCTGCAGATTGAAGTATCATATCAAGAGTGAACGTCTGAAATATCAGAGTATTTGAATATGAAAGACTGGGCACCAACAGAAAAAGGAATTAATAAAGAATGATTCAATTTCCTTTTTCTGTTGTTATTCTTAATCAAGGCAAAAGGTTGCATCAATTAAATGTTTATTCTCCCTTAAATTCCAGTTTACCTAAGAGGCTAGGCTGATTTACATGAAGTCCTTTGGGAAGCACAGACTACTTGTTTCCAAGTCACCATCCTGCACAGTTTCCTTATTCCTGGATAAACTGCTATTTCGTTTTGATTTTAAGTTCTGTTTGATTGATTATATTTAATTAAAAATTGCTTATGTTAACAGTCTCCATCTACACTGAAGACAACCTATTGCTTCTATTACAGGAAGTGATTCTATAGCTTCCAAAAAGCCACTAAGAAGTTCACTTATTTACATGGAAGCATGGATAAATTAACTCACCTTTGGACCCGGCAGTCCTGGCAAACCTGGATTACCATGTGGTCCTGGAATACCCTATAGAAACAAAGAGAGGGGGATTATTCAGCAATTCACTAAACTTTTCATTTGTTCAGCAAATCATTTTACTGTTGCTTGTAGAAGTAGTGGTTGAGACTTTCAAGAGATTCTCAAGAAATGAGCACAGCCTCCTAACAGACTAAAGTGAAGCATTCCCAAACCTTAGCAGTTATTCAGCATGTAGCTCTGCAGCTGCACAATTTGGAGGCACTGGATTAACACAGAGAAATCACATGGAGGCACTCAACTATCATTTACAAAATAAGAAACTGGAATAGTGTTCACTGACTGAAGTAAAGCAAAGTATTCCACCTTCTCAAAACAAATCATTACAGATAGAAACCCTTCAGATTCTCTCATAGCCAGTGTAAAAAATGGACTTGTTGCCAGAACAGTTTAACTGAAACCATTCCAGGAATAGAATGGCTAACCAGAACTGTGTCTACCTGATAGCTGAAACACTACCCAGGATAAATGTCCATTCTTGCAATACGCTAAGTAATCCTCAATCATGATAAAGTGTACATTAGGGAAAATATTTCTGCAGTGGCTGTCAGCAGCTATTCTTCTTCCAAATACTGAGGGACCAAACTGGTGAAAAGCTAACCCTGGTAAGTAAGCAGCAAAGCTCTTCCTGGATCCACTACGGCCAAAATTTCACACAAACTGAAAAGATTCTGTTTCAGCTCTCTCATAAACTCAGTGCTCTTACAAAAGATAAACTCAGCATTACTCTTTCCTTCACTGTGGCAACACGGAGCTGCGAAGGCATCCTGGTGAAATGGGAGGCTCTGAGGGAATTTGGCCTCCTTGCTGGTTAATTCTGAATTTCCTGAAAGTTTATTCTGGAGAAACTTGGAACAAGGCAAGAAACAAACATGAAACTCAAAACCATGTGTCAGATGCAGACTTAGCTCTATCACAGAAAGAGAGATTTTAATGGAAATCTATAATCATTAATCAGGCACTGGAAGCGTCCAACCCACATTTACCTCTATCAGGACTGGGCTTGGAGCTTGGAGGCGGCCCAGACACTGCCACTCTGCACTTCACTGCTCCCCTGTGACACCTCCAGTCACACTTTCAGACCACAAAGGGCAGCTCACACAGTGGTAGACAGAAGTCACAGATCAGATTGGTAAATGAGGAAATGAACTTCGCATCACCAGGATTTTACATGTGTTTTGTCTCTGCATTAACTCTACTTGCAGTATTGAGCAGATCTCTGGCATTTAAAAAATATATTAATTGCTTAAAATACTTTCTCAGCTCTTGAATGCATTTTAAACTCTGTTTGTGTCATAATTGCTGATAAATATTCACCTTCGTCATTTCCTTACCCCTCCAGGCACCTTATACAACACTATAAGACATGTTTTCTGACATAGCTTGTAGTTTTCGATATAAAGATCTACGCTGTACAAACCACCAGCTTTTCTTTAGCAGGACAATATGGAAACAAAACAAAACAAGAAAATTAAGTGAAGAAGACATGGATTTGAAAAAATTGTTTTCATTTTATACTTTTAAATGTATTTCATCCAGTCCCTCTTCACCAGCCACCCTGAAGTACCAGATCAGTTCCTGTCCCTTGGAGGGCTGCACTTTCCTAGCCAGCCACACCAGGTTTTGATAGCCAGCAAAGAACAAAATGTTGAATGCAACGTGGAGTGACAGCTTGTTTAAATGTGCCTCAAAGGCTGACTCAACACTACTCCCACACATCTGCTGGGATTTTTGTATAATCTGCTCCCTTGCTTCCCGCTTGCCATTTGGCTAGCTGAGTGCGTTCCAGCCGCAACCACTTACACCCCCAAATACCACAGCCCAGCAAATCCTTACATTACCTATCACATCTTTTGTCAAGCTGCTGTAACACAAGAGTCTAAAATAGATTATTGGGAAAAATTTTTGTCTTGTAATGGCTGACTTTGTATCCATTGCCTGCTTGTCTGCACAGTGACACGCATCACTCACTCCTCATTCCAAAACCAAATAACTTGACCCTAGTTGCAGATGGGGACAGCATGGAAAATACCAAAGAGTTAATATTGCAAGCAATAAAAGATAGGCATGAATGTCAGTGCCCTGTGTGTATGCGCCCCTACACAGAATTGACTGCACTGGAAGCTCACAGCAGAAGAAAAAGTTACTTTGCCATATGTCCAAATCATACATTCTCATAATTAATAGGCACACAAATGAAGTTGAAAAAAACAAATGCCAACTCCAGCTTAATTATAGTGACCTGTGCGGAGCTACACAAGAACATAGCTGTTTTACTCACCCGAGGACCTCTTTTTCCTGATGGGCCAGGTAGACCTGGAGGACCTGGAGGACCCTGGTGATAGAAAAATCGAAACAATTGAGGCTAAAAAACCAACACAAGGACAGCATCACAAGTTTGAATAACACTGATACTTCTACCTGATGGTTTCCTGCTTGTGGAAGCCTTTGCTGCTTGAAAAATGACTCTTAAGCTACAAGCACATGTATTTTAATTTTGCTCAATATCAGGTGTTTATAAATCATTTTTGGTGTGAGGAATTGGAGCTAACAATCTAGATTAACACAAATACACTTAAAAATTTACAATGGAAGAGCAGCTCATCTCAAGAATTAGAAACCAGTTCAGTGTATTTCAAAACAAAGAGCAGAATAAAGTATTTTTAATAAATATGGAGACATGCCTAACATTTTATGAAAGTCAGACAACTTATTATGACAAATGAGATAGCACTGCACAGAAAAAACAGACATGAATAGAGGAGACAGTAAGAATGCATAAATGATAGTTCAGTTTCACCAGTTGCGAGCTCAGGATAAGAATAACTGGCAGTGTGCCCATTCTCTGTTTCACTTGCGAATAAACCATATCATTCACTTAAAAAGAAACAAAAACACAGGTTCTTCTATTTTTGTGAATGCATTCCTAAACAGATAGTTTATAACCAGATGTATCTTTTGCAAATAGGTCAGATTAACAGCAACTCTAAGAATATGAGATAACGTGTCACCATTTGGACAGCGGTTTTGATCATAGAAATCTTTCCTTTTCTCTGTGCTCACTTCCAAAACCCCAGGATCTACTTCATCGTAAACTAATATGAATATGAGTGAGACGCAGAACAAGTTTTTCACCAATTTATATTAGATTCTATCTACCACATTTAAGTGCTGAAGAGGCATGGGCTATAATTAAAAATGAATTCATCTCCCAGCTGCATGCCAGTCTGAGTCCCAGCAAACAAACACTCCTACTGCAAGGGAAAGCAGGCATCAAGACAGAAGGAGGGCAACTCATGATAGCAGGAAGGATTCAACTTGTTCTTTTTCCCCCACATCATCACACTCTTGTGTCTGCAGGTGTTGCATACCACCAGCTGAGAGGATAGACAGAGCCTTTTGAATATTATACTTCTCATCACCAAAGAACATTACTAAAAGCTGGCTGGCATACAAGGGAAAAGCAGAAGGGCAACAGTGATGGAGAGGAGGGAGGGAAAGGGAGTAAAAAGGGTAGAAAAAAAAACAAAACAGGAAAAGAGAATCTCTAGCACCTTTTGGGGTTCTGTTAGCAACAAATAAAAGACTTTATTAGGACAAAAGCTATATTTTTAAAAAACCTTAACAATTTTTTTTTAGGGAAGTGATATTTCTTTTTGTTTAGAAAAGACATATTGGCAGAGAAGACAGTGCTGATCGCAAATTTTCAGTGGCCAAGCCAGTTACCTTTATTTGGCTAAAATACAGACTACTTCACACAATTCTGGAAAAGAAACAGCTGTTATTCTGAGGAAAAACAAAAACAACAAAAAAAAATCCTTTCCTCTCCAATCAGTCATAGTAATCTTCAAAGACCAATATTATAACTGGACAAAATTGAAGTGATACAATCTTGCACAGTCAAAGACAGAGTTTCAGTATTATGGACTCACGAAGATGCCACCCTACTCAGTCACAAAACACACTGGTGTCCCTGAATAGTTACAGCTCTACTAGTTAAACGAACCAGGAACACAGTGGGAATTTTAAACTGCAAGATAGAAGTCTTCGTTCATATAAGTCTAGCTGAATTCTGGAACCTCCCAGTTTCAAAACCTATAGAATCAGGAAACATCAGGTTTAGGAGCAAGGCTCTGCAACACAGATTATCCTGAAAATAAATTATAGCCTTCTTTTGCCCTTTTTTTTTTTTTCTTTTTTTCTTTTTTTTTCCTGGGCTGGTATTTACACAGAGACAGTGAAACCGGGCTTGGGCAGAAAAAGCAGACATCTGGATTCTCTGAAGTGCTGTGCACTGGCAGTTGTCCCTGGGTGCCATCTGCCAGAAAGTTCAGTTGGCAATCAGAGTGAAAACAATGTCTTATACAACCTAGAAGACATTTTACAAGCTGTTTCCCCAAAGTTAGTATCATGGACATGATAGCTGTTTAAGGAGAACCATGGGTATGCAAGTACGGTGCAGAAAATGACTCTCATTGTGTCAGTCAAGCAGACAGACATGGAAAGCTCTTGGCCAAGTGTTCTTGTCAGGAGAGATCCAAAAACTTGAGCTTCCACCCAGCTGGAATACTAAGTGAAGAGATGGACTTGGTGTAGAAAATTATAATGGGGCTACCAAGGGAGATGTTACATTTTCCATAAAAATAGTTTTAACCAGTGCATGTTCTTTTGTGGGAAAATGTTCTCTAACTCTTTTTCAGATCCTTTCTACACTTCCTTAACAAAAATTAGCAATCAAAGCCCACCATCTTCATGGCGGGAAAATGAATGTATATTAATTGGCATCCCTCACATTTGCTGATAAATTACTGAATGACAGCAGCAAGAATATTCTTTCCTACGTGGCTCCTTTCTTGTTTTGTCCCCTTCACCCCCCCCTTTTTTTTTTTAAAAAAAAGAACATCTGCTCTTTTTGCAAAAAAATTACTTCATGATTACCTAATTCATGAGTTATTCATTATCTCTCTCCATCAGAACCTCAAAAAGGAAGCAAATCTAATGGAGGAGAAACTTTCTTCTACAAGGTATGAAAACTACGTCCATTCTCACAATTAAGTCCTCAGAGAACCCAAGAAAAAGCAGTAAAAATTTTGAACTGTGTGGCCAGGGATGAATAATGCATTCCCAAGGATTTCTAAAACCAAGTCAGCTGTTGTAATTTAAGTCTCTTAACAACAATTAATGGTTAGATCAAGTTAATCCAACAGTCTCTCAAGACTTGGATTCTTCCTGTGATCCCTCCTTCATCTTCAAGATTTCATTTTAAATATTTTCCTCTGTAGAAAGATTACTTTCTCTACAGAAAGCCCGTTTGGCTCTCCACCTCCGCACATGGACTAGTAAGCCAGATCACTGATTGAGGTTATAGAAGTCACCTAAAATAACTTAGAAAATAAACAGTGGGAAACACTTCAGTGACCTTACTCTATCCTACACAAAGGGTGTCCCAATTGCCTTGTGTCTAGATTTTCAACCATTCTAGAGAATAACAGCTGAAGAACTGTAGTTAATCACTTCTCAATTTTGGATGTTGGGCTTTTTTTTTTTTTTTATGCAACAACAAGCATTTTAAATTTGCCCCATGCCAGAGACAATACAATCATAGAATCATGATACGAAGCACTGCAGAAGAAAATTTCCACACAGGTAGATTCTGATCCTGTCCTTTATGTCACACGTAAAATTTCCCCCTATTTCTTCCCATTCTTTCTGCAAATCTGTGAACTGCCTTTAGTAAGTCTTCCTTTCATGAACTGCAATATTTGTCTTCATTTAAATTATTAAACCTGTTGTGTTATTTTAACTTCTGCTCAGAATTGTATTTTCAACAGCAGACACTGCTAATGCATTCTTCTGCAACCTTTCTATCTGCCAAATTGTTTTTGTTGTTGTTGTTTTTATTCTGGGGTGTTTTTTTTTTGTTGTTTTTTTTTTGTTTGTTTGTTTGTTTGTTTTTTTAAGAAAAAGGCTCAGCACCCAAAATTGAGGACTTTTCTTCAAACTGCTGCCTCAGAAGTCAAACCAGTAGAAAAAATTACCAGTCTCCAGTATTTGAGACTCCTAACAACGAACGCAGTTTTGTAATGCTTAATGCTTTCTCCAATATGCTATGTATGTGCTATAACATATGTATAATATGTATCACTCTCATCTGACTACCTTACCAATCCCTCCTCCTTCCTCTATTTCTAATTCTGATTTTTGTAATGTTGCACAAAATATAATGCTGTCAGTCTGGGACCATCTGGAATTCATATTTTGTTACTCAAAATTCTACTTATTAGCAAGTTTGTTTCTCTTTTTAAACCATACTGATTATAAAGCAGCCAGGATTCTACCAAGCATGAATGTCCACCTACCTTTTTCTCTTGCTTCATTTGCATTTTATTTGATGTGAGAAAAGAAGCACACTTATCTTCCCAAATACCCCATAACAAGCAGTCACTTGTAGGATTAGCCTACTTTCCTGAGACCTGTTGAAGTCTTGCTCTCTCTGTCAAGAGCTACAACAGTCAAAGCACTGTCATCAACATCAGAGGAATATATGTAGCTTTGGGTGATGGATTACAGCTTCTCAAGACTGTTACGAAGAAAAACAGGGAAACTGTTTCAGGTGAATTAAAACAAACGTTCAAATATTTAGAACAAATGTTATTTGATAGAGTTTTGTTTGCTTTTTCTAGTAAGAAAAATCTTAAGACTTCATCTAAATTATCAGATAGTGAGATAGAGATTTCTCAGCCTGGGCAGAATAATGTGAGGGTTACTCACAGAGTAAAGATACGTGAAGGTGATTAACTACCCAGTGTATACCTTTTGACTAGGGACAGACACAGCAAGCAATTTTCTTCAACTGATAAATTGGCTAAGAGCAAAAATCTCAGATGATGGTACCCTTAACTACCCTTTAAGCTCCTGCTCTTATTCAGAGTTCTCACTCTCACATCTCCTGGCTGTAAGCAACCCATCCAATTCTTCCTTATCCAGGCACTGCACTTCTATTTCCTCCTGACAGTATCTCTAGACTGATGTCAGCAACCGGACAGCCTACAGAAAGATACATTTTGTCTTCTTTCACTGCTGGACGACTGTATTCTTAACACAAAAAAGTTTTCCAAAAGAGAAAACTAACTCCTGGCTCTTTTCTCAGGGTCATCAAAGCTCATGCAGTTAAGCAGGTTGACTTGGCAGCAAGTAACCTAACTCTGTTCTTCAATCCAGACTAACACCTCCATTTAGACAAGCAGGATCACATATCATGCTACTGCAAACAGCCTTAGGACTTGTGTGACAATGAGTATCGGTTGGAAAGCTAAAAGAGTTAAAAATAGATTAATTTTTAAAAACTTTTCATAGTGCCAACACCCCCTGCAATACAAAAGGAGTGGTTCAGGTGAATCAGAGGGAAATGTGGTCAGGAGACAACATTGTTCCACTTTAAACTTGCTTCGTATTCCTATAGAGGATTCTGGTCATTGCAATTGCTAGGATTTTACTCAGTCATAGTGATTTGGAAGAATTAAGTGGAAGAATTAGATATGCTATCCATAAATGAAGGCCTGAATTCTGGAGCCCTCCTTTGTAGCAATGGGTGAATTCCACAGCTGTGGGATCATGGAATTCAAGGGGCCCAATTATACAAGGCAAGAATCAGTTCTGGTAGATGATTAAAAGCTAAAATGTAGCTGAGGAGTCTAAGAACCACAAAAGCTAGTTCTTGCCTGTCAACTCCAATAGAACAAACATTATTTCTGTGCTGAAATCTTGAAAGAAGGTTCAAACCAACCACAACATAATGAGAGAAGAAAAAAAGAGAAGGGGCTTCATGCCTCATCAGGATTTCGTTTTGCTGCAGGGGAACTTTGCAAGTCCCTCACTGCTGCTTTTTTAGGCTCCTCACTGATAAGACTCTGTGGATACTTATTTATTAAAATGTTAGAGCCTTGAAGATAAAACCTGGACTATCACAGTCTTCTCTCCAAGGATGTAATAGACAGAAAAACAAGGAGTACCTCTATAAGTCTGAGTTCAATAATAGCGGCAGGCACAATGCCACACAACCTCCACCAAACACAATTCTTTACAGAAATCTTCTGTGGAAGAGCCATACAGAGACCCTTTTCTTGCTTCAGCAAAAATCTCTGTGGCAACACAATTCTTAAGCTTGCCCATATGCTCAGTGGGTGCTGTTGGTCCTTCCAGCTGAACTTGTGCCCACAAAGGTCTGGATCAGCCTCCTAGCTCTGCAACACATCACTTCTAAGACCTCGGGCATGTTATTGAAAGTCTAACCCAGCAATGCATCATATGCTGTAGCTGACCTGCAGAGGAAACAAGCTTCTGCATACCATCCGTAAGACAAACATACAAAATGATAGCATACACATCTTTCATATATATTTTGAACTCTCCAGATAAGGTGGTATGAATTACTGTACGCACAGTGGCTGCATCTTGCAAAACGAGAGCATTAGCTTGCAGCTGCTTAATACACAACAACAACAACAACAAAAAATAAAAACAAAAAAAACCAACACCAACATCTCCAACATCAGCAGCTATTTCTATGCCACATAAGAAATGGTGATTTCAGTCAGTTACAGTCAGTAAATTTAAATGTACAATTTTTAAGTTATGTGCTATGAATCAAAACTTTCTGTTAAGCAGTTGTTAAATATCATGTGCTGCAGAAATGAAAATTAACCTCAGCTCACATTTATAACAACTACATACGTAGCTGTACATTTATGTCCCCACAAATAAAGGGCTTGAATAAAGAAAATTCTTTTCTTTAAGAAAAGAAAAAAAGACTGGCTTCACACTCACAAAAAACCCAAAACAAAACAAAACAAAAAAAACCCTCCAAACAAGAGCAGCCCCTGACAAATATGAATTACTTAACCCATTTTTAGACTCAGTAACAACCTCTTATCATCAAGATTCTGTTTAGAGTAAAAATTAAACTTCTACACAAATTTTCAGTGTCTGACTATCTGAAGAAAATATTTTTTCAGTCCTGAAATTATACATGCATATTCAAACATATATTAGAAGCTGCTTGCCCCCTCCTACCAAATTATTTTCCAGTAATAACCACACAAATACAAGAGAAAAACATGTAGAACAACCTTTTCCATGCCATAGTTTAACAAGTTTTAACTAGAGACTCAAACAGGAATTAATATCATATCTCCAAGACTAAACAGGAACTGCTGTTACTTCTTGCATGTAGTTTCATGTGCATTGACCCCAGTTTTATGTATGAAAATGTTTATGACCCTCAAACACACACAATAAGAAAGGACAAATTAGTGCTATTAAAAGCACTGCTGTGCATTTGCAGTCATTTCCGAGATCTCTTACCCTGCTAAATGAAGTGATGCCACAAAAATGAGTTCTAAACATTCCTTTGCATGCAGGTTTGTGTGATCCTGCAACTGTGAGTTAGGAATGGTTTGAAAGGATTAGATTCTACAAGTGGTCTGCTTCAACAATTACAAATTTTGATAGCATCACTCAAGCGAGAAAACCTTATCATTCTTCCAAACAGCCTTGTTTTTCTTTTCATGGAACAGTGTCTACATTTGTAGAGAGTATGAAATTACCCTGTAATTTTATTAAGTGAGCAGCCTCCATAATTAGGAGTTACAAACATCTGGCTGCATTTCAGAGCTTAAAAAAAGCTTGGGTTGCCCACCACTTCACCAGAATTGAATGCTTACATATTCTGCTAGTAAATAAAAATACACACCACTTAGGCCAAAATTATATGCCAGAGACACGCTTATGGGAGACAAACTTTTGCACAGTACAAATGAAAGAAGTGGTAATTGCAGCCCAGCAAGTTTTGCCAAATTTATTTCAAAGCCTCTTTTAAATATATGTTGCTTCATTATAATAAAGAGTGTAATAAAGGTAACTTACAGGAGGTCCAGTCTCCCCCTTTAAACCTCTGCTACTTCCTATTTCAAACATTTTGCCTTGATCTTCATAGTTGTAGTTATCAACATCAATATAATAAGTGTTTTCTGTGCGATAAGTGTTATTAGCATCAAATGGACCTTCTTCCTCCAAACCAAGCTGATTATCCACGGAGAGGTCAGCAGTCAAACTGTACAGAGTTGTGTTGAAGATTTGCTGCTTTTTGGTTGATTCACCTAAATGCTGTTTTTCTTTGTTCACTCCCTTGTTTTTCATTTTATTCTGTTTTAAAGGGAAGATCAGAGAAAGCTCACTTTGTCTGTCTGCATCTTCTGTGATAGTATGTGAAGTATTTGGATATGAAGCCTTGTTTTTTTCAGTGCTGCCTCTTTCTTTGCTTGGGTCCTGCTGGTGAAGGAGCAGACTGACCTCCTCCTGGAGTTCTGTTTCCGGCCACACTTCTAACAGCAGGGGTTTAGACTCTGCAAATTCTGATGTTGAGACATTTATTGACTCAAGGTACTCCAGTATGGAGTGAATCTGAGCAATGTTGGTAACAGGATCATTTGATGCTTCCTTCCTTCTGTAAGATACATCTTCCCACTGTTTTTTCTCACCAATCTTTTTCTTCAAAGAAACATCTAGCACACCTGATGCATATGGTGTTCCTAGCAGAGATCGATACGTTTCGGCCTGGCGACACTGCTGTTTCATGTATTTACAATAGTTTGCAGAGGCTTCTGCAGAGGGAATGATATCTAGCTGGCATATAACTCCTTCAAAGCTGACAGAGTGAGAGTTCATCCTTCCCAGGGTAAATAAACCATCCAAATCAAATGCCTCCACTTCATAAAGCATTTCCCTGCTATAATACTTCTGTCCACATTCAGCAAATATTGAGACAGTCTTATCTCTAATTTCAATGGCAAACCAATGCCACTGTTCATTATGAACACTATAATCGAAGTATGCAGGCTGCTTCCCTCCAGTGTGCACTGCTACCTTTCTCGGTAGTAACTGGACACCAAACTGCAGTCTAGTTTTGTTCCTAATACTGAAAAGAAAAGCATTATTTACAGTGTAAGAGTACAACCCAACCAATATGGTGAAGTGATGCCCTAGACTTGCTGGTATAACTTGAGCAACGGAGGCCTCAACACGAGCGTCAGCAGTCAGCACAACTCCGGACACAACCAGGTGAACTCCCTGGGGCAAGGGTGGCACTGCTGAGGGCACTGGCGTCACTGACGGCTGCTGGACATCGCTCACAAGGCCGAGCTGATGAAGAACATCTACTGCTGTAAAAAGAAATGAAGGTACATTGTTCATTTCACTTACGAGCTCAAATTCAGATCCAAGTAAGCAAGTGTGAGGCACAACGTATGTATCAGTCTTTCACATAAATCCAACAAATTTCATTAAAGCTGAAAAAAATATTTCATAGTTAAAAAAAAAAGCACTTGTAATGCCCATTGGAGGTTAATTCATTCATAGAACTGAAAAGTCCCCATTTGCTGTCATTAAACTTTTTACTAGAGTTAATGAACATACAGTGTCCATTTTGCAATTCCTGCCCACCTACCCTTTAAAGAAAGAAGAAAAAAAAAAAAAAAACAAACAACCCACAAAATGCATGTTTTCCCTCTTTATCTGAAAAATATTAACATTTGAGGAAGGGTTGTTTTGTTCCCATGAAGGGACAAGCTATTTACTAACACAGTAAGCAGTGCTCAGGCGCATCGTGCAAGATCCTTTCTCGCTGATTCTCAGAGCAGAACTGGACAGCAGCCAGCAGGCCAGACTAACATCAGCATTGGCCCTGATCTAAGCACCAGGTAGGACCAGACGAGCTCGACATCCTTTCCAACCTAAACTTCTCAATTTTTTTGTGCAAGGGAAAGCTGAACATCACACAGTTTTCATAGGCACTATTGCACAGAAGCACTTTTTTCTGTAACAGCTGGCTGGATCTGAACTGTAGCAAACTGCCTATATTAAAAATGACTAATATTATTTAATATTAATGACTAACATTATTTAATATTATTTAACCATAATAGTGATGTAATAAGCCTAACAGAACAGGCTGCACTTCTTACAGCATTTAGCCAAGGGTATTACTTTTTAATTTTTATTTTTTTACAGTTTTTTTTTTCAATCACGCAACTAAGTGTTCTTTTTAAGCAAATAAAGCTACTAAATGACATAACAAAAATGGGAGTAACAAAGAGAGGCTAAAGATTCATTGCTATTTTAAGAGACGGGAGCAACAAACGGATGTTCACTATTTTAGTGGAAAAAAGGTTTTCTTTCCCAGTCTTCCTTTTCTCTGTTTACTGAATGTATTCACAGCACATTTTAAGAACACACAGATGTTGGCTTAGTTTCAGTAGTAAATTATGAAGAGAGTCTGAGACTTCCTTGAGAGTAGTTTATAAGTTGGAACCAAAAGCATCAACCTGAATGCACTGTGCATCTTGAAAATTAATTACACACCTTGTAGTGTTTTTAGCCATGTTAGAGATCTGCAGGAGTGCCAAGATTGGCCTGGCAGCCAGCCCAGCCAGAACTGCGGGGAAAGCACGTCTTTGCAGAAAGTCACACGTACGCCAATTTCCCAAGATGTTCTGCCTCAGAGCAATTAACTTACTAGGAGTATTTTAATCTGTCAAACTGATAAGAGAGGTCAGGTTATAGTAGAAGCATTCTACTTTGCAGCTCTGCTAATGAACACCCGGACTTTCCCAGGACCCTGGTCCTACATGGCTGGGTGTACTTACGGAGGAGAAAGCTGTGCATGCATAGTCTTCTGGGCAACACAGAAATCTCATGGGGCAAGCAATGCACCAATGGCTTCAGAGACAGCTACAGCACTTCTGTGCACATGCTGAGCCAACTGATACACTACACCAGGGAAGCCATTCCAGCTTAACTTTGTGCTTTCATTGTCACAATTTTAATCTCAAGTATCAGGCAGATATTTGTAAATATTTATTATTAAATAGATACACTTAAAAATAACAGTGTCAAGTGATCTTTGCTCAAAGTATTGCAACTGAAGAACAAAACAAGTCTACCATACTGACACAGAACAACCAATTTTAAAGTGATGTTAAGGAGCACTCTTCCTAAATCTCAAATGACAGATTTTGGCAGTTCTAATTTGTAAACACTGCATTGTTTAAAAAATTATTTTAAAAAAGGAAAAGCACTCTTGAGCGTGAAGAGATACAAAACACTTTCTTTACATCCTGCAAACTATGACAGGTCTCGAGAAGACTCAGCATGGAGAAACGCTGTGTGAAAAATAACAGCAAAAGAGTAAGTACCAGCTAATTATTTCTTGCTGACTTACTGCCTATTAACCCACCACCAAGCCAAAAGGCTGTTCCAAACTTTTTTGGCCAGTCATTTTATTTCTGGTCCAATTTTTTTTTTTTTTTTTTTTAAAAAAAAAGAAGAAGGTTTCAGAAGCTCTTGGCAGTACACAGGGTTTTGGGAGCAGGCAACCTTCTTAGCTCTTTCTCCCAGCATGACAACCACAACTTTCTTTACCTATCAGTAGCCAGTTTTCTTTGTTTATCCATGTCTGTGCAACATCTGTCTTCACTTACTGTTCACCCAATCCATTAGTCCCCCAAACTATAACAGCTCCTATTCTTTCAAAGAGTAGCTGTTTGGGTATTTTGGTCTCAGTTGCCCTCTTTTCATCTTCTAGGATTACTTGTAAAATTCACAGCATAATTGGATTGTGAAGAGAGGGAAAACTTAATAAAAGTTAAGATTTGGACAAACAAATATATACATATATATAATATATAATGTATATTATATGATATATATGATATATATAATATTATATAATATATAACATATATATAACATATAATATATGTAATATATATAAGAAAACAACCCCAGAAAGAACGGTGAGGTGATGGTAGTGTTCTGTGTCACTCTTCTGTTCAGTGTCTGCTGTTCATTTTCCATACTCCCCCACTCTCATTGTCTGAGGGCAGAATATTTGGGGGCACTCTCTGCACTTCAGCAAACATGCATGGTTTGTTTTCCCTTTACTGATATGAGTACAGAAAAGTAAAGATCGCTCATATGTTAGCTTCACCAGACCTCATGATAATTACTCAGCAGGTTGCCCATTTCCTGGGTGGTGGTGCATTTGCAGTTGGGTAAGTTACAACACAAGGTTGCAACCTATACTTTCCTGGATAGCAGGGCTGGGCAACTGGCACAGCAAAGCTAGCCAGAAACAAACATTTTGTGTATCCTCAAGCCAAACTGAAAGAAATATTCCTAAAAGCCAATGCTGTGTATTTACATATATTTCAGTGAACACAATTTATAGCACCCTACCGCAATGCACTGAGCGTAGCTTGTCAAGTAAAGCACACACTAGCTGCCTGATCAGCTCAGGAAAGAAAGAACATTGGTTACTCTTGCTAGAGTCTTCGTATTTGACAGAATGCTCCTTTCGAAATGCAAAGTACCAAGAAAGTTTTGATACCAGCTTAAGTGTTAACATAGTTATAAATGAGCAATCCACCCTGTTTGTAGACAAACCCTAAAGCACTGTGAATGGAGTGCTACCTCAGTGCATACTGTATAAACTGAAGGATATTCTTGAGCCTTTCTGACTTCTTTCCTTCCTTCCCCAAGAACTTGTTTTTCTTGAGATTATTATTATTATTATTATTTTAATTTTTGAGAATATGGCTTCATTTACTTATGCTTTCTTCTCTAACAATTATGAGTTTTATGATTCAACTACAAGCTTTCCTAAGAGAGATTCCTGGCATGTGCACTTATTCAGTTGCTTTTCAGGAGTCACAGTTTTCCATCTCCTGAAACTGGTGAGATTCAGGGGCACAGGTGAGCAACACACAGAAACACACGTGGTTCCACACCTCTCCACAGTGACTGCTTATTTCTTCTGCCAGTGCCAACTTCTCTTCTTAAACCCTCCACAACTCTAACAACCACTTTAAAAATGATACAGTAACAACAACTGCACAGATTATCTCCACAACCAACAGTACCAGATGTGCTTTATGGTGATAGTTCTTTCAAAATTATCTTCCTTAATGCTAACTACTGCCTGCTATAGCAAATCCCCTTAGGCTTCCCAAACCTTCCCAGACCCTGAAGAGACCAGTTTCATCCCACTACCTCACCCCATCTCCACCAGTAAGGAAGCAAGCCCTGTAGATTTGGAGGACCCCAACACTGGTGACCCAGCTGGCTCTGAGGCTTTCACAGCTGTGTCCTAATGTGCTATTGGAAAAGTAGTTCCACAGGCTATAGAATATGAGAATCAAAATAAATTACTTCTTTACAAAGGGAAAAAAGACGGGTGGAGAGATGAAGACAACTCTAGCTATCACAGCAGACCTGTGCCTGGCATTCTTCACCTGCTCCATTAGGAAAGTATGAACTGCCTCCCTAACTCAACATCTCCCCATCCCGCAGGCCCAGAGTGGGGAGACCATACACATCTGCAGGTGCTGCCTTGTCAGGTGAGCTTTTTCTTCCCTTAGCCCACCCTCCCCATGCAAAACTTGGCTCAGCAATTAGACAAACTGGGAAACTCCCATCGTCACAAAAGCACATCCCCATCTAGCTGAATGGGAAAAGTGAGCAAACATCTTAACAGGCAAACTGTGAGCAGCTAATGGAAGGAAGAGAAAATGCACTCAATCTCACCATCACAAAAAACAACAACAACAACAAAAAAACAACTTTGCCAAGCACAGGAATAACAAGAAGGAAAAAAAGCAATGGGATACTGGAGATGTATCTACGGGGCTCTAGCAAAACATTGTCAGGAACGCATCCTGACTTAACCATGAAACCCAGCTGTTTGCATTCAGCTGAACATTACATGAAGATTACCATTGACCATATCAGCCAAGGACAAGCTATTTCTTGCTTCATCTGCACAATGAAGGAATATGGAAGAGAACTGATACTGCCACTCTCCTTGCTACTAAAGAGTAAATGGCATGTTAGCTTCCACCACTTTGGGATGCTAATATTCCCCCAATGGTCTCATAATAAACATCTGGTTCAGCTGTAACAGCTGGCAGATTAAAAAAGACAAAACACAAGACAACCTTATTTCCTTTCTAACATCTGCATCTGAATACAAAACCAAAAGAATACACAATTTCACTTTCTTTCTTTAATGATGCCAGCCTAGTCTAAGCCTTTATTATATGCACTGGTTTGCTTGTTTGTCCTCAGAAGTGCAAAGGTAACTCAGTCATAGCTTGCCACCCCCAATGACACCCACTTGCACTGAAGACACAATCAAAGCCTTTTCTCCTTACAAGACTTCTCTTTTATGAAGAGTCTGCTTAAATATGTAAGTAATTTCACGGACTGAAAATCTGACTAATTTTTGAAAGGTCATCTTTTCCACACTTGTTACTTTAAACTTTTGCTCTTGTTGTATTGTAGCTGATATTTAAGTCTCCATAAGGAACTGAACTAGTAACAACAGCCATTTACACTTTCCATGTGGTAACAAAATAACATCCTTTTGTAAGAAAGTATTCTCACCTCGTTTGGGTGCTTTCGCAGCACCCGCGGCGGTACATATTGAGATACAAAGAAGAAGGATCTTCCTAAAAAGGGAAGAAAGAAAAGAGCGTGTGAGAAAACACAGTTTCAGGACTCCAAAGAATTAGAAACTTCTTTCAACACCCAAAGTCAATGGCAGGATACCACTGACTTCAGCAAGTCCTGCTTCGAAGCCTTCCGTCATACAGCTTTCCACCAACGCTGAGAAGGTGTTTTACAGAGAGAAGTATGCCCTCATGTATAGTACATGTATTTTGCAATGGCTTTTATTAATAAAGTAACTGCATCTGTTTTATATTTTCTCGCGTCAGCCTTCAAGTACAAGAGCTGCTGTGTAGTAGATTTCTTCCGGGAGGGAAAAAAGGTACTGCAAAGGAACTAAAAAACAAACGACAAGTTAATGCCCATGAGATACCTTTGTGCCAGTGTACCTTCAGCCTTGTTGCCGTACCACATCATTTACCTTAAATGAAAATGTTGCGCCACTTTTCTTCCTGTATACTAATGTTTGTTTGTTTGTTTGTTTGTTTGTCATGCTACAGATATTTATTTATTTTTACTTCGAAGAGAATAAGTAAAATCCCATCACATTGTGACTTGAAACTTTACACTCTAATAGAATATTAAAGGGAATCCCAGCGTCACCAACTGAAAAAAAAAAAACAAAACACAGAACAACCAAATAATCAAGAAAGTGCAGGAAGAAAGGCCCACAAATTTGTACAGGAGCATAAGATACAAATGGTAAAGGCAGACAAGTTTCTTCCTTTACCCTCTTGGCCTTTACCTTCAGCACAAAGGATAACATATACAAAAGGCAGATATTAGTAATGCTTCAGTGACGTTACATTATGCTATGGTTTACAAATATATACAATATAAAGAAGAATTAAGAGGAGATCTTAATATTTCTTCCAAGTGTTTGCAATCACAGCCCAAGGGCTCACACTACATTTTTTTTCTTCAGCTTTGGACACCAGAATTCAAGTTCAGAGTATTCTCTTGTGAATGTACACTGTGATCTTTTAATCTAATTAGAAGCTCAGTAAAAGAAAGTCTTAAGGGTGGGCAAGTAGTCATGGTAGCAAGAAGTCCACACACTGCACTGCATCAGCCAAAATGAAAAAACTTTTTTTTTTTTTTTTTTCCTATTTTCATGGACACAAAATGGATTCTCAATTAAGAATAAAACAAAACATTTTAAATAACTGAACTCCAAATTCAGGACACCTAGAGAACCCTATAGCTCAAACAGCAAAGACAATCCCTTAACACAACAGCAGACTCTTCCTCAAAATCACAGAGGGACAAGCTGTGTGTCAGACGTTTGCCTCTGTCACCTCCCAGAAAATGTTGTAGAAAGGCAAGAATTTCTGAAATGCTCCCAGGGATGTAAGTTACACAGATGTAACTGGATATAAAGAGACATAAAGACAAATATCTGGCTTACACAGTGCTTTCCAGCTAATGTCAAGAACAGACGAGCAAGCAACTAAGAGAAAAAACAGGGATCAGAGACAACCATAGAGCTGGAGGTCCCCTAATACACGGGAAAAGTTTTTTTTCCTTCTAACTTTTCCCACAACAAGCAGAAACTTTTTGTAAATGACACCACGTGCAAACCTGAAGTGAAGCTGTACCATATAGCTCTTGTGGCCAAAGATGGAAAAGGAAAAAATAAAATTCTGTCTTCTAGAGATGATGTATTCATTCAAACACTCCCTTCTTGGTCAAGACCACTATTATTAACATGAAAAGAAACAAAGCAGCCAGCTCTTGCACACTATGCTCACATGGTTAGTGACACTAGGCCACCAGGCTGCTCACTGTATAACACATACATGGCTTGATCCATATCTGCTGCAACTACAAGAACGCATCAAGCAACACGCTTGGGGAGACTTGCCCAACTGGGGCACAATAACAGAAAAATTCAGAAATGACTGACTACATTGTTGGCTAGTTTTCCCCTTTTAACATCACACAATGAGCCTGAAGCTGTCCCAGAAGTCTTTGGCAATGTCCTGTCCTACAGTCCAGCAACCTCTTAAGCTTCCCCTAGTGTGGTATTCTCTCTTCTGGTTCAAATACATGCACAAGCTGATGACAACTACATAACTGTTTGGAAGTAGAAACTACCAAATGTAGTTGAGCTATTCTACCACTTAAAATTGAGCTTATCTTTCTGATAATTCTTAACATCTTGCTACTGCTTTCTTCTTCCTATGAGTGGAAGGTGACTGAGTTTTTATGGTAGTGTGTTATTTTTCCCCATTCAGGATGACATACATCTTTGGAAGCTGATAAGCTTCAAAGCAAGTCTTGACAAACAACAAGGCAAAACTCCACCATTTGAAGACTATTCAGCAACATATAAAGCTTGTGTTTGGTCAGCACTTAGCGGTGTCATGTAACAACATTCTCTATTCACTGGCAGCTTTCTCAACCTCAGCTTAGAAGGAAGGAATACCACTGGCTGGCTGTGGAGAAGGCCAGAAAACCTGACCCCAGAGACACAGAAGATGCTAAACTTGAGTGCTGCATACAACTCTGCATCCGTCAGTGATGATGGTTGAAATACCAGCACCTTCCCCACATGCTGTGCTGCATTAGATATGTTCTGAGCACAAAAGCCCAGCTTGTATCCATCACAGAGGACATAAGAGCATCACGTACACATCTTCTAAAGCACAATGTCTTCTAAGGCACATTTCCTCACAGTGCTTGTTTCCATAGCACTGAGCTTCCAAATTATCTGAGCAAATGCAGCAAGCCTTCTCCTACCACTCCAACCAAGAGCCCTCTTGTAAATCTCATACAAGTGATTAAACTTTAGGAAGAGACACTACACTGTAGTAAACCAAAACCTTCATTAATCTCTCCCTAGCCTGCTTGGGGCAGCCTATAGCTCAAGGCAGCATGATCACTTGCCTCTGGTGATGCTCAGTGTGAGGTGGAGCTCTCCCCCATCTCTGTATGAGCTCCTCACAGGGCTCAGCACAGGCAAAGCCATGCACTGCAACTTGAATATCCAGGAGCGTCTGGATACCCAGCTTCTTCACTTGTCAGGTCCTAGAGCAAGGGCAGGAGTAGCTCCTGACTGAGAAGCATTAGCATAATTGCTCCCTTTTCTTCTGTTGTTCTTGTTGTTATTGTTTGTTTTCTTGCTTTGTTTTTCTTCACCTCCCAGACTGAAGATATTGTATCTGCTTTTCACAGCACTCCTTCCAGCTGGGCAGCTCTAACATCACAATACCTCCCACACAGGCTTCCTCAGAGCTACTAACAAGTCTCTACATAAAGGAAAAAGGACAAATGGCAGAGCTCACTCTCACCTTAGCCCCTCTGGTCTCTCAAAACACTCAAGAGAAATGCACTCAGAGCAGTAAAGAGGGAAAGGTGATAACGTGACCTGCACCTAAGTCTCCAAAGCAGTTAAGAATCTGATTGTTCAAGATGTAAGAGGACAGACATGTCTATGTTGCCATGAGGGGACCAGGCAGCAGGCCAGCCCTGCCTCTGGTTCAGAGAAGCCTGTGGCTGGCATGGCTGAGGGGACATGCAGCCTGCACAGCCTCTGCTGACAGCTGCACACCCAAATGAGGGAGAAACCCCGAGAACCTTGCAGCAGGCTCACAGCATAAAGAAAGGAAGAGACACAAGAGAAAGTGAGAGGAATAGTGCATTGCTAGTTCCTCCTGAAGAGCAGTGGCCCAAGAGGAATCCCACAAAAGCATGGTTTAGAGGTGGGCCCTGCTGTCCTTGGGACAGCACATGGCACAAGTTGATAAACTGCACATTCACAGCAGTCAAACTTGCTTGCATTAAAAAAAAAAAAAAAAAAAAAAAAAAAAAAAAAAGCCCACAGAAAACTATTTTAGGGCTGATTACGATTACATCCCCATTCTTTTCTCTATCTTTTGTCTGAACAGGGAGCACTCAGTTTCTCCCTGAACCAAAGCAGGCGGCAGTCTGACCTAACAGCACTTCTTCAGAGGGGTGGTTTGGGTTGCAAGGGACAGACTGGTCTGAGACATGCTGAGGAAACCTGATCCCTGAGCAAATAGTCTGGTTTCTTAGCACAGGCAAGCAACCGGGTTGCTTTCTCTCGGGTGAATTAAGTAAACAAGATAAATACTGTCCATATAGCTTCAGAGTTATATTACATTATATAATTCTATCTCAGTGACACACACTGCTCTCAGATAAATAGCATGTGTGATCCTTTTCCATAATTAACTTTATATTTCTCCATCAGCAAAACATTCTGTGAACTTGCACCAACACAACTCCTGGAGGAGTCCCGCAGGATCTCAGACCCCGCAGCTCACAAGAAGCCTCCTGCAGGCACACGGAGCCACTCACTGCCGCTCAGAGGACCCAGACAGCACAGAATTCGCTGCATCGCTATCCTTCAGCTTCCCACCAGGAGCTCTCTGCAAATGTCATTCTAGCTTCTGCCCAAATACAGCAAGAACTTTACAAAGACACACAACGGTAACCTGTGTAATGTCACTATAACCATCAGAAGTCCGTAATCACCTTCCTTAACCTTCTTTTAGGCGGACTGCAATGAAAAGAGCTATGCCATTTCGAGGATACACCAGAGAAGGCTAAGCCTACTGCAGAACGCACACGAATGCGGAGCTCACCTCACCTCACCCGGCGCTCACTGCGCTGAGAGCAGCCCCAGCTCCCAGACCGCCGTGCTTTCAGAAACCGGGTACTGCGTTCCGGCTGCGGCACGGGACCCCTGGCACCGGGACCCGAAGAACTGCGGGGCGCCCGACACGGCTCGCGGCGTGGAGCGGAGGGAGAGCCCCGGCGGGCTCGGTGCTGGGAAATGCCACCCAGCAGCCAACCCCCCGGCACACAGCGAGACCTGCCCAGTTAGAGTGGCTGCTCAGACACGAGGACCCCATCCTGGGCTGGCGTCCCCGCGGGGCCGTACCGCACGCCTTCGTGTCTCCCCAACCCAGCTTACGTTGGTGCCGTGGGAGAGATGCGTCCTCGCCTTGTCCTCTCGGCTCCCAAATGCATTTGTATGCATTTGCCCGGGCAGCGGAGGTCCGAGGGAAAGCCGGAGCCAAACGCAGCGCCGCCGGAGCCTCAGGTACTGTCCATGAACCGCCGCCGGCCCCGAGCTCTCCGCCGAGCTCCACGACAGCCCGAGGGCGGCCCGCGCACGGCCCGCGGGGGCGGTGCGGCGGGGGGGCGCGGCGGGGCCGGGGGCGGTGCGGCGAAGGCCGGGGGCGGTGCGGGGGGCGCGCCCCGCGGAGCCCCCGGCGGCGGAACCGCGCTGCTCCGCACCGCGCGGTGTTGGGTTTCAGCGCTCTCTGTTGCGATTACATCAGCAAACGCGGCCCCGGGGCGGGACGGCCCAGATCCCGGCTCGGCCACGCGCGGCTCCGGGAGCGGAGCTGCCCCGCAGAAGCGGGAGGGCGCGGGGAGCGGCGCTGCGGCCCCAGGTGCGGAGCGGGAGAGGCGCGGACAGGTGGTACGCGGGGCGGCTGGGAGCCCCGGCTCCGGGCTGCGCAATACCGCGGGTCACGGAGCGATGAAACGGGGCTGAGCGTGCTGGAGGGTTTTGCGTCTCGAGTGTAAGTGATGGTGTCCAGCAAGACTCCCTCTGGAAAACATTTGAAGAGCAGATGTAGTTCGGTAGCACTGCATGACACACTTTGCTGTCTCTTCCTGAAGGGACAGAGGTCTTTTTTTTTTTTTTTTTTTAATCTCAATCAGCGGTTCTCCTCCCCTGTCCCAGTAACGGGCTGGTATAACTTTCTCCCGTAAGACGTTCCAGTGCACGAAGATCACACGAAGTAGTGTCGAACATTCTGAGTGTGCTGTGCTGCAAACCCATGGTCAAATCTGGCAGCCTCACTTAGCAAAGCTTCCATTGACATAAGCAGAAATTTTATGCCAGTTAGGAGTGTGGTATTTGGCTCTTGCTGGGTGGTATTTCACAAAGATCTCTCATCAGACCTCAGCAAAGGCCTTCAAGTCATAGGTGTCATGGAGAGGATGGCAGGAAATGTCTAAGCATTCAGGAAGCAGGAGAATTGCCAAAGTGCAGAGGAAAGCTGCACAAGACAAGGATTTCATACTGTTGTCACTAAGGATGCTCCATTCAGCTGAAAGGGCCCCCATTGTGTCATCCAGGTGAGTGCAAATAGGCATAAAGATGCAAAAGCAAGGGCTAATTCAGACTACAAATGTTTTTGAGTATAACAATACATGTGAAAAGTGACTCTTAGAGAACCCACTCAAATGTTGTACTGTTTCATTTCACACTCAAGTTTATTTTCTACATCCTGAATCATTCAGAATCTATGTAGTTTCAGTGGCTGTTGTGTGATTTCCTTTTACTTTTTGAGAGCTGAAGGAAAAAAACTGGTGATATTTTGTCTTCCTGTCTTCATACCTTGCATAAAAATTAATGCAAGCTGAACACAAAAACATATTTGCTCACTGAAGAGAACCTCATACCTGCTCAGGGAGGTATTAGACACTACTGCAATGAAGTCTTTGTCAGTGTTTCTGCTTTAGACCACACCTGAATGCTTTCCAACAACTTTAGTGTAGCATTTTATTTACTTCTTATTAGCATTAAAATGACTAAAATGTATACATTACAGATAGGTTTTGGAACAGGTTGATGCCATTTCATGACATCTATCAGTTATTTAAATGACACATCACATACTCAGTAGGTACATAAGGTGGCTTCTTAATGCTCCAGCATCTGCAGTAGGGCTGTTATGGAGAGAATGCAGCAGCAAGAGTGACCCCAGTTGAATCTCCCTTGTTTCACTGCACACTGAAGAGCTGTCTGGGAGCATGTGGTGAGGTGGGGTGGGGACATCTCATGCCAAGGTCACTCTTTAGAGCCTCTGAAGCTGCCAAGAGCAACAGTTAATGCAGACAGAGAAAACAAATCAATATGCACAGGGAAATCGAATGGCTTGTCTGAGGTCAGACCACAAATGTGAGCATTGCTGGAAATAACCCAGCAGTTCCTGCCTGGTAGCCCATCACCTTGTGTGTTAGTCTTGCCAGGTTTCTTCTAAGCTTCACACCAAAAGTCAGCATCAGTCTTAATGTTACACTTGCTTCATCCAAGGGTTCTTACTGTCTGATCAGCTAAACCTGACATGTTTAAAGGTATCAGATTACTTGTGTTCATTTCCAGAGCTAAATATAGTCATCTGTATACTTACAGACAATGAAAGACACATTCAAGCTCCAAATGTGCTAGCTCTCATTGCAACAGTGATGCTGAAGTTTCATTTCTTATTGTAAATGTCCCCAGAGCCCATGTTTGCTCTCTCATGCTTGACTATAGCCTATCCCTGATTTCTCTCCCCAGGCACATCCGGATACAGGTGAAATACAAAATTAGTTATTTCAAGACACCACTTCTGGCCCTTCTGACATGATTGCAAGCTCTTATTTTTATTTTTTCGTTTTTCAGAAGTTTTCTCCTCCCTTCATGAACTAACTTGCTCATCTGTTGCTCCAGATGAAAGCTGCTGAGTTCCAGCCTTGCTGCAAGACACAAAGCAGGAGCTGTTCTAAGGTGGTGTAAGAGGTGAGGAAAGTGATTCCCAGAAAAGATTCTCCTTCCAGAATGAGTACAGGAGAGAGAAATGTTTTATATATATATATATATATATATATATATATATATATATATATATATATATATATATATCTCCAGAGCCTAAAGATACAGAGGGAAAAAAAAAAAAAAAAAAGTAAGAATTTGAAGGAAAATGTGTGAAATGGGAACATAAATGCTCTGTGTTGGAGTCTGAGCCTTATCCCACTGCAGGCAGTAGGAACTTTACCTTCAGCCCAAGCAGAATAGGACCCATGTGAGTTTCCTGGTCCAGTCCCAGAATCAAGATATTCTGGCAGAAGATCCTTGTTGCTATTGAGTTCACTTTGCCAAACTGCTTTCCCTGCACACCACAATATATGGTGTTAGGCTATGTACCAAAACTGTTGGAACCTAGTTCAGCAAAATATTTATTTAGATTTCTCTCTGTGGCAGCCAAAAAAATGTTTAACACATTGCTCTGGTTAAAGAAAGTTACCAAGCTATCAGATGTGATTAAGAAATACAAGAAATGGAAAGGATTACAGCATGTCTTCAAGAACAATTGGCTAAAATCAGAGGGCCTCCAACACTAAAACCGTCAGTTTTTGCTGGATGTGAAAGAAATTGTAATGACCATTGTCTGCCTTCAATCTCTAGCTGGGCCCATTATTTCCTCAAGAAGTAGTTAGGAAGAAATAACGTTTTCAAGTGACTGAAGTATGACTCTCGATTTTTAGGTGAGTTCTATCCCTTTCAGTTTTGTACTTGTAAACTGGAGAAGTAATATAAATGTACACTTGAAGGAAGTCACAGTGAAGGATTCTACCTTTCAAGACCAACACACAAAATCCTCTGAGGGGTTGAGAGAGGAAAAGAGATGCTCTGAGTTCAGAGGACCAATACTTCAGGGGGAAAAATACTTTAGGGGGAAAAAAAAAGGAAAAAAAGCACAGTTCAGAGTGATGAAACTGCCAAGCCACAAATGACCATATAGACCAGTGAGATTCTGTAGGATACTTAGTTAAAGCAAACAAAGGAATGTGTCCAGACAGGAGCAGGGAACAGAAGAGAGCCTCAGTGAACCACAAGGCAGAATAAGCTCTCCAGACCACAGGGCTCCAGCAACTCTGGCTGGGAAAGGTGCCTCACCAAAGTCAGGATGATTGCAAGTGCTTATGAGAACTGATAGTATCCGTTTCAATAAGTCACAACTACAGAAGAGATCCACCACAAAATAGAGCTGGAGAAATCTGAAACGTGCAACCAAAGTGCACTGCTCTGAAGCAGCACCCCCATACCCAGCATGTAAAGTTGTACTACCTTGTTCCATTAATGGCATGGCATACACCACACCAGGAATGCAGAGGAACCTGGCCAAACACACAGGGAAATATTAAATGAAGAGAGAAGCAGTTACTAGGAAAGTAATATGTGAATGGAAAATACGATAGGAAGAATGAGTACAACATGGGAACCACGGGAATGGCCCACCAGATGAGAAGACTACAGTTACCAAATAGGCCAAACTGCCAAGGGAAGCACAGTAAATTTCCATCTCAAAAGAAGCTGGTGAAAGAAAAAACAGAGATAGAGAAAATCCATTTATTTTCATTTTTAGTTAATCTTTATCCCATCGTTGATGGAGCGTTTTGTAATCTGGGCAGGAAGCAGAGACACCCACACCTACAGGCAGAAAGATGCATTTGACATGAGGTATTTTCTGGGATACTCATTGAACTGAAAATCCCCTTTGTAGATGAAGTTCATAAATATGACTAGAAGTCTGCATGCCCAGGACCATATCACAACCTATATAGGTGTGTGCTCAGAGGGGGACAGAGAAAAAAAAACAAACCTCAGCAGTTGTGTTTAACCATGGGGCTGCAATCTTCTGTCACAGCATGGTCCTCTGCAGCACAGGATCTTTAGTAGGTCTCCAGAAGCCTCCTTCTGATGGAGAAGCCTTTTCCAAAGGGCTCCAGACCACCATCACTGTACAAAACCTGCTCTGACTCTGTCTATAAAGGGAGATAAAAGACTATTTCTGTAAAACATGGAAAGGTCTGATTATCCTATGTAAAACAACATTCCTTTGTGCCACCTAGGGACCTTCTTCATAGTGCTCTCTGTCACCCCTCTGCATAGGAAGAAGGGGCCAAAACCAAGAATCTTGTAGGACACTTTTCAGTGGGACAAAATTCCCTTAAAACACCTGCCTGTAAGAGAATAAAAACAGAGTTCATTTTGGAGAGTGCCCACACTGATAGGATGCTAGCAGCCAGCTTGCAAAGCCTCACCAGCGCTAAAAACTACTCCCACATCTGGAAGAACTAGCACAATCATCTAAGAAGTATTTTGCTCCTGAGCCACAAAGATCTGCACACGAGGCCAGTCTTTTTTCAATTCCATTCCCACACTTCTCTCAGCAACTGGGGCAGATGCTTCATTCCTTAGTTTGTTAGCCCTAGGAAGGTCTCACTTGTCCATTTTTGCTTCCAGCCTTTCAGGCAAGACTTCACAGCAGCATTCTGCAAACAGAAAAATGTATTTCCAGATATTCCTTCTTCAGTACTTAATGTTTTTTTCAGTTTTGACAAAATTAGCTTCTGACCACAGCAGGGGGAGGTAGCAGAATCATGGAACTGTTAAGGTTGGAAAGACCAATAAGATCATCCAGTCCAACCATCAGTCCATACCTGTGACTGCTGTGGACCATGTCGCTCGTGTGACTTCTACCCTTAGCTTGAAAACCTCCAGGGATGGCAACTCCACCACCTTCCAGGGCAGCCTGTTCTCTGCTTTCTTACCAGCTAACAGGTAAGCTACCGATGGTCAGTAGCTGAATCCACATTAAATCTCCACCTTGGAGTAAGGAGATTTCTTCTCACATTAAAAATCTTATCAAAATTTTCTCCCATTGCTCTAGTGTTTCAAAGTTTCCTCCAACTTTGTGTGCATCGCCTTCTGTGTTTAAGTATCCCGAGTCTCTAACCAAATAGCATACCTAAATCAGGAAGGACAATGGAGCAATTCAAACTTGACAATATTTGTTGGTGATTTTCATTTTAAAAAAGGATTCTAGACTCAGGAGATATTAACATCATTGATAGAAATTGCATTATTTCCCACTGTATTTCTCCCTGGATATAATCAAAATTTTCCAGTGCACTTTAACTCCCAGAGAAGGAAGAATCTGTGACTTATTTTTCTTGATACCTCTGGATCAAAGAAGAAAGCCAAAACTATTTTCAAGTAGGACTTAATACTTTTGCATCATGGACACTCAATTTCCAAATTAAACATTCTAAATGAGACATATATAGTGACAGGAAAAAGTTTCTCTATAGAAAGAGAGTAAGTAGATTGCTTTTTCTGAAAATACCAGACAGCTGAATATGTGGTATCCCAGACCAAAATACACTGGCACCAACTTCAATGCTGATATTTTTATAATAGTAGCACAATTAATTTTTGTAAATCCTTTACAGCTGTACCACCAATATAGCATGGTATTTTTAATAGGGTATTTTCATTACATTATTTTTAAAGATGAAGGTTTTAACCCTTTTCTTCAGTTGTTTACAGTTGATCAGATATGTGAGCAAGAACTTCTGTTACAGGAAAGCAAAGGAGTAGGTCTTTGCAGGCACAGAGTAATTTTGGAGCAACTCATCCCCACTTGTCCATCTTCAGCCACATCACAATGGAGACTTTTCTGAGTTGAACTGACCAAAACGATAAGCCCTGATAAAAGCATCAAGAAGAGTAGAGAGAAGGGATGGATAAATATGAAAAATGAGACTTTCTACTTGGATCAAACAAACTTCTTAGGCCAGATGTGCCTGGATTATTCTTACTGGAGAGCAATAAAAACCTCATGATTCTTGAATTATGCAGCGTTGGCTTAGAAATCATCAAAGTTGAACAACAGATGAGGCAAGTAACTGTACACTGTTGACCCAAACATACACAAAGGTTTTAATGAACATCTTTATAGTTGAAAAGTCCAAACCTCATAAGTCAAAGCACCAGCACTAATTTTTGTCTACAGCATTGCAAGGTGTGCACTGAAGTCCTTGCAGGATCATGGGTTCATGGGGCTCCAGCTTCTCCTGGTGCTCAGGTTCCCCTTAAGACAAGTCAGCATCTTCCAGGGAATGCTCTGCAGAAAGCTGCAAGGTCTCACTAGGAGCTGCTATGTTTTCAAAGCCTCACAACCTACCAGAATTTTAGGGGAAAGGCAAGACACAGACTGCACAATCTGCTTCACAGACAGACTTCAGATGTTTTTTCAGAAGCAGGTGATGCCAAACCTTAACTTGGTCTCCATTTTCAAACATAGGCATGACAATATGGTTTTCATCTCCCTTTGGAAACTGACAGGGCAATACAAAACTTTCTGAAGCCATCCAGCTGAGACAGACATTCACAGACCAAAATGTAGACCTCCCTAAAGCCAATAAGAGGAAAAAAAATGCATAAATATTCTGTAGCTTGTTCTTGTTATATTTTATGGTTTGGGGAGCAGTTTTTTTTCCCTAAGTATTTATGGCAATAGAATGTGGTTACAAAAAAATAAAAAGGACATTTATGATTATCAGATGTTTAACTTCACTTTTCCAACACATGTAAACTAACTGCTCCTTCCCAAATCAAAGTATTCTGCCTTAATAGTTAACTTGCAGTGATTTCAAAGTTACATATCTAATACAACAGCACTCTTACTTGCCTGCTAGAGAATCAGAACAAAATTTGTCTTAATACATTTAAAAAAAAATATTTTATTCCTTCACAACAAATTGCAACTCTTATCTTAGAAGATATTTTTATAGTTGAAATGCACATTAAAAAGTTAGCAAATATCCTCTTTTTTTTTTTTTTTTTTTCAGATGATTTGCATTATTCTTTAAGTAACATTTGGAAAATTATTTCCCTTAGCTTAATACTTTCTATATATTAGTGTCTGCTTTTTTTTTTTTTGGTGGTGGTGGGAAGAAGGGGTTCCCAGTTCACTGAGGCAGTATGAGGTTGCTTACAAGCAGACTTCCTGTGAAAGTCTAGGCAGGTCCTCTGGAGCATTTCCCAGTCCTAGAACACCACTCCTCTGGAGCAAATTCCTGAGGGCAAAAAGAAAAGGGCTAAATTTTAGAAGAAATGAAATCTTCTCTCCAAATCCAACCAGATATTTCAGTGACATGAACAGATCCTTCATTTTTGGCAGCATCTCTTCTATCAGGTCCAGTTAATTTTATGAAAATCTCAGTAACTGTCAAATGCAGACATGGGTTTCATGCAAGAAGTCCAGATTCCAGAAACTTGGTTGGGGAGGATAAGTACTTAATATGTGCTTCTGACAGCCAGCTACGACCTTCACTCAAGCTCCATTTCCCATGCTTGAGAGAATGGAATGGATTTCAGAGGCCTTTGGTTTAGCAAACTTAGTGATAGGAAACATCCTCCCAATCTTCATTCGTATTATCTGGAAGTGGCATGTCCTAATAATGGTGAGGCAAGCATGTCCTTCTCTAGTACTGTGTGTAGGGCACAGCTGTCAATCAACACAGATGAAGGCATGCATCTGTTAGAAAAAAGATTCATTTAGTATTTTGATGATACTTTTGAGGAAGTCCTGGCACTGGAAACTGACTGCTGGCAGAACATCAGGTAGTGGGAAAAATCCTAAAGGCACCAGAGCTACTTCTGTGCTATGGGAACTTGTGTACTGAAGCCAGTTTGTATGGCAGGCAGACAGGAAAAAAAGCTCAGATCTTCATTCTGCATTGCAGCAGGTAACACATCACTTCAAATGTGTAAATAACTAATGCATAATAAGAGAAATATTTGCTAACAAAGCTAGTCACTTCCTTGTTGACAAGATGTGATTTTCCATTCTTTTCTATAGCTCTCCTATTCAGCTGTTTCAGTCATTTGACAGTCTTCCATGAAGAAGATGATACAGAGTATTTGGAAGAGGGAATGTTTACAAAGAGCATTGATAGTCGGATGTATCCAGAGTAATTAGCTGTAAGCCAAATAATAAAAATGTGGAGAACCTACAGGTATGTTAGATGACTGAAAACACGGGGTTAATTTAGATGTTGCGTACTGTATAAGCACACAGCAAATGCCACTTCATAATGCAAGAGCACAAAGCCATGGGCTGCATTCAGACCTAGTGCGTAGTACAGCCAAAACACCAATCAAGACAGATTAATTTAGCTCATAACCCTAGGAAGGCATTTCTGCCATCTTAGGTACAACATCCAAGCTCTTTACTGAAAGAAGAGTCTTGAATCATAGAATTCTTCAGAATTTATCCACCACTACAAATATTACTTTTATTTAGATAAAGAAGAGTAAGCACTGAAAATGTACTTCTTCCCCACTGTGGAAGCTGTTGGCTAGCAGGGGAAAACTCTGGACCTCCTTGCCTCCTTCTGTTATGTTTTTTAAAAATTAATGCAGAACTCTGTCTGATCAATGTTTATTTCTGACAGAGTTTTTGGCTGGGAGGTAGCTAATGTCCTTGGCATGTTTTAAGTAGCATATCAGAAGCAATCACTGACTTGGGTAATACCGTATTATACTTCTGTCTCTTGTTTAGAGAAATAATGTGTAGCAAGGGAACCCTTAATGATTAAATTTTCAGTTTGGAAGACAGTTAAACGCACATGCACTAAGATATGGGACTACAGTGAACTGAAAAACAGCAGCTCTGAACTCATTATATACACACACATTCATTGATTTTCTTCTCCTAGTCTAGAATATTAACCAGTTCTCCAACCTCATATCTCTCAGGAAAATATAATGTAGAAAAAGAAATCACAAAATACCCAACACAATTACATTCAAACTTTTTTGTTTTTCTAAGGGTCTGTATGCACAGAGGGCTACAAGTCTGCAGCTTTCCCTGACCTCAGACCAGGGGACCTGGCAGCAGGTAAACACACTGTGCAGGGGTGTGCCAGAGCACTTCCCCCAGTGACCCTTCCAGAGCTGGAGAGGAATAGGGTAAGTAGAGGTAGGTGCTGGCTGTGCCGACAGTCTCAGCTCTGGACAAAACACATTAGTGAAGCACTGTCAACTAACACTGTGGGTTTCCACAGAACACAAAACACACACATGGTCTTGCTTAATCTCATTCAATGTGTCTTCATCTCCTCCAGAGCTGCTCTACACAGTGACAGCATCGGACAATTGTACTGCAGCAGCCTGGAACTTTGAAACCTTGCAGGTGTCTTTATTTTTTTATTATCATAGCACTGCAATACAGTTTCTTGTCACAACTGCTTCCTTTCCAGTTTGCGTTTGTGTAGCTCTAAGTATTGGAAGTGCAAAAACTTGATAGATGTTGGCACTTGGAATTATGTTACCTTTCTTAATGTATTGTAGTCTGTAAGACTTAAGAGCTGATCGTCCCAAACAATACCAGCCGTGTTATGATAGCTTCTTCAGTGCTTGATTGTTTGGATTGAGCACCACACTATTATCTACATCATACACTTGAGCTCATGTATCTGGACAAAAAAAAACAACATTGCAACCAGCAATATTTTGCCCACTGATGATCTTCATTCTCAATTTTAAAAAAACAGAGTCTACTAACAAGGAATCACTTAGCATTCCCATTTAACTGGACTTTACCTCCTGTTCCAAGAATCAAAAGGAGCCTCACTCTTGCATTTAATTTCTAATGCACTGAGCTCAGACTCCACACTACACCCATCCGTTCTCCCCCCTCTCTTTCTGCTATATGAAACCATGAAACCAGAATAGTCAGCATATTGCTTGGTCTTCTACTTTCAATGACAGCTGTGTGTCCTTCAGTAAGGGGGAGAAAGCAGAAGTAATTACTGGAGCCAAACAACATTGCATATCAGAACCTCGTTTAATCCACAGCAATTCTTAGAGCTACATCTAGTATTTACCAGAAAAAAAGACACTAAAGAGGCATTAACTTCACTGTGAGGTATCACCTTACACTAGGATAGCTTTTAAGATTTTTTTTTTTTTTGCAGACCTGTCATGCAATTGAAAAATTATAATAGCGAATTTGCCCCCAAACCTCTGAAAGGTTAGTTTATAGACTCCATAGTTTCACACAAACAGTTTCTAACACCTTTAAATCTGGAAGATGATATATGCCCAACTTGGATGTTAGCAATGCCATGTTTATTTAGAAAAGCATTAATCTCTTTATTAAGAAAAAGAGTTTCTCACTCTGAACTTGACACTGTTTGCTTTCTCAAGGAGAATGAAGTATGGCAGTTTGCTTTTAAGACCTTGCAGACAGGGCTGCTTCACTGCTTCCTTTTGTGAAGCTCCAGAGACAGGTCTTCCCTGCTAGCAGCTTCTGGCCTGAGCTCTGGGTTCACAACTAAGACCATAGGAACATATTTCATTAGAAGTACCACATGCTACTCAATCCAGCTGAGCATCACACATTCAGTCAATTCTGTCTTCAATTTTTTTTTTCCCCCTCCTTAACTGCACCAATTTTCATTACTGTATTTTTTAGATTTGCATTAAGGAGAAACATAGAAACAGGGCTACTGAGTTCCTGATGATTGTCATCTATTCATCTTTTTCAGCTCACCTAATAACAATGAGTCTGGTCCACATCTTAAGAAACACTTCAGCCAACAAATGACATTAGAAAGAAAAACTGAAGGAAGTGGTGTCTTCTTTACAGTAAATTTGTACATGAACAAGATTTCTTCATATCTGGCATTTCAGCTTAGCTAGCAGGTACTTTTCATCATATTCTCAGATACCATGTCCATAATAGAAAGGCATTAAATGATCCAACACAATCAGTTGATATCTGTGAAGCACATTAAATATATCTTGTTTGGGATTTCCACAGAACTGAGTTGGTGACAAAGCAAACAACTATCTCCTAGAACATTAAATAAAAAGCACCAGAAAACATAGAGCACGAATTACTTTTTCATTTCATTTCCTGATTCAACAGCATTTTAAAATGAACAAATGCATCTTCTTGATGAGTTTTCCAGAGCAGTTTTAGACAGGAAAATGGAAAAGGCTGTGGCTCATACACTAAAAACAAAGAGAAATCCATGTAGTTTTGGCAAGTTCCCTCTTTACTCTAGAGGAGAGTGAACTCTGACTTTCTTGTGGGAAGCTGATTGGAATGGGCTCTGGAAATGACAACATGCAGCCTTTGTGCAGATTATTTATGGAAAAAATAAAAGGGAGAAAGTGTCTGAGCAGGTACTACAAAAAGGTCAGAAAATATGGCATGTTTGAGAAGAGTACAAAGAGAAGACATTTGACAGACAATAGTCAAGACCAAGCCACATCTTAATGTGATCTAGTTTGCATGGTCAAGCACTGCTCAAACGTTCAAATACAACTGAAAACTTGTAATGAACACTGTAGTGATAGTGCTTTTCACAGCAGGGAGTTTTCTACTGGTTTGTGTTTGAGGGGCTGTGGGGTCCCCACTTCATGAAATCAGGATAACCAAGATATCCTTAACTATTACAAACATCCCTGCAGGAATCACATCTGAGCACTCCCATACAGGGAAGGTGGTGACAGGTCTATGGACCACACATCAGAACAAGGCCATCAGACTCAAACAGCTGAACTCCAACAGGCATAGCCCTACAAATATAGGAACCTTCTCTTCGTTTTCAAACCTGAAATTTTCCTCAGACATATAGGGACACATATAATTAAGGACATTTTGCTGGCTGTACAGACACAAATATATAGCACTGCTCTAAGTTAAGCCATTAAAATCAAAGTGGAGATACAGACCATTAATCAAGAAAAAATATTTATAGGAAGAAGGAGGAAACACTGCACGCCTGCCCACAGATCAAGCCACAGTCTTAGACTTGCAATGGGCCTCAGCATAGAATCCCCACATTCTCTCCCTCTCACAAGCCTGCCTTCACCCAGGTGCCCTTGGCAAGTGTTGAAAGACATGAAGAAGTGGCTCTTGCTTTGACATAGGACCATCAGAGCTAATGAGTACTCCTGTAACATCACATCCACAGTTTTATTATAGACACCAGAGAGATTACTAGCAGAGACTAGATTCAACTGTAAGACTTATTTGAGTTCATGCAGTGGTTGGAGGAGAAAAAGGAGATTACTGTCATATACACTTTTGCTGTGATACATCTAATTCAAATTGCCTTGTGTTTTGTCACAGAAGTTCTCCAAGCAAAGGATTTTTAAGCAGTGACCAGTTTCTTGGGTGCAGCAGGGCTGTGACCTTCAGCATGGTCCTTACTCAGTGCTGATCTTCCTGCTGAGCCCCAAAGGCATCCAGCACATCTCTTCTTTTTAATGCAAATCCATCACCTGGCAGTCCCCACATGCAGCTGCAAAAAGCATGTGCCAGCCCTACTTCTGTCAACTACAGACCTAGAAAGTCTCTGAGAAAGAGAAAGTTCTAGATACTTGCCATTTTATTCCTTGTAACAGCAAAGGGACCAGCACAATAGGAGGATATTACAAAAGAAAAAGAAGGGCTCACCAGTCTCCAAAGACCTAGGCTCACAATAGAAACTCCACAAGAGAGGGATCTCTGACCAGAGATACTTCCCTAGTGGCAGTTCAGCCCTTAAACGAGGTCTAAGAAAGGTACAACCAGGCTCTACCCCTTCCATCACACTGGAGAATTGCCTTCACCTGTGCTCCCAGGACTGACCAGATCCTTTCCACAGGTGCTCAATCAGTGGTGCAGGCTGTAACTCAACAGTTACCGTACAATCCTTTACACAGAAAACAATATAGGCTGACAGGGCCAGTAGAAAGCAGAGCTGAGAGCTTCCATCATTTTCTTTTACTTAAAAATCAGTTTTACAGAGGACCTCTGTGCAAATTAATCACTTGTTGTGAATCCTACTTCTGCTTCCACTCCAGGAGTAGATGCACTGGCTGGACACGGCATTGGCACCCAGCACTGAATTCACCTCCTCTTCTGCCACAACAGGTGGCTCAGGGCAGTGCTGCACCACCCAGCAACCATGGGAAGAGATGACAGCAGGCCTCAGCTGCTTTGCATGAAGCAAGTCACCAGCCTGCACTGCTGGCCAAACAGACCATCTGGATGTAAACATGCTATGATTCAAGTTGCTTTTCAGGACAAAGCATCCTTTCTCCTCAGCAAAACACTTAAGATTGTTCCCCTCCCCTTAGTGCTCTTCTGTCTCCAAAGATCATATCTCCTGTACTGTATCCAAGATGATACTCTCAGGTCAAGGAAGAATGCAGCTGCTATGCCAAAACAGTAGGAGTGCTTTGCTACAATAGTTTCTTGCTGAGCAATGAATTCAAGGCTAAAAAAGAGGTAAATTCGCCACTGTCTAATTTCCTGTGGTGAGGGGAAAAAGATTGCTACTTCAGATTCAGCAGATCAGTTTTGCTGACCAGTTCCCCTTCTCTGTCAGGAGATATCCTTCTTGCCATCACTGTGGATGCAAATGCTGCCAGCACTGAGCAGGGGTGAAAGTTGGTGTTATTCAGTGAGCAATGCTGAGGGTGTTGTAGCGTGCCTGAATGCCAGCGTCTCAGCTTGCTTGCCACAGATACAGAAGGTCAAATCTGATCATCCTGCCACAAAACGTTGCCTATTCTCTAGCAATGGCACACAAGAAAGTAAAGGTAGCTGAGATAGCTAGACATACCTGCAGAGAGCTTTATATTACCAAAGCTAATTCTTCCTGCCATGCAGGTTGAGGCAAAGATATGCAGGATATGACAAATGAGGGCCTATTTCAACAGGCAGAAGTCCAAATTAGCAGAGGTAAATCACTCAGAGCTGAAGGTCGTGCGCACAGTGTGACACTACTAGAAGTAGCGGTGAAAGCTCAGGGGGTGCAGCTGCACATACACCACCAAAGCAGGCAGCAGGTCTTCCCTTGCATCTGGCGGACATTCAGTATGTGCCAAGAGAACTAATAGGAAATACTTAGAAGCATGTTGTTCATGGCATATTTTATCTATTGGGCCATTTTTTTTTTCTTCTCACTAACTGCAAAATTTGAAGTTTCTATCTGGAGTTCCTTTCACAAGCATTCTGCAATTAACAGAGTTGAACAAACAGTGCATTTTACAGACACTGATACCATATAGGTGGAGGAATCATAATATTCAGCTGCTTTTTAAAGTTTTGCAGCAAATCAATGTGTTTTACTCCTTTATTTTACATCAGGACTACAGGAGAAGCACTATTATGAAAAACAAACAGAAGAAGGAAACAAAATGGCACAGCCCTGAAATTACAGGCTCACGCGTTACTACTTCTTGATATTTACACATATGATAACAGAAAGAGTTACATACAGCAGCAAGGCACTGAGATAGCAAAACACCCTTTTAACATCATGGCTGGCCCAGAACAAATCTCCAAACACCCACATAAAACTTAGTGAATTAAGCAAGAAGTAGAAAAGAACCAAACAACAGCTCAGAGCCTACTCCCTTTACAGGACTTGCACTGGTTCAACAAATCATCACATAACACAGGAAAAAGTACAATCCATCTATCCCCCGAAAGAAAGACCCCCCCCAAAAAAAAGCAAAGCACCATCATTCTACAAAGAATCAATTTAGTTCAAGCATACCAACCCCCGTAGGCACAGTACTCTAGTCACAACATATAACAGCCTTACTTGAACATTGCTTCTCCCAGAAGACACTCAAAACAGCTGCACAAGGTCCACATTCACCCAGGTGACAAGAGCTAGCTTTTTTAGAAGAACACCTCAACCACCTCATCCCAGCAGCAACAGGACCCATTCAGGCCTGGGGTTTATATAGGGAAAGGGATTGACTGGGACTGACCATAACAATCAGAGGCAACAAATCTCAGCTGAAGTTTTACCAAGGGCTGCTGATGGGGTTGTTTCTGATATAGAGGGCAATAACATCTTTAATAACCAGTCTAGATTTGGGGGCTTATTTGTACCTGTGTCATTTATATGTTTATGTAAATTTTACATGCCTGCTTATTGAATAGCAATCTATGTGCAAGGAGGTGTTATAGAATCAAAATCACAGTATCATCAAATCTGTTAACATGGGGTTAAAACCTTTACTCAAGCTGTTGAGAGCACCTGCTTCACCTTTTGCAGGGAAAAAAAAAGATATATTTGCCTTCCCTTTGAATTTCTGTATCAAGCTGGAAGGGGTTCAACTGCCCCAGAGTAATTTATTGTAGCTATTGGGAGATAGGACATTTGCATACACATTCCTGTTATTAGGAGTAAGCAAAAGAAGGCATAAATTTCACTTCTGCAGAAAGCACATCTAACTTCATGTGAAAATGATTTATGTGGTGAAGCCATCTGTCTGTTTACACCTTTTAAAGTAGAATGAACAATTGCTAATGAAACAGCTACTTAGAAAAAGGGATAAATACAGTGGTGTAAGCAGGTGCAGGTCTGGTTTGCTTCACAGCATAAATGGTACACTTCAAAGTCAGTTCTGAATTGCTTATAATACTGGTTGTCACCACAGCATCTCCCAGTACGATGTGAGTTATGGCGCTAATGGTTAGCTGGGACCTGCAGAAATCAAAAAGTTGATGTGTGTGGGAGAGACAGGGAAGGTGTGCCCCCAGATGCCATCTGCAGACCCCAGTAGAGGATTGACTAGACATAAAGACGAAGTTTTTACAATAAGGGTGGTGATGGACAGGCACAAGTTGCCCAGAGAGGAGGTGGATGCCCTATCCCTGAAAAAACTCAAGGTCAGGCTTAGTGGGGCTCTGAGCACCTGAATGAGCTGTAGGTATCCCTGCTCAGTGCAGGGGAATTGGATTAGATGAACTTAAAGGTCTCTTCCAACTCAAACAATTCTATAATTCTATGTTTCATGGCTGTGAACATCTCTTCTCTGCTCCCTGCCTGGCCCCATGGGCACTACCCTGCTCTGGCTGATGGCAAAAAGCTTCTGCCACCTGCCCTCCAGCTCTGGGTTTGCTTCACTAACCTGAGTGCAAGCCTACAATACAACAAGTGGTGCATAACCAAAACATAATATACCAAGGTGATCCTTCTGTGCCAGACCACTGCACCGTGTTCAGAACAGCCTGGAACCAGTGCTGCACCAGAGAAGCTGTGCCCAAGATGTTCTCCTGGGCCATTCAGGCACTAAGAGCCTACTGGTATCTGTTTGCTGGCCCCACCACCACTGTGGGTCCACACTTGGTCGCTGTGATGCCTGGAGATTTACACAGTATGTAAGCAACTGCCAGCTACAGACCAGTAATATCTAAACACCCACTTTTCACCTCTTTAGGTGAAATAGGTTAAATCCATGTGTTTAGCTTTTACTTTTCCATGTTCTGCAGTGCATAAATACAGACCAGATGTGCACAAGGATGGATAAACCTCTATCAGGCAGAGAGAAGTAGCATCAGAAGCTGCCTGGGCACTCTGAGCTGCTCTTGAGGCGCACGCACAGGGAACAAGCAGTCACTTTTCCCTGGGGAGGAGCTAATGGAGATGGCCTCACCTCTGGAGAATGTATTCCTCTGTTTCAGGTGCACATCGGTAATGGGAGCACAAAAATGCTATGAACATAATTGTTATTCACAATAAAATAGCTAATAAAACAAATAATTATCTAAAGATAAGATTAAATTATTCAAAACAGGAAGAGCATCAACAGAAACTGTTTTTGCTGTTTATTAGGCAGACGTTGCTAAGTCTGAATGATCTGCAAAAACTAAGGAAAGAAATTCCATGAGCTTTGTAATTTTAGTGATGATTTTACTGACAATCTAGTGTGTTTAGATGTAAAGCACAGTGCAGGTAATGATTCTGCTCACTGTAGGACGCACTTAGTAAATCAAAAGTATTCCAGAAACATGATCAGAGCTCCTTTATTTGACTGAGTTCCACTGGGAATTCAAGATATATCGTGTAAAATGATGTGTAAGTTAATTGGCAATAGCTTAAAAGATTTAAGAAAGGTTCCTCTAATGCAATGCATGCCCCTAGGAAGCTGTATTCAACTCATAACCGCAACTCCATCTTGTGCAAATGTCCTTCTGTCTTCCAAACAGAGCCAGAGCCGAGCACCCCTGTTGCACAGCTGATGGTTGCTGGAAGCCCCCAGGCCAGGACTCAGACTTGCTGTTTTCTCCCCATGTGCAGGGTGTTCAGGTGTGCCACTGCTGAGCAGCCTCTTGCTGCAATGGAATTGCTTCTCTGACATCAAACCTCCAAACAAAACAAACTCTTCCAGTATAATAATATTTACTGAAGCATCAGCTTATGCTAGAGACAGCAGAAGACTGCTAAGAAGAAGGTCTAACCCAAGAGGATGTTTAGAATTTAAGATTCGCTTAGCCCTCATGGTGTAATTTATGCCATATGTTCTCTTATTTACAGTTTTCCAAGCAAACCATTTTCTATTAGTTGTGGAGCATGAGGAACTTTCCATACAACAGTAACTCTGAGCCTTCCCCCATTACACAGCCCTTCATTTTCTTTCTATGGCAAGTCATTGAATAACATGTGCCTTCTATATTTTAACTGGTCTCTGGCAGCAGGGAGAAGTTGCACGTGATGAGCCTGATTTGCTGCAACCTCATCTGAGGGAACTGAGTGCCTATACAGTACAGAACACTAATTTGGTTTTCTGATGACCTTTTGCATCCAATTCTGAAAAAAAACTTCCTTAGCAGGCTGCTTCCAGCTGTTGGGAGCCCAGGATGTTCTGGGGTGAGTCTTTTAATAGAAAGATGCAAGTCCTGTGTTATTAATCACACTGAGGTCATTGCAGTAGTAGTAAATTAATGACCACAAATTGTCATAAACTGTCTGAAGAGAAGGGGACAAATTGCCAACCTCTGCAGAAATGTTTGTGCGGTCCTCCTGTCTGCTCTGAAGGGAACTCTGGCTTCTATCTCAAGCAGTCCTTCAGGCTGCCTGCTTAGTATGTGTTGATTGGATGTTTCTGTGCAGCTTCAGCCTCATCCCTTGGCAGCCGTTCCAAGTTTCCAGCGCCTCTGCTGAGCAGCGGCCGTGTGCGCACCACATTTCATTACACACACGTGGGGGTCGTGCACACTGCTGCTGCCCTTCACATTTTTTTCTGCACATTGTCTTTGAAAAATGGGATGCAGCTGGTCCCAGGGCAGATTTATTGGTAACTTTTCTGGTCTGTTGGCCTGACCATTTGGGAAAATCCTTGCTCTACTGGAAGAATCGGTCCCATTACAGCAGAGAAGTTCCACATGTTCAGGTGACAGCTGTGTCCTCTGAGGGACATGGCAGAGGGAAGCAGTTGTGCTCTCTTCTGCCTGAAGACTATAAAGTTGCCATTTCTCTTTTGGCACAAGCTTTTCTCCAGCACTTTTTCCCCTAATTGCTCTGAAGATATTTTGCATCCATCCCTCCTTGTTTGTGTTCATCCCACCTAATGATTGCTGTTGTTCAAAGCCAAGTCCTGCTGCTCGGTGCACCTAGAACCACCAAATTACTGCCTCTTCTACCTTCACAGTTTCAGGGATGGCTCTGCTGCAGTCCATTTCTCTAACAGTATTGCATGCATGAAAATACCAAATCTTCCCCATTCCTGCCACTGTACCCAGCAATGGTTTTTCATTCAGTAAATAAAGAACTGATATTTGTAATTGCTGTTCTTACAATGTTTGGTTTGATTTCCCTGCTTACGTTGCTACTGAACTTACCATTGCTCTTCATACGTTATTTTTTTAATGCAGAGCCTGCTTCCTCTGTATCAAAATGGGAAAATGTGTGGGTGAACATTGTCCAGGGCTTTCACTTCTCCAGACAGTGAAAGGCTTTGCTTTGTTGTAAAAGAAATAGATTTTTTTCCTCTTTTTGTTCTTGAGAGCAATATTTGATAGCTAATCAAAAACGAAACACATTGATGGGCTTAGGTCAACACAAAGTGCAAACCAAAAGACAAAAACAGGAAAAAGATTGAGAAAGTGCTTTGAATTGTCCCTTTTCCTTGTTTGGCAGTAAAAGAACATATACAAGGGCAATTACCCCTGGGTGTTCACTTTATGCTTATTTCTCTCATGTATCAGGTTTGTTGTAACCTTGGCATTACCACCTTTGGAAATCTAGCACTTGTTACAGGACATGCAACCTGAAACAGCATAGCTCTGAAGAAAACATATTTCTGGGACTCTATTTCCATTTTGCTAGTTTTAAGAAGTCTTAGTACTGACTTTCAATCTGTGGGAATCTGCAGGAGGATCCTTGTAGGCTGTAACACGGGGAAGCTCCCACCTGAATGGATCAGCATTGGCCTCACCTCCCGCTGCCAGGAGCAGGCAATGTTCCATTTAAGCTTGAGGACCTGCACCCATTGTGCAAGCACTGTGCAAGCACTGGGGGATCCATTTCCAGCCAAATACCTCTGGAAAATCAGACAGGAGCCGGGGCCGGACACACATTGCAGAGCTCCAGGACGGAGCCAGAGGTGAGCAGCGTTCATGGCCCAGGACATGCTGCTCAGCTGGTTGGACTTTCTCTAGGTCTGATTCATGCTTTAAGTCTCTAATACTCATCTTTCTCCTCTAATTAACTCCTGCCATGTGTTCTGAGAACTTCTCCCAAAAGCTGAACAGTCACAATTGCAGGTATCTGCTTGCTTGTAGTGCAACTCAGATGCAGAAAACTGCCCTAGTGCTTCAGGCTCCTCTCCAGCCTCTTTCTTCCTGCTGATTCTGGATCCATTTCACTTTATCTCTACAAAGAAGAAAAAGCAACACCAAGATGGCCTTCTTGTTGAAATCTCTCTCTTTGATGAATAAACTGAGAGTATTTAATTGTTCCCATTTGACACAGATTGAACACGTTTATGTTTTCTTTTGGTGTTACCCAATAAAAAGAGACAAGGAAAGCAGATTCAACCCTTATGTTTCTGAGGAACACTCCTGGAGCTTTCAAAGGGAAATGCATCCATGGGACAGCACGCTGGATTCAGGCTCATTTTGCCAAAGCATAGTGCTCAGTCACCCAGTGCTGAGAAGACTCTCTTGCTTCCTTTGACTTCTGTACCATAACTGATGTCTCAAATCATTCTCCAGAGCAAAAGCTATCAGAGGAAGAACAGACAAAAATGCTTTCCCCATGCGATACTAGCAAGATGAGTTTGACTGTATTTAAAATAAAAATACTGGAATATAAAAAAAATCTATATGTGAAATTGCATAGCACATGCCAATATGTTAAAAATATGGTATTAAAATGCATGAACACAAACATCTTTCAAAGGAGCCACTATTTTTATAGCCCACCACAGAGCAAACTCTGCTTTGTGTACATTACCATAACTTTTTGGAATGACACTGTCATGCACAGGCTTCTCCTCCCACTCAGACCCTCTGGTGCCGGAGCCAGCAGCTGAGACCAACTTCAGGAGCCTGGACTAGATTTGGAGCTGACAGCCTCTGCCCAGCTGCCACCCAGCCCTGCAGATGCTGACAGTCTCCATGCCCCTAGCTTATTGGCACTGCATCTTCACAGATGCCTGAAATTCTGCTTCTGTGCATTGCCAGTCACACCCAGCATAGCAGGGTCCCCACAGCCCTCAAAGAGGCAGATTTCAAGTTTCATTCCTAACCTTTCTACTGCACTTTCCTTCTGAATTTCTAGTTTTGCATGACCAATGGTTCACTTTAAGGAGAGCTGCAAGTCTTACACAGGCCAGCAATAGATTTGGCAATCTTAATTTGTTTTTCCCTACAATTTCTGTTATTTGAACCATGGAAAATGTACACAGTGGAATGGATCCGGCCGTTCTCTCTCTCTTCTGCTTCAGTTGAAAGCCAGTGTAGTGTCTGTGCTTACTGCACTTTCCCAAGGTTGGGGCAGTGTCACCGAGCAAGATCTCTATTTATGGACAATAAAATCAGTAACAGTAAAACATTATTCCCACACAACACCTGTCTCCCAAAATATTGACTAATTCAAACCAAAATATTGAATAATTCAAGACCAGTAGAGCTGTGGTAGATGGAGGATTGAACTAGATGACCTTAGAGGCATTTTTCAAACTTAATATTTCTATTAAGTCTGGAGGCACGTGAATTGAACACAGCAAGTCTTTAACGCAGGACAGAATTTCAATGTGAATATTGTTTAAAGATAATAATGCGAAGATTAAGTAAAAACCCACTGGCTACACATATATGTGCAGGAGGCTAAGTGCCCAAATAGTTAGCTGCAACAGCTCACAAGCTCTGCTGTAAAGATGATAAGGAGATTGTCCATCTGAAAGGATCCATTACTGTAGTGAGTTGACCTGGAGTTTACAAGAACAGGAAATCATCTAACTCCAGACTGATTCTGCAACAATGTACAACATTGCATAGGTGATTCCATAAACCTTCTAGTTCTTGAAGCACCGTAAGTGTCACTGGAGAAAGTGATCTTTCCAAAGCCAATGGAGATATGCGAGCAAAGTCTTGTATACAGTGAGTATTCAGGAAGAATAAAGAAGTAATTTTTACCAGGGCTTTAGCCATGAGACTGGCCTTCCCTGTGTGTTTTACAT